TATTCTCGTTTTCAATCAAACGCGCGGCAAGACGAGAGTGTGATATTTTACTCACAAGTCTCACAATGGAGAAGTTGCGAATTTTTGTTTTTGGTTTGTTCTATATTCTCTTTCGGAGAAAAAAAAGCAGGTCTTGCTTGAGCTTACATAGTTTTACGACGGAGTGATAATATAATATTGAATCCTTATTAAAACTAGTGTATCAGACTAAGAATGTGTTACCAGGCACAAGTATGGCTTTTACAACGATAGTTTCCAGGTTTGAAAAAATTCATTGCCCACTAAAATCCTTAGTTCCTTTTCCCTGACAGCTCAACCTTATCAAAACATTGCCAACAGGAGTAATTAGCTAATTGATGATACAGACAATAGAACCTATTCCCATATACACCCTCATCGATCCTGTTAGCTCATTATAGACATGGCATTTCAAACATGGCGTATATGCCACCGATTTTCCATCTCTTGATTAATTATTTTGTAATGGTGTTTACAAGTTGTGGAAAATGGTTGGGTTGAAATGTAATACAAAGACTTACCAGTAGATAATCAAATGAAAACTTTTTACATATCAATAAAATTTATCGTTGAGTTTCATATTAACATGTTGCAACAACTCCATCTTCCAGTAAATTCAACTAATGGCAAACATGAGAATAAACCACCTGAAACTTTTCAAACTATGTAATATAGCCAATAACATCATCAACTCAAATAAAAAATTCGTCTTCAGGACCGGTAAATTTGAAAGCCGACTCATGACTTGCAATATTCTTGGTGCATGAAAGTAAAGGAACAATTTCCGTTTCACGCATTCGATCTCTAGTGTTGTAACCACAAACTCCGCCAATAAGCGACTTGACAGTGACACTGACCGTGCCAGTTAGCGTATTTGTGAAAAACAAAGTCCGAAGCCCGCGTTTTGTTTATTTAGGCTTACTATTTTTGGCAGGTATTAAATTTTGCTTTTCAACGAGTATTAGCCAAAGGCCCGATCTCCGCGACTTACATGTAAGAGATTTCGATGTTCACAACAACAAAAAAGCTTAGCAGCAGAGAGACGTCTTTTTACTTTCCCCCTCCCCTACCCCCTAAAAAATAACTTTCCATTGTATGATTTGCATTGCGTGTCGACTCTCCGTATACAAAACTACTTTGACTGCAACATATGTGTGGTGCCACTTTGAAAAGCATCGATCAGATCTACTGCACCACAAACCGAACAACGCTCACAGTCAACTGAACCGCTGGATAAGATGCCACAGTGCAAAAAGATGTCAAACGTTTTATAGCGAAGGTTGGTGACAGTTCGCAGATTGACAGGCAGTTTCATCGGACGTTAAAAATACGACGAGCGACAAGATAACCACAGTAAAATAGTCTTTTGATCTTTGTTCAACGGTAAATGAGGTTAGAGCATTTGGAAATGTGTACCCATGTACATTTTCCGGCCTCATATAACTTGAATCATATTAAAGTATGTGTGTGACTCGCGACTGGAATGTTGACCGCAAAAGGTCAAATAACTGCATTTTAACGGACTTTGAAAAGCTTTCGTATCGCTCTCAATCATTTGCCCAAAGAAATTTTTACAGTAATATTGACAACATCTTTTGGTAATTCTACCGCCCAAAGCTTAATCCATTTGAAGGTTTAGCACATGAAGAAACTCTTCTACAGCCTGTCCTGAAGAGTTTTATTACAGTTTTTATTCAAGGGCTGGAAAATGAAATAACAAGAGCTCCGCTTTTAGGCTTGGCTAAACATTTTTCCCTTGGTCACTTGTGTTTACATTCTTGCGTCGTTCACAAGGGTCATTTCGTTTTTTTTTCGTTTTTCATTAAGTTTCAAATCCAAAGTCAGTCTTTTGAACAAATAGATTCATCTAACCCGCTATGCCTAAGGCCTGTTCCAAACGTCGTGCTACTGCCGTGCCGAACTCAAATGAAATAGTAATTTCGATTTAAGCACGGCAGTAGCACGCCGTTTGAAACCATTAAGCGCGGCACGGCTGAATTAGGTTCGGCACGACTACTTAGCGCGGCAGGCCTTGCCGTGCCGCACGGCAGTAGCACGACTTGGTTTCAAACGTTGTGCTACTGTCGCGCCGAACTCAATTCATAAATTAATTTAACGGATTTTGCATTATTTGCATACTATTACGCATGCGCACTAATGAAAAAAGACAAATCTACCCGTTTTGCCCGAAAGCTTGAGAGAAGAGGAATCCGACGGTGACAATAAATTGCTTAGGGTTAGGGTTAGGGTTTGGAAACGCCGGCACGATCGTAATACAGTAACTTGCTGGCTCTCGTCAAGGGAAACCAGAAGAAGAATAAATGAAAAAACTTTCAAAAGTAATCCTCTCCTTGCAATAACAGTATTCAATATGGACTGTTGCATTCGCCTGCGTTGCCTTCTGGCATTTAAAATTTTCTTAAACAAATTTGGATGGGGCGATACCGCTGGATGGATGGTTTGTTTTGTCTTTTGAATTTGGCGCGACTGCATTAGGTTCGACGTTTGAAACCGCTGCCGTGCTATCGTCGTGCCACTGCCGAGCCAAATTCATTTGAGTTCGGCACGGCAGTAGCACGACGTTTGGAACAGGCCTAAGCCTCTTCCTTACAGTGATGTTTATTTCAGATTTCCCTGAAATCCTGTGGTCAAGAAACCGTGACCTTAAAACTTCTTGTTTTGTCATAATCTCTTGTCTTAATCTCCAGTTGCACGTTAATCTATCAAAAGCCCTTTTTGGTAGGTTGAGGAAAAACTTCGACGACTCAAACAACGAAAGCGCATTCGCCAAGGTCTCGAATTAGTGTTATAAACATCGTTTTGCTACAAAATAATATTTCTTACTGACTTTCTCAGAAATAGAATGACGTGATCAGTACATGATTTAGTGAATGAAACAAAGAAAGCATGACATGCGTGAGGGACGTGTTACAACTTGCCTCGCTGTTTACATATGACAAAGATTCTAAATTTAGTTCTGATTGATGACTCATTGGTAGGTAGTCGTGGTTTCTTCGTTTGCTGTGTTTTGGCCAAATGATCTTATGCTGAAATACTCAGGTTTTTGTGCTGTTTTTTTCTGTGTTTGTTTTTAGCTTCGTTACTTGTCCCGCAATTGTTTCTTTTTTTTGCGTGATTACTTCATTTTAGAAAAAGAAAACTCCGGACATTAATCAAAATTAAATCTATCTATATAAAGGTATGAAATAAGGTATGTATAAGATGTATTCAAATGACAATCAAACTACGTGACATAATATGGTCGACTTTTGCGATTGGATATTTTTACGGCGACAATTTTGGGTATTTTGGTATAAGCAATGGTAATGGGCCCAGAATTTACTTTATAAAATTGTTATAAAAACTCGTTGTTTATGAGGCGACCACAACTCTAGCTCAAACACTTGGATTTTCGCGATCAAACTTTCTTAGTTTCAAAATGCAATGTCCTCAGCCAATGACTGAGTTGCATCCATAACACAAAAATTTCGATGTAAAAATAACAAAAAGAGATAACCAACCTAACCTACATGGTTTTCTGTTCGTCCAAGCCACAAGCTCAAAGGATCCCTGCTGCCTTGTAAAGTAATGGGTTCGTGCGAAGATTATAGTCACTATCAAAACATTTGTTATAATTTTAGGGCATGCTCATCAAGCACGTCTTGATTAGAAAACTTGTGACAGCACCATGCTTCAAGGTCGACAGCTGTCTTATCTTAAACCTTAATATGCAAATACCTTAAGAGATATTATTAACTCTTAATTCTTTTAATTCTTGCATCTCGTTTCACACCCGAAGTAAAACGGTCTGTTTCTTTATTTCTCCCTACTCCCCCCGCAACTATTGTCCCAAAGGATACTGATGAGGGGAATCCTTTTCTAGGGGAACTTCAAGACAGAGTGTGAATTCAGTGAAGAGTGAACATCTCTCTATTGTTTGCCAGGGAGACGGAACCCACTTTCAACTAATTCTGGACGATACCACAGTCAGCTGACATTCAGGGCAGAGAGCATAGTGACGAGAGTGCTGCCAGAATTCATAATAATGACAATTCCGCAGAAGTTAATAAGATAACAGATGCGAATGCAGCAATAAACTACTCGTAAATCATACTAACTTTATCGCTTGCCTTTGAGAACGAGACAAACTTGTCGCCTTTTGTTACTGGCATTTCTTCCGATAGGTCCTGATACCAACTATATAAATCCTTACTATATAAATTCCCCATTAGATGCAACGAAAATCGTGGTATAGTCATGCAAATTTCCGGTAGATTTGCGAACAAGACGAATGCAATAACAGCGTTAAAACGCAATCTCCTCTTGCTCTGGGAAAAAGTCTGCTAATGTCTTTGCAGACTTGTTTTCATCGTTGAATAAAGGATACAAAGAATATCATGTCCTTCCGGTTGCTATAGAGGCCTGTTTTAGCGAGTTCTTTCGCTGGAATCTATCTCATAGAGAAACATCAAGATTTCTCTTTCCCTATGTAGTCTTTCAAGTTCACTTTTAAAGTTGATGACAGTTCTGTCATTACAGAACAAATGTAATATCCGCACTTTGCATTTTTCTGAGCTTGATTAAGCACATACTGGCAATCGTGAATCACGACAATTCTGTCGCTGGTCGATTAAAAAGAAAACCTTTCCCAGCCTCGAAGTCTTTGAAACGAATGCGAATCTTTACACAAATGGCGAGCTCCAAGCTCTCAAGAACTCAATCCGAGCGTATGTTTTCAGCTACCATATTCTCGTCATCCCCAGATCCTGAGAATGATAAAGATAAAAATAATATCAGTGCCTTGCTCATAGATATTTTCGTAGTGGTCACAACCTCTTTTTTACCCTTTCTCGCCAAAAGAAGAGCGCAATAGATCTGCAGGTTAAGTCAAAATGTTCAATGATAAAATTCTCCTGTACCCAGTGATCATCCCCGAGATCGCTTTCGTGGGTAGAAATACGAAAAGAAAATTGAATACAAACCTTGATCTTTCGCCCTTCTGCGCCACAAAAGGAACTTTCTAGCTAAGATATAAGCCATTATTGCCAACCGGATACCAGTAGCCGCTAAGCCAACGGAAATGAACACATACTGGATGGTTTTGTTTACACCTGAATGAATATATCTTATTAGACGTTTGGGTGTGTAGTATCGCTGAGTATTTCTACGAGCTGTGCCGTATTTTGACCAGCCCTACGGGCTGGTCAAAATACAAGCTACGGGTAAATGTACTCAGCCATACTACACGATCATGTGAAGACAAAATTTTTTTTGGTCTCATCTCGAACGTGGCACAACAAACTAAGTTTTTGCTTAGTTTAGCAGAGAGCTCTCCGCGCCTCAGTAACAAGCATTAGACCGTGGAATCTAAATATCAGTTCTATTCCACATTAAGTTAATGCAAATTCAAATGCATTTATAGAGCTCCATACTCCACTAATTTTCCATGGCAATTGATAGAAAAATAGCTCTCGATTAAACAACATTATTCCATATTGTTCAGGCTAATTTAAATAAAATTAAAATTATATATAGGTCTTATAAGGTCTCAGATTTTCTCCTTCGTACCACACTCATGCAAAGACGACAAAACATATTTCGTCCGTGCCATTACTCTATTTATTCAAAGAAAATTATTTTAAATGGATCTTGACTACTAAGTAATCCGTCTCACCTATCGATGTTGTCTCCCTTGTTGGTGCTTTAGCGGTTGTTGATATTTTTACCGTCGTTTTTGCAGTTATTTCTGCCATTGTTGTTTGTGGTGTTGATGGTGATGTTGACGTTGGTACTGCAACGAAAAATCAAGATGCAAATATTAGATCAACACTGTAACAAAATCACTGCCATAAAGTAGGGATTGTAATAATTGCAATAAACTATACCTACTTCTTACGTCGTTAACAAAGCTTTCCATCTCATGATCGCTCACATTGGAGGCTATGCTTCGAATCTCCAACAAGAAAGAAAATAAATGAATAAATAAGTGAATAATGGCATTAATTTTTCTACATGTTGGCACAGTTTTTCTTCCAAGGGACGCCAAGAGTCGACTTCGGAAGGACTACGGTTATAAAAAACATCAAATTATTAAACTTTTTTAACTCACCAATAGATAAATATTTTCCGGGTAAGTATAGCCATAATGAGAGTTTTACAGAGAAAATAATAGCAGGAGATAGTTAGGCCAAAGTCAGTAACATTAGCCCCTTTTAACTCTTTGAACCCTAAGAGTGACCAGCAAAAAAAAAAAATTAAACAAAAAAATAATAGCAGGAGATAGTTAGGCCAAAGTCAGTAACATTAGCCCCTTTTAACTCTTTGAACCCTAAGAGTGATCAGCAACTAACTTCTCCTTACAATGTCATTCCTGAATCAACCATTAAGATCAGGAGAATGAATGAAATGATCACCAACTACAGCTCTTGATTGTAAACCAAATTATCCTAGTCAGTACATTAAAAAATGTGTAGAGAACAGTATGGAGAATATGCATGCTGATGTTAGGGTGTAAAGGCTTTTGAGTGATACGTCTGCTACTTTAAATGGTGCAAAACCAAAATACAAGGAAACCAGTATCTTAGACATTTTGAGAAGTTTTAACAGTAATAGCAGTTCACACTACATTTTACTCTCCCAATGAGAGGTACAGTGAAGGTATTCCTGCGAATATAATATACTAGCATATTTTTTGCTCAGTATTTAAAGATTTCCTCAACCTTGGACCAGCCATGGGGAAGAAGCCCAAGGCAGCGGACTGAGAGGACCACGATTCGTGAGGTATGGCCCCAGTAACCAATCAATCAAACCACTACTGCGAGTAGCTGTAAAAGAGATCGAAGGAATCACACGTTCTCTTACCTTGGGCAACACAGAGCAAAGTATACCTAGCCGGGAACCGAACCCTAAATTAACCAGGCAGCCTTTAAAGACGCCATCGGGATCTATCAATGCAACGCAAAATAGATCGGAGACTGTTAGATTCTAGAACGATTAGATTAAGGTCAAGAACCTTTTTTTTCACAGTGAGTACGTACGTATTATAGTAAATTACTAGAAAAAGAACATCAAACGTTAATGTTAATTCCAGGCCGAATTGGAATATGGCGTGTAGACGGCGAACAAGAGAAATAAATTTCTCTAGACTAAATCTTCTGAGCAAGGACAAACACCGGCTGAAACCTAAACAATGGGTGACCCAAGGTTCAAGAAACCAATTTCGGCCATAACTTTTCGTGGGGAAAGCTGAGAAAATGCCGATACTCAAACACATAAATTTTTTGGTATCTAGAGGAAGTGAGTCATGTTTATGTTCACTACCGTAAATGTAGTGAAAGACAAAGAAATTGAGCTGGGTACGCACCTTTTACTGGATTCCAAGACACATTTGCATACCAGTTAACTGTTTTTTCGCATTGTCCAAAGGTTACATTTGGCCTGCTGGATGTTAACTGTTCTGGTAAAAGTGTTCCGTTACTGGCCGTGTCCCCACAATCTTGAACGAATATAAAACCAATCATTTACTACCAAAATCTACAGCAAATCAGTTGAATAGAAACTGAATAAATTCCCATTATTTCTTTATCATTGATGCAGAATTTATTCCTCTTTAATTTGTTAATAAAAAAAGAGAAAGCTTTATCTGTATGAAGCTGTATAAAGTTTTACCTTCCTATACTGATGCAGGAAGATAACATAATAACATGAATTAATTATCAGCTACAGTTATAGCTAGAACACAGAGTGACTAATTTCTATCCGAAGAGCTTATAATTACCACGGGCAAAAATAGATCTTTTATGGCGCTCCACTGTAAAGACATGTCCACCGACATCTGTGGAGCAAAATGAAATTCTACTTTTAAAATATATGAAATGATTATAAAATTTAACTATAGACCAAAGTTTTAATCTTACATCTGAGAAAATGTACCAAAAGTACTTAATTTTTTGGTTCCTAAAAACTATCAGATATTATCTTTTTAAACTAGTTCCTTTTCTTTTAGCTCCTACAGCACAACCTAACAGTCTTCTGGAAGACTTACATTGTTAGTGAAAACAGCAGATAGAATCGGAGTTCAAATCCCGTACGGGCCTGAATTTTTTTCAGGTCCTATTTACAACTACTCGTTTCAGTAGTGTTCTTAGCTGCGAGGATCTCTTAATTTCATCTCTCCACCGCAGTGCAAATATATGAATTTTCATATATCTAAAATCTTCATTCACTTGGATGTTTATTTGGACCCAATTCATTGACCAGCTCCCAGTTGGCTTGTTAGCTCAATTGGTAGAGCGCTGCACCCAGAGGTTGGGCTACGGGCCTGAATTTTTTCAGGTCCTATTCAAGTGTTTAGCTGCGAGGATCTCTTAATTTCAGCAGTGCAAATATATGAATTTTCATATATCTAAAATCTTCATTCACTTGGATGTTTATTTGGACCCAATTCATTGACCAGCTCCCAGTTGGCTTGTTAGCTCAATTGGTAGAGCGCTGCACCGGTATCGCAGAGGTCATGGGTTCAAATCCCGTACGGGCCTGAATTTTTTTCAGGTCCTATTTACAACTACTCGTTTCAGTAGTGTTCTTAGCTGCGAGGATCTCTTAATTTCAAAAATGAACTGTGTTGATAATCAGAGAAAGAGGACAGTTTCTAAGCTGTTCCTCCTTCACTGGCTTCCAACCAATCCCGGATTACATTGAATATGATTGTATTAAATGACAAACAACTCCTCCTGACTGGTTTAGAACCATAAATGCAAAAAAAAATGTTTTTTCTGTGATGTCAATTTAGCTATTACTCGTGTCACTAATGTTTACTTTCTTGGTAAATCATCTTTTCCCTGTTGGTTTAGAACTTAAGATATGAGAGTAACTGTCTTCCATAATTTTCTAGAATAAAAAAATCGAATTTTTTTTTCAAATCTTTCAAAGATTTCCAGGTAATAAAAACATATTCACATGAGACAGAAACATATTGTTCCGCACTTCTTATTCAGCTTTATAAGTACTGGTTACCTCTCCTCCTCCTTAGACAGTGGTAGCAGGAAAGAGATTGAAATGCCTAAAAAATGCAAAACATAAGGATGAATGTATCTCAGTTAAGTTTAAAGGAATGCACATAGGCCAGGACCCTTTAGGTTGTAATCTTGAACATTGGGGCGCCTCATTTCAAATTGGTAATGTTTTTCCTAAAGATACTGTCCAGTTTACAAATTTAGCTTAGGGTCCTTTCATAGTCTCCAGTCGCATATATAAATGTAACAATCAAAAAACCTTTCTCAACATTCTCAGCCAAAGGCTGATCGCCTTGCATCACAATGTACACATTTTGATTTCAATATAACAGAAAGCGATAACTAACCTGGGCTGACTTTGTCAAAGTTTTCCGTTCGTTCAAGCCGCAAACTCGAAGGCACCGTGTTGTATGGTATTTATCTTGGCTTAAACAATTGATCAATGATCCTGCCATAATAAGTGCTCCTATAGCAACTATAGGGATTCTCGCAGTCATGGGATCCTGGAAAGACGTTTGTTATTCCAAAAGACTTGTTATAATTTCAGGGCACGTTCATCAAGCACTTCTTGAGTAGAAAAGTTGAAAGCATCATAAATCAAGGTCGCTTGGAGACTAATTTTCACTCCCATGTGATGCAAATTTTAACCGCACCAAGACATTATTCTCTTGCATCTCGTTTCACACCTGGATAAATCTGTCATTTTCCATCCCGGAAATCGAGCAAAAAATCACACTTCTCAAGCTTATTCAAGTAATAATTTCTTGTCATCGAGAAAATTTGTCAGAGATGTTGTTATAAGTAATTCGAATTTTACACCTTCAGCATCCATCGTCCTACCGGTGGGAGGAATATTCAATTGTTTAGCAAAAATGGCAAATTTCTTTTTCGGGAAACTTCAAGAAAGGGTGAGAAGTCAACAAAACATGACCATATCTTTGTTGTCCGCCAGGGAAACGGCACCCATCCTCAACTAATTTTGGAAGTTACGAAAGTCAGCTGACATTTAAGGTAGAATGCATAGTGAGGAGAACGTTGCCAGGATTCGTGACAATAAATAAAACGCAATAATTAAAAATATTACATAAGCAAATAAAACCTGCCACCAACAAAAAACTACTCTTAACTCATTCTTACTTTATCGCTTGCCTTTAAGAACGAGACAAAATCGTTGCTTTTTGTTACTGGTATATCTATCGATAGGCACTGGTGCCAAAACAGTAAAAAAATTCAATTCTGCTACGCTTCTAAAGAAAAACGTGGACTGTGAAATAATGACTTTATATGGGGTAACTTTCCTTTCACTTTTCATTTATTCGTTCATTCATTTAATCATCTGATGCTTTTCAAGTTTGACATCCCTTGGTTGAGAAATTCTGCCTGCACCCCTAAAGAAACACATGGTGAAGGTTTTCTCAACATTCGTTAGCAAACTTTGTCCAACGTTCAGGTGACAGGGATCCATTGGATGCTTGATGAAATGCCCAATTGGTTCGACAAATGCTGTCCACATGTTGAATAAATGCGCACATGAAGCATATCTATTAGTAGTTGAAAGCATAAGCTTAAATATAGGTTTCTTCAACCGAAATAATAAAGATTACATACACATTTCCAGGCGTTGTCGTTATTTGGGCCGTAAAACCTTTTTAAAAACCTTTATTCTCGTATATTTCCGAAATGACAATCCCATAGTGTACTGTTGCAAGTGTCGAGATACAATTCCATCCCCATACTTCGTTACCACTCTTCTTGGGAATAACCAGCAAGATGGTTCGGCTTTTCCAGAAAGGTCAGTTTGCCAAAACAAAGACAAAGTCGACAAAATCCCGCATACCATTATCACATTCCTAATCATGGCAACACTTTGTCCTATTCAGATCATGGCTGCAGATATAAATTTGCAATTGCTCTGTGACCACTGCAACGACCTTTCCTATTAAATGCTGCGAAAAACATGAATTTAATGTAGATTTTCTGTAAATGTACCGACAAGGCCAAATGCAGTAGCAGCAATAAATTCTATGTCTTTGCAGACTTGTTTATATCGTTTAACAAAAGATACAAAGAGTATTATGCCCCTCCGGTTGCAATAGAGGCCATTTGAATTTAAAGCGAGTTCTTTCCCTGAAATCTATCTTATGGACAAAGGATTTTTCTTTCCTTATGTAGTCTTTGAAGTCCTTTTTTTAAAGTTGATAACACTACTCCCCCACAAGCCTTCACTGACATTCTGGTGAGCGAGCTCCACTTTTAATATCTGCACTTGATTTTGCACATACTGGCAAATGTGAAGCAAGATAAGTTTGTCGCTATTAATTTAAAAAAACCTTCCCAGCCTCAAAGTCTCTTTAACGAATGCGAATATACAAATGACGAGCTCCTGGCAGCCTACACTCAATCCAAACCTTCGTCATCAGATATAATTTTTGTCTCATCTCCTGAGAATAAAAGATTAAAAAGGTCATTATCGTTTTCTTTCTCACAACTTTTTTTCGTAATGGTCACAACATATTTTTCCCCTTTCTCGCCAAAAGACGCATAAGAGCGCAATAGACTTACAGGTTGAGTCAAAGCGTTCAATCACAGAATCCCCCTGTACCCAGTGATCACCCTTTTTTTCTTTTCCTTTCTCGCCAAAAGACGCATAAGAGCGCAATAGACCTGCAGGTTGAGTCAAAGCGTTCAATTATAAAATCCCCCTGTACCCAGTGATCACCCACGTGATCGCTTTATTGAGTACAAGTATGAAAGGAAAATTGAATACAAACCCGGTTGATCTCTCGTCTTGCGACACAAAAAGAACTTTCTAAGTACGACAACAGCAACTATTACCAAAAGGATACCAACCGCCAAACCAACGAAAATGGACACATACTGGATGGTTTTGTTAGTACCTGAATAAAGATAAAATAAGAAGGATGGCTAATTTTGAGGTTAGTAATGAGAAAAGTAAAAATGTATTTTTTTGTTGTCTCATATCGAGCGTGAGACAAAGAACCTAGTATTGGCCCACCTAAGAAGAGAGTTCTCTGTGCCTCAGTGGTCGAGCAGTAAAGCGCGGATTTCAAAGGTCTGTAGTTCTATTCCTTCTAAAGTCTCCTTTGAGCCATGCTCGAGGCAAGATGAAAAAACATCTTTTCTCATCTCATTAGTCTATTTACTCAAAGATAAACTGTTTTACAAGGATCCTGACTAAAATATAAGTCGTCTCACCTTTCTTTGTCGTCTCTTTTGTTGGTGCTTTAGAAGCTGTTGATGTTTTTACTGTTGTTTTTGCTATTGTTGTTTGTGTTGATGTTGCTACTGTAATGGAATATCAAGATTCAGATATTAGATCAACAATGAGAAGTAGCAAAACAACATATTCAGTCAACTTCACTGCGATAAAGTTATCATCCGATAAGCTTCCTCGATGTTTGGCCCCATCTTTCGACGGTCAAAACATTCTATCTTGGACAAGACAGAGACAGAAGGCTTCAGAATTAATGTTTTTCTCGTGATTATAAGAAAAAAAAAAACCAATTACGATGACTGATTTATGTTCGCTGCTTGTGCTGCATCACTAATGAGTACAAGCTCGCAGGCAAGGAGGAACTTTAGTGATTGCAATTAACTATACCTACTTCTTACGTCGTTAACATATCTTTCCATCTCAGAAACAGTTACATTGGAGGGTATGCTTTGAATCTTCATAAAGAAAGAAAATGAATTAATAAATAAATAGGTGAATCATGGCTTCTTATTTTCCACTATTAGGCACTAGTTTTCTTGCAAGGGGCGTCAAAGGCAGACATCGGAAGGACGATGGAAATAAAAACATCAAATTGTCAAAATCTTTTCACTCACCAAGAGATTAATTAGGTCCGGGTAAGTATAGCCATAGTGAGAGATATTAATGCTGAGAGACGTTTGATTCTACAGGAAAGAAAGTAATGGCAGGAATAGCATCTTACTCCTCCTTACAATATCATCCCTGAATCAAACATTAAGATCAGAAGAATAAACGAAATGATCACCAAATACAACTCTTGATTGTAAACCAAATTCTCCGAGTCAGAACATTAAGAAATGTATAAAGAACAGTGTGGAGAATATTCATACTGATGTTAGGGTATAAAGGGTTAAAAGCCCTCATCTTGATATGTATCTTTCGAGTGATACATCTATTACTTTAAATGGTGCAAAACCGAAACACAAGGAAACCAGTATCTTAGACATTTTGGGAAGTTTTAACAGTAATAGCAGTTCACACTGCTCGTTACTCTCGCAATGATAATTTTTGAGGAAGACCAGTACAGCGAGGGTATTCCTGCGATTGTACTAGCTTATCATGTGATCAACATTTGGAGATTATCTCAACTCTAAACCAGCCAGGAAAGAATCAAAATATTTTTAACTAAAATTATTTCAATTGGCGAAGTAAGGCCCCTCGAATCTGTTTACCGAACCCAAAGGATCAAAGTCTACCGGTAGAAGCTGAACAGGATGTAAGAGAAGTCCCCCGTTTTCTTACCTTAGGCAGCACAGAGCAAAGTACACTTGGATCAGAACCGAGATCTAACTCAAACTTGTAACCTTTCAAAACGCCATCAGGATCTAACAATGCAAGGTAAAAAAGATCGGACACTGTCAGATTCTAGAATCGATTACGATCAAGAAATTATTTTCGCTACAAGTATTTCATGAGTAAAATGCTAAAAATCATTTTATTTGAGGAAAAAAAGGTCCCTACGTACCACTACCAGTGTTTCTTCTTGTAAAAAATGACAAACAAGCAAATCATTGTGTATTTTATGAGTTCCAGCAAGATATCGTGTTGTTCATGATTGCTTCCAAAGTAGTTCTATACCTTAATTAAATAAATTAAATCAGTTACTGGTGAACTTGCCGAATTGGAACGTGGCGTGTAGACTACAGAGCTAAATCTCCGGCTGAACTAAACCAAAGAACTCTAGAGAACCGGCAAAAACCCTCGAAGCAAGAACGAAAACTAACTAAAACCCTAGCAACATGTGACCTAAGGTTAATGAATCCAATCCGGGAATAACGTTAGTTGGCCCAAATTGGATATTCCCTTCCCCCTTATAGAAAGCATTTGATTCTGAACATTCGAGGAAGCTGAGAAAATGCCAATTACTACTCAAAGACAATAATTACCAGAGTTAAGGGGGAGTGTCTTATGATTCTGTTCACTAACATAGTTATAATGAAATTGTCACAAATTGAGTTCGGTACACACCTTTAACTGGATCCCAAGACACATTTGCATACCAGTTAGCTGTTTTTTCGTATTGTCCAAAGGTTACATTTGGCCTGGATGTAAACTGTTGTTTCGGGAAAAGTGTTCCGTTACTGGCCGTGTTCCCACAATCTAGAACAAATATAAAACCAATCATTTACAACCAAAATCCACAATAAATCAGTTAAATAGAAACTTAAAAAATTCCCATTATTTCTTTTGTATTGATGCAGAATTTATATTACTTTAATTTGTAATTAAAAAAGAGAAAGCTATATCTGTATGAAGCTGTGTAAAGTTATTTTATCTAAACAAATTTAAACAACAACCTAAACAAATTTAAAATCGCCAAAATTTGCAGCAGATTAAGCTGGATAGAAATTGCATGATTTCCTTTATTTCATTTGGATCATGACGTACCAAAAAAGAATTTGTTCTCCTTTAAATTTTCATTTCCAAAAGACGAAGTTTTTACCAAACAAAGCTTTTTCCGGTCACACACTGATGTAGAGTTAAACTGCCAGCAATTTATTAACAGCTACAATTATAGTAAGTACACACGTTGACTAATTTATGGATAAAAGAGTACCATCTATAGAAAAAGATCTTTTTCGGCGCTTTGCGCTGGTCTTCGCAGTAAGGACACCGATATCTGTCAAGAAAAATCAAAAACCTTTTTGAAATAAGTGAGAAATGAGTATGAATTATGGCAAGACCATATTTTCAATTTCACAAAACATACCAATAGCATTCCTATTTTTATTAAAACCATGAAAAATTATCAATTTAGACTCCTCCATTTCCTTTTAGCACGTGTAGAAAGCAATCTGTTTCTCTTCAGGAAGACTTAAATTGTTTTCGTAAACAGTCGATTAAATTCGACCTAAGCTATCGATAAATAAAAATTAATTGCTGTTGATTTTCAGAGAAAGAAGATAGCTTCTGAACTGCACTTCGTTTACTAGTTAAAAACCAATCCTGGACTATACCGGTTGTAAATAATTAATATGATTTTATTAGTTAACAAACAACACTTTCTGGTTGGTTCAGAACCATATATGTAAAAGTGCATTTTTCTATAATGCAATAAGAATTTCGTATATTTTAGAGAAACAGAAATGTCGTGATTTATCAAATTTGTGGTTCAGCATTAAGTTTTGTGTACCTCTCCTGCTCCTTTTACGACACCGGTAACAAGAGAAAGATTTCAGGACCTGCATAGAGAAAAAAGACAAAAGCACCGCTGTTGTAAGGGGCTACGTCGCTTAGTATGTGGCTGCAAGCAGTAGCTAACACAAACTGGAATAATGCACCTTTAAACCCTACAAAAAATTTCCTGTAGGTCAAACCAATGAAAGAGACTAACAGATTTGTCTCGGTTGCTTTGTTGTTCAGCGATACAACATACTCTTATAAATCCCGCAATATCACGTCATTCTGGGGTGTCACGCTCCAATAATCAAATAAATGAGTATTCAAACGCCACATGGCGTGACTTTTTCAAACTCATTGGATATCGATATCGATCCGACCGGTTTATCCTGTTACACAGCAGTCTTTTTTGTTTGTACGAGTTATGTTCAAGCTTGTCACAGAGGTTGAACCGGAGGCCAACACATTTAAATGAATGCAATGTACTGATACGGTACTTTATTTTCTTACTTGTCGCGGAGACATATTTGCTTTCTATTTCGATTACCAACGAGGTCACGAAAAGTAAATTTATTCCACGGACCAATGATTCCTTGAGTCGCACACATGTCGGGAAACTTCGAGTCTGTATCTTTGAGGTTCAAAGTCACTCAACAGCTCGAAAGTGAAAGCGCCACTTTTAATAGCCTAAGCATGCTTCTAAGCAATTCTGACTAGGAAAGTTTGTTCTAATTTTAAACAGCTGAGCGTTAATTCATAACGGCAAACCCCTTGCTGTTTTGTAGTACATTTTGCCCTTTCTACCTTTATTTCATTCGACTTGTGTTTTTTAACTCATGTCAACGCAAAATCTAGAGCTTACACTACTGACCTAGCCGTTTGTATTCAAACATGTCACGTTTTGCCGAAGCTGCTCTTTCCCTAATGGCAATTCAATTCAATTCAATTTCAAATTAACATTAAACCTAGATAACGTCTTCTGCCTCCGAACGGCTTGGTTTACACCACAATGTAAAAGGAAATTTAATGTGTGTATAAAGAAACGGATACGTTACCTGAACTCTCTCGGATAAAGTTTTGTCTTTTTCCAGCCCACAAGCGCGAAGGCACCATACAGACTTGTTTATGTTTGCGCGTAATACCTCAATCGAAGATCCCGCTATGAAAGCAAAGACAGCTATCGTCATGACAATGATTCGCGCAGGCATGGTTCTTGTGAAACGCTCTCCCACCGTGTATTGACTTGTAAACAGGTTCAATGAAAGTTTCACAGGAAAAGAAGCTTTTCCCCTGGAGAAGAAAAGCTAAATTAGTACAATAAATCACGAGCAACTTCAGTCTGCCGGCAGTTTGTTTTCCTCTAAATATAGAACGAGTGCTGCAGGGGGAGTAGAGATTGGGACGAGATGGCGTCACGATTTCGCCCCAGCCTCTCTCATTTTGAGTCAACGTCCACTGTCAGGCTCGTAGAGGCGAACAAAGAAATATGAGTAACAAAAGATAATATGCTTTCCACTTGACCCATCTTAAAAACTCTAATTGCACAACCGTGGAGGATATTGAACTCAACTGGCGGTAAGGGCGGAAAGCATGATCAGGAGAAGGTTAACGAGATTTAATGACAACAGAGGCCACGAAGAAGAGTTTCTTAAATCCCCTTATTAATTAGTTTATTAGAGTAATATCAAAAGAAAAATTACAGTTTCATCCATTTTTACAATTCATTTATGTATTGTTTGTTTAGTTATTCATCTTTTATTAATTTATTTGTATATAAATGTATGTATCTTTTCAAGCGTGTTTGCGACTGCGGCTCCCCACTGTTATAAATAATCACCCAATGAAGATAATACAACCTGCCGACATTCTAGGAATATGTTTGTCTGGGAATCCTTAAGTCAGAGAGTTTAGCCTAAATCCCTAAAACATAATCATAACTACTACAACACGCAGCTTAATGATATTGCATTTGATAATTGGTTGAATGTCCATGCACGTGTTTATACATATGTACCTGTCATGGTTGACATGAGAAGAAATGTTTAAAACGGTTTTCTCTAAAATGAAAAAATCCAATCTATATTTAGGGTGAAGTGTTAGGCGCTCCAAAATTACTCCTTTGTGGTTTTGTTGTTAATCTCGTTGATATATATACATTTTTTTCAAATTTGCCTATGTAGAATCGCCGTCCTTTCCTTTTTTAAAGCAATCGTTTTATTCCATGTGCATACGTCGTTATTATTGTCCTTGAGGAAATCCAAGAGCACAAGATTGAGCTACAAGTTTTCTTTACTACAAATAAAAAAAGAAATCTCTAGTCTCAGTACCAGAATTTCAAGATCCATCTCGTCTGTCACATAGCGATTTATCTGGCTTAAAAAAAACTACTTCGGTGTAATCACTATCAGTGCTGTTAGTCAGAGTTCCTGCACTGCCAATTTTTACAGTTGATACTTTTACTGTACTCTCAATATTGCTGTTGTTATTGCTTATAATTAGGTTCACCCTTTTCCTTCGCAATATTCCTCTCAGTCCTTCGTTTTCTGGAATCAACCCGTCGTTACTTGAGCAACAAGCCATCGGTAATTGTGAGAAAATGCGCGCAAATTCTTTATATGCCAATCTTCACTTATAATAGACTGTTACACATAGGATATTACGGTGTCATCGCTTTTTGTACTGTCAAGCCTGTTGTACCGAGTTATTGCTAGGGCATTTTTCGCCTCAGATGCGGCTGGTCTGCCTGTCATTACTGTTGCTATTTTTCTCTCTGATCTAACCGCAACGGGCACCTTTAGAAACTGAAGGAGCTTTTTCTCCCAATAAGGTTTTTCATGATTACTGTCATAGTCGATCACGCTTCTATTCTGCAACGTTCTAGGAAGCTCTTGTAAATCTGCGTCATCAATTCTTATGATGACCAGACTGTTGTCATTTTCGCTTAAAAGTCGTTGCTCCGCTTGTTCCAGCTCATAACAACAGTTAGTACTTTTTAAAAAGTTCTTTGAATAAACAACTATGTTTTTGTAGCTTGCGTATACACTCTCTGACATAGTCTCATAAAAAACTCTCCCAGGGTAAAAGTCTCTGTAGTGAACTCGGCATTTTAGTTTATGTTGTTTTTCAAGAAGGTGTAGAAGTTTGTTTTTCATCCATTTACAGTCTCTTTCGTTAAACATAATGAATACGTAGCTCTCCACTCCTGGACTATCCAACTCTTTCCCTTCAGATCCTGGAGTGCTAGGCAATGTTATTCTAGACCCTGAAAATATGAGAAAATAATTAAAACCTGTAATGTGCTATTTCTGCTTTCAAGCACCTCCTGTTTAAGCGAGGGCTGGCTCAGAACCATTGTTCCTTCCTTCCCTTAGAATGATTCTAAGGTAACCGAACAGCCCAAGAGAAAAAAATCAAACAAGAATCAGAGATTTAACAAAAAGGTTCACTTGGCATGAGTCATGCTAAAGAGTTTGCTGAATGAATCTTTGGCTTTAAACGTTCTGTGAATAAGTTGCTATATATTGGTAGCTCACGAATGGCTTTCCGACATGCTTTGATAAAAAATGGAAACGAAAAGAAACCACACACTCCCAGGTTCAGAATCTCAATAGATGCTGCCCTTTAATAAGATATACAAGTTCGTTTTCCATTCAGTGGTACTCTGTACGGTTTAGTATTATGAGCTCCTGATTTAAAAATCTTTTAAAGAGGTCTTAAAAGCGATTGAACATTTTTAGTCTTTACTATTGAGATTTTAAGAATTGTCAGACTTCTTCTTCTCTATCACCAACGAAAGGATAATATTTGCCTATTTACTGAGGGAGTGCCAGATAGGAAGACATTTGGCTTTAGTTAATGACGTGCAGACCTCGGGCCAAATATTTTTCTACGCTAGCTGCGCAAGGTTCGAGTGTCGTCTCCACTGACCAAAACATCGAGTAAACGCTCGATGTTTGTGTGACCGTCATGTCCTGCTAAATGTACGGCACCACAGAAAATACGAGTGAAAATGAACTCTTTATCTCAGAAATTTTAAAGGTTAGTAGAAAGAAAACAACAGCAAATTTGGGAATGAAGCCTTGCCAGCCACAAAAAAAAATGACCAAGTTAAAAATGGGAGAATTTCTAACTAAAGTAACATCAGACATGTTTAAATGTTTAGAGGACAAAGACAAACCTGCTGAGAAAGAAATGCGTTCCATGGGCCGCGACACGAACTTTCTGCGAAAAATAATAACCAGTATTCCTACCAGGAGACCAACAAGGATACCAGCAGATATGAAAACATATTTGATAGCTTTGTTGTTATCTGGACGAACAGAATGAAATCAAATTAACTGTAAGTACAAAGTTTTGTTTTAAAGAAGATTCAAATCTATGTCAGCGCTAATCCTCTTTTGATGTCAGAATCTGACCAAACGCGCACCTAACCCTGCCCCAACCTAACACTACACCTAACTTGTTATCAGTTGACTCCTTGAAATAATGCTGGATGCAACTCGCGTATTGCTCCGATGTTTTGATGGAGAACGTAAGGATGCTGCATTCAATGCAGGACACATTCAAGTGAGCAAAATTCACGGCACTGGATTTGTTTTTCCTAAATAGTTCTGGGATTCTCGAAAACGGTGATCATTTAGAAATAATCGATGAGAATTTCATTGGCTAAGTCTTTCCCGCATTTGCGCTCAACATAGCACGCTATTGATAGTGATATAAGAAGACTTATTCTTCTCTCTCTTTTAAGCTGATTTTAGACAAATTATAGAAACCACGAATGTCTTTCTATCCTATATTCATTTGACTCTATTGCTCAATCATTTATTTGGATTTCGTAGTCCATAGTAACTTGAAATATGTTGCATTAAAAAAAAGAAATGATAGAGCAGAAATTCTACTCGATTTGTACAATGAAAGCAATACTTAACGCGCTCTAATTGAAGGCACAGGAGAAACTGGAATTATTGTATTTGAACTTACCTTTGTTAGAGAGGGTTCCCTGTGCAGTTGTTGCTGAAGAAGACTTAAACAAAGTAGAAACTGTAAATGAAAGAAGGCTGCATATGAATAAACGTTGAAGTGTTATTTTCGTATGTACTCGTGCGTCAGTGATAAGTGAATTACTACAAGTTCATTCATGACGTTTAATTTAATCATTTAAACATAGAGAGGATATAAAAACACTGGTGGGAAAATTATAAAATCCGTTCCAGGAAATAGAGGATCTCATTTTTCTTTTACCATCACAAATCTTACCTTTCGTTATTTCATCACTTGTAGTGGAAGCTCCTGTCGTTGTCGCCGTTGTTGTTGTTTTTGTCGTCGTTTTCGTTGTTGCCGTTGTTGCCTTTGTTGCCGTTTCTGTCTTTGTAGATGTGGTTGGTGATGATTCTGATGATGGTGCTGTTGAAGAAGATAATAAATAACAGAAAATAAATAACAGACGCAAAGAAAGAAGAGACACAAAAGAAGATAATTTCTAAACAGGTGTTTCGAGTAAAGTATCTTGTAATACCCGACACAGCAACACAGTTTCTTTAGAAACTTCCTCCTTTGATTCACCGAACCATAAGTTTCTTTTCGTAAAAAAAAATTGTTTGATTATTATAACCCAAACATTACCACACGTTTTTTAAACCATGATGGCACGGTAAGGGACTTTATGATGCCCAGGACACAGAGCATCAAAATGATGATGGGAAATAAAAATTTTCCAAAAACCATTCGAAAGAAGTGACTAGATATACGAGTAAGTCATTTTCTTTAACAGGAGTCCAATTCTTTCTTTAACAGGAGTCCATTCTGCTGTATGTCTTTACTTTTACTGCCAAACGAAGCAGTAGAATTTCAATAATTAAATACTTTCACACATCTGTTGTCTTTGACCCTCTACCTTGATTATTTATTTATTTCACCACAAACCTCGACAATAACTATTACATTTAGTATATAACATACAAGTAAATAGTCCTTTTCTCGCACGCTGATTGGCAAGTTAGTACTCCTCTAGTGAATAATCGTTCTTTTGACTGATTAAAACTCACATGGATTATCATACTTTTCCAATGCGATGCCTCGTAAATTATGAGGGATGCTGAGGATCTTTAAAAAGGAGAAAATGAAATCAGTGATTGCAGAAATTAAGAACGTCAGACAAAGTTCAGTGATCGGCGATTCCATGCAAGTATGAAGCCAAATGAAGAGCTAGAAAAATTAAATCATCGCTGACCATTTTTCGAGTATCCTATCCACAAAACAAGACTAAATCACTTGAATCAGAAGGACAGAAAAACTCACCCCAAGTTCTATATAATCCGGGTAATGATAACCATACTGTGAGATGTTTATTCTAAGGGAAGTTTGATTCTGAAAAAAAAATTGGGAAAACTGATCATTTCATATGTTATGTTCGCGTCGATTGCAGGAATGCAACGTTTTTCATCCCGCGCTAGTGCTGCACATAAAAAGTGAAAAAGTGTTGCTTGCAAATGTTATTACAATTTCGTCAAATTTTGGATGGTAAAAGACATGACTGATTGCCCATCACTGATTTTACTTAAACTACTTGGCGTTGCTTTGATTACCATCACTTTACGTATACCTAAACTGACTGTCTATAGATTAAGTCTCACAGCTTTTCGTGTCAAACGGTCGTCGCAGAACTCAAAGGTATCCGTGATCTCACCTTTGGAAGTGCAATACAAAATATGTCTGGCCCAGGACCAACTGATAACTTAATTAGATGTCCTTTCAAGTATTTATAAGGATCTAGGACAAAGAAAGGCAAACAAGTATAGTAGATCATTAGAGTGAAGGATAAGCGCAAAATGGCGGGAATGCAATACATACAGAGCTTCATCAGTTCACCTCCACATAAACTTCACCTTCCCATACTTTTGAAACATTTTCTGTTCAAAGAAAGTTTTTCAAAGCTGCAAACGTTTCGATAGCCTATTTCCGTCGATGCTCAGACGGAAAAGAGGGAAACGTGAGAAATCCTTAAAGAATTTTGGATCCATATTTTGATACTAATATTTATCCTGGTTGAAAATCATTACTCAGTGGCTTGCGCTGAAGAGCTCGGCATGAAATACGAGGATTAATGGATTTTATTGAAACTACGATTCTGGTTGTATTAAAAGCCGAACATAAAAGAATTTAAGTACCATTAAGTGGATCCCATGATACGTCTGCGAACCAGTTGTCCGTATCTTCGTATCGTCGAATGGCTACAAAAGGTCGTGAAGGATACTGCTCTTCAGGCACTGGTGTTGATTCATTCACTTTGCCCGGGCAATCTAAAATAAAGGGATTCAACCATGTTACTGCTCAATCAGATATGTTCAACAAGAATATGAAGAGTCAAAATTATCCAAAACTTACTATTCGAAAAGGTTGATCTTTTTCGGCGCTGAAAGATTGTCTTTTCCACAAAGGTGTGCTTCGCTGTAAATGATAATATCAGTGTTTTTAACTTTTGTTGCATGATCTAAAATTTTCAAAAGAATATAACTTTTTATCCGTTCAAACATCAAGAGCCAGTAAAACGTTTGAGTTTATTTGTATTTAAAGGCGAAACATTCATATCGCCCCGAGGAAAGATAAGGGTGAAAAAAAAAATCCTGGTTTTAACAAACAGTATCTTCTATAACTATTGATTATTTGGAATACATTCGCTGAAATTTTTGATGCAAATGTTTGAAAGAAAAATTCTTTAAAAATTCCTCATTCTCTTAACTAATAAGTGCATATGGTTTGAATACTGTCCGGCCTAATTTTCCGATCCACTAAAGTTAACATAAAGACGTCACTCTGGTCACCAGCCTGCCATCACAACCGTATATTCATTTTATATGATTTTTGTACATTTCATTGAATGATTGATAGCTTATAACAAGAACCGACAGCGCTTCTAAATTATTACTTTTGCACACTTCTAAACCCCTGGACACGAAAGTAACTATTTTTGTAAACAGAAATCAGTTCCTTTCTTTTAATTCTCATTCCCTTGCGTTATTTTTTGTATAGTGGCTACAGATTATGAACACGCAAGAATAAAAACGTCTTTAGTTTAGTGGCTTATTCACTCTTGAGCCGTTTCCACACATTACCTGATCTCCTTCTGAGACACCGGTTGCAGAGGACTGAATTTAGTACCTGTGTATGAACAAGAGAGACAATTGGAAAAAAAATGATTCAAGATATAAATAATTAGGTAAGTCATGATATTAAGTGATTTTATTTATTCTCTTTCCAATTCAGGTTGTTTCAGGAGAATCAATATTACAGACGTATATATAGATTTTGGTCCGGGTCTAAATATTTCGTTCATTGCCAAAAGCGTACTCCTGTATCATGTTTCCCTATTTTCCCGGAAACTTATACTTCCGTCAACATAGAAAAATAATTTTAATGTGTGAATAAATTTGCAGGTACTTAGTTTTTGTACAGCTTATGTGAACCTTCCCTTTATAACCTACATCCATAGAAATATTTACAATGTTTTTATGACACTATACCTACTACAAATCTTTAATCGAACTCTTTACTAATCAACACTGGTGAAATAACTTGGTTCCTCACAGTTCTTTTGAAGGAAGTCATTTAACTCAAGTGGTCTTCTTCATATTTATGCATCGATGTCAAGTCCTTGCGTGGAATCAATAATGGATACAAAACTTCAATAGTTAATCACCCAGGTTGATTGATGAAACAATTGAAATGTTTGAAAGAGAAGATGCAGTCGTCAATTGATTATCAATTGTTTTTTAACTGTTTTCGCCATGGAATTGCATTGTATAGTCATCTCTGTAGTGATTTACGTCCAAAGTGCACTGGAAAAAAAAGATTTCCACTTCAACGTGGGTAAACAAAAATTTTCAATGGTTCTTCTAGATCTTTCGCTAATCACAGAAACACCGCTGATAATCAAACATGTGCTTTTTCAAAGAATCTAAACGTCATATCATATCTTTTTGTGATGATTAATAATCATTCATTATTTTGACAAAATAAGTGCTTATCACTTATAAGTCGCATGATTGGCGATGGGGGCTGCATTTTCAATATTTTCGTGATGCTGATTCACGCCCTTTTATCGTGTCACACAGCTTTCTCGGTTTGCATTCGTCGTCCATTGTCGATACTGGCTACAGTAGTGAATGACAATCTCAGAATCGCCCTGAGGCAAAAATCATTCTTTTCAAGAGACAATGAAACAACATCGCATAAGTTGATTCAAATGCTGCTGAAAACACCAACAGTAGTATCGATACCTAGCAGTCTGCCAAAACAACGTAAAGTCCTCATTCAAGTGCTCTCCTATGACCACTGGTTTTGCACCGGAAGCTTTTCGTCTCCGGTTCAAACCTGATGTCACGATGAATGCAAGGTCTTGATGAATGTTTTGATTGCCCTACGTCGTTCAAACCTGTTTTTGTTTTGTTTCGAACGCTAATAATTCGGCAGCGAATTAAAAAGGTCCACAGATCCCTAACAAATATCCAGTCTCAGCAGTTTACATAGATTGGGAGTTTTCCAAGTTGATAGCTGAGAATTGATCAATGAGTTTTAAGAAAATATTTCTCAGACTAAAGCTTTCTAAGACTAACAGCTTTCTAAGACTAGTAGCTTTCCAAGTCCTACATTTGCTGATTCGACTTTTGATTCAAAACTCGTGCCAATGCATAAAAACAGAATTGAACCGTTTTATGACATCAAGAAATTCTTACAATAAAAATAAACTGGAGAAGGAAGAAAAATAGGATTCATTCCGGTTTGCATCCTCTGATACTACCCTATATCAATTTGGCAATTCTTAATTAATTCGTAAGAAGCTTTTTAATCAAAATACAAACAAAAGAGGAAAAACGTGTTTGACATTTTTAATCTTAATTCTGTTTTCCCTTGCAACTTACACCAGCGTGTCTAATATTTTTTCGCCAAAGTTCAAGCTCAGCAAGCTTTGAAAAATGTGCTCCTCGTCTAAAAGAATGAAAAATCACACATCCTGCTCCCAGCAGGTTTTTGATCAAAACAAAAGCTACGAAGAGCATGAAGGAACGCGAATTAACTTTGAGGTGTAAATTTATCAGACGCAAATGAGTGAAATTGTAAATCAGAGCGAGAGGCTGTATAGAAAACAAATGAGTATCTTGATGCCTTGTCTCTGAATATGATGTTTTTCGACCATTACTTGATTTTTTTACCTCGCCAGATCATTAAGAATGTTTTCATGATATTCTTTCCAAGAAAAAGTACGCTCTCTGCATATGTGATGCAGACAAAACTCAAGTAAATATAGAATAAAGAAAATAAGAACAGAGATTTGAACAAAAATAGCAACAGCACAGTGCTCCGTGGGTATCTAAGCACCAAATGGAAAAAAGAGAAATTCCGCAAATTCTCGAAATAAATCGTGACTTCATGGTTGACCTATTTGATAATGATTTGATGCACACAAGTGATCGCGATCTGATTTAATTGCATGATGATTCTATCATTCTACATTTGATAAACCTTCCATGATACCCCAAAGTTATTACCTAAATGGATATACGAGGTAGTTCTTTTTCTTATTAAAGAACGTCTAACTAATTTAATTGAAATAAAACGGTGCAAAATCTTTTAGGGTTTGTTTACCACATACTGAGCTGATGCGAACGAAAAGCTTACCAATTACGGCTCACTCGAAGACCCTATTCCTGTGTTTGATTATTTTTATCTTCATAGGCGCATTACCCAATTACTGAACAAATTCCTTTCTCTGTAAATTTGCATGACGTTTGCCACAACCTCTTGCCCAGTCACCTTCCAGTGTGATTTTTATTTGCCAATTAAATGAATAATTACAGAGCTGTTGTCAGCTGGGGCTGAATGTTTCATTCTCCGCTTACAGTTGAGTTGGCCATCATAATTAAGACCTTAACTTCGGCTGTAAATCTCAAGAAACCGATAATATTCATACCTGAGGTGGCTTTGTGAGAGACATCTTTTTGTCCAGACCGCAAGCGCGAGAACATCTTGTTTTCTCGGCCACCTTTGCTCCTAACGTGTTTATCAATGCTCCTGTGATAACCAAGAGAACGGCTGCTAAAACCCGCAAAGGAATTGTTGCAGGCATGGGTTCTTGCGATCCTTTGGCACCGTTTATTAACTTGCGACAGTTTCACGAAGGGTTGGTCACGAGACAAAGAATTCCATCATGAGCAGGAAAGCTGCCGAAACACCACATTTAAACAGGATTCAAATGCAAATTTCAAACAAGTCATAATGGCCCATTTTTGCTTTAGTTTTTATTTGCATCTCGTTTCACACTCGGGTAATTCTGTCGCTTTCGATTATTAAGATTGATCTCCAAGATCTCTTTGTTAATGATTAGGTAAAATATTGATGAAATAGGGAGAATTTTTTTAAGTCCACATCACTGATTATACCGCTTGTTCATTAATTCCGGCTGCTACGATAGGAGATTCAGAGTACATCATGCCTGTTTCTTACTTTGATTAATGCGATAAGAAATAAAAAACCAGCTTCAGGAAATGAAAGTCAACTACTTGGATGCAGTGAAGCTACATGTTAGTGCATGAAATATGATCCCTCTTGAAAAGAGCACGTTGTTTCCACCTACAAGTGAAAACTGGCAAACAAGGCAGGCTTGTCCCTGGTTTGAGGGTTTAAGTGTTAAAATAGGCTATTGGAACAATTTATAGCAATAGATTTATAAATTTGGTAATCAAAATAATAGCAGAGATTCAAGCTGAGGAAAATGGTGAGCCATGAGCTGAATATAATCGCGCGTGGCTTCGATTTTCGTGGGGTATGAACAATCAAGTCGCGAATCAATGCTGTTAACTAAAAGAGAACCCGCACAATCATTATGAGCAAACTCAAGCTGGGAGAATGCAATAAGTCGGCAAAAAATTTCACGTTTTCCTCTTTGGTATCGATCGCTAGTAAAAAGAGGCTTCCTTCACCAAAGTTACCGGCCACACGGGGGTACAAGAAGCGCAAGGCACGACGGTACCTCTTTCTGCCAACTCCATCCTCCTCACCCATTCATTTCCATGTAACGTGCATCATGAAGACAACTTGGTACAAGTCAGGCTTCCCCTGATTTGTTTCGACTTGTCCCTCAGGTGACTGTTCCAACTACTTTTGGTTAAAACCAGACTAAGAGAAGTTTCTTTTCCTACGCTCGTTTATCTACAAAACCACGAACTACTGGAATTATTTTTTTTCAAAAACGGTCATCTCAGAAATTCATTAAAGAAACAAGTTTCAAAAAGTTCAAAAGCTATTTTTTCTGTTGTTGCTGTTTGTATTTTTAAATATAGGTATTAAGTTCAGCAAAGCTAGCGATAAGTACAACATACAAAAATATATAACTCAACATATGAAAGACATCTTAGTATGAAAGAAACTTGTTAAGGTTCCGGTTCTATGTCAGTAAAGTTCCCTTTGTGAAATAAATATCTCTGTGGCGGTGCTGCTTGTCAGTGTTTTCGAGCCTTTGCAAAGCGCCTCCCTTTTAAAATCTTTCGGGCTCTCCAGGAGCGCGATAAGAAGTAAGGTGTTTTCTCAGAAAATGTTTCCCATAGAAAAAAAATTCCTCCCCCTCCCCATCCCTGTTAAAAAAGTATAAAGAAGTGCGAAACTTGATTAAACTTCAGAGGGAACATATCGACAACGGCTGTACTTTAGAAACGCCATAATACTAGACGAGCTTATTAAGCTCTGAAGATCTCTTTGATCGCTGGTATCATGAAACCTTTTTCCAGAACACAATAACCTGTATAACTATTAAAACGACTCTAAATCTAGATCACATTCTTAAACAGAGGTTCCCTCTGTCTCTGAAATAACAGATACTTCGGTAGCGGTACTGATTGTTCTTTCGTAAGCAATTCTTTTCTGCTGATTTTCTTCGATAAAATCGTTTGGAAACAGTTATCATTGTCTTTGTCTTATGTCATGCGTCCTTCATCAAGATCATTAGAGGTGTCCAGAAACTTAATGAGTTTGCTTTTCCAGAAAGGTTTTTCCAAGGGATTGGCATAGTCTATGAAACTTCGTTTCTTCAATCCCCGAGGGAGCTTCTCACAATCCGTTTTATCAATTCTCATCACGACCAGGCTGTCGTCTCTTTCTTTAAGAAGGCGATATTTAGCAAGGTCCAATTCGTGGATGCAGTAATTACTGAGCATCAAGTTTTTGGAAAACACTGCAATTACTTTGTAACTGTTGTAAACACTCTCCTCCATGTTAACTTCAAAAGGTTTCCCAGGCATAAAGTCTCTGTAATGAACACAACATTTTAAATGACTTTCTTCTTCCAAGAATGGAAGTAATTCTCCAGTCACCCAGCTCTCATCTTCGCGGCTGAAAATAATAAACGCGTGGTATTTAAATTCTGCAAGAGATAAAAATTGAAACGTTGTTAATCTTCCTTAGTTTCCTTGCACATTAGTTGTGAGAACTTGTGTTATATTAGGACAATACCCTCTGTCTGATACTTACAAAGGTGCAAGGAGTAGTCACAATCAAAACAACTTCTACCCACTCCTGATGTGGACGTTCAAAATCACATTTCCCTTTACTTGTTGTGCAAAACTCAGCCAAAAAAAAAGATATTCATAACTTACCTGGCGGCAGTTTACTGCTTTTCGGCCTGCGGCTAAAAATACTCTTTAAAAGGCAGGCAGCGAATGTTAATCCTCCGAGTACCCCGAGAGACACTGCTAAAGTTGTAATCAGAGTGGTGGTGTAATCTGAGAAACAAAAAATTACCTACAGTTTACACCAGTGGCAAGGAAGTTATGCAAGAGTCAATCATGCTATGACCTAACGTGATCATTAGCAATCTATGTTGCAGTCTCAGTTCACATTTCATGCAAGAACAAACAGGTACAAGATACCTGTGGATATAATAAGGTATAACCTCCGCTGACAAAGGAACACGAGCGCATGCTATTACCAAGAGATCAAAGATGAGTGCGCTGGTTACCCTTTGGCTAAAAGGTTTTGGCTTTTCAGGCTACTCTCATCATGCCTCACCCGACCTATCCACAACTGTTTAACCATTTAGGAAGTTATTTCATTCTATAAAGCGCCCTGCATTTGAGGATCGTAGGTCAAAATAAAATAACGCAAAATACAGCCAATCAGAATAAAGATTGCCATCACGTAGAGCCAATGAGAAATCAAAGAGTTTACACGTTTAACTCCATAGCTCGTTTCACTCATTTGACTCTATAGGTCAACATTTAGTTGGATTTCGCAATTCATAGTAACTTGAAATATGTTGAATTAAAAAAAAAATGAAATGATAGAGTAAAAATTCTACTCGATTTGTACAAAGAAAGTAATACTCGGCGTGCTATAATTGAAGCCACAGGAGAGAAAAACGGTCATCGAAACTGGAGTTAGAGAGGGTTCCCTGCGCAGTTGTTTCTGAGGAAGACTTAAACAAAGTAGAAACTGTAAATGAAAGAAGGCTGCAAAATAATAAACTGTGAAGTGCTGTTTTGGCAAGTATAGAGAGGATATAAAAACACTAGTGGGAAAATGGAAAATTATATTTTTCTGTAGAAAACTGTAAAATCCGTTCCAGGAAACAGAGGATCACATTTTTCTCTTGCCATTACAAATCTTACCTTTCGTTATTTTATCACTTGTAATGGTAACTCTTGTCGTTGTTGTAGTTTTTGTCGTTGCTTTTTCTGTCTTTGTAGATATGGTTGGTGGTGATTCTGATGATGGTACTGTTGAACAAGATAATAGATAACAGACACAAAACAAAAATACTGGACACGAGAAAAATTCATCCACCCTTGATATAAATTGTTAGTATAGACAGATTTGATAATATAAATCAGCCACCGAAGAAAATTTTTAAACAGGTGTTTCGAGCAAAGTATCTTGTAATACCCGACTTAGCAATACAGTATCTTTAGAAACTTCCTCCTTCACCCAACCATAAGTTTCTTTTCGTAAAAAAAATTGCTTGATTATTATAACCTAAACATTACCACAAGTTTCTCAAACCATGATGGCACAGTAAGGGACTTTATGATGCATAGTGACACAAAGCATCAAATTTTCCAAAAACCATACGAAAGAAGTTACTAGGTATACGAGTTAGTCATTTTCTTCAACAGGACTCCAATTTTTTCTAACCATTCTGCTTTGTCTTTACTTTTCCAGCCAGAATTTTAATGATTTCAATACTTTCACACATCTGTCGTGTTTGACATATCCTCTACTAGTATATACCACACAAGTGAATAGTGCTTTTCGCGCGCGTTGATTGGCTAGTACGGAAGTGAATAGCAGGTGCTATTCTGGTGAATAATTCTAAACTGATTAAATCATTCTTTTGACTAAATAAAACTCACATGGAATAACATCATAAATATTCATTGCGATGTTTTTCTTATGAGGGATGCTGATGATCTTAAAAAGAGAAAATGAAATCAGTGATTGCAGAAATAAAAAAGGCCAATCAATGTTCTGTGATCGGCGACTTCATACAAGTATGAAGTGAAATTAAGAGCTAAAAAAAGAAATCCTCGCTGACCATTTTTCGAGTGTCCTATCCACAAAACAGGACCAAATCACTTGAATCAGAAGGACAGAAAAACTCACCCCAAGTTCTATATAATCCGGGTAATGATAACCATACTGTGAGATGTTTATTCTGAGGGAAGTTTGATTCTGAAAAAAAAAATGGTGGAAAACTGATCATTTCATAGGTTATGTTCAAGTCGATTGTGGGAATGCAACGTTTTTCATCCCGCACTAGTGCTGCACATAAAAAGTGAAAAAAGTATTGTTTGTAAATGTTATTACGATTTCGTCAACTTTTGGATGGTAAAAGACACATGACTGATTGCCCATCACTGATTTTACCTAAACTACTTGACGTTGCTTTGATCACCATCATTTTACGTATACCTAAACCGGCTGTTTATAGATTATAGAAGTCTGACAGCTTTTCGTGTCAGCCGGTCGTCGGAGAACTCAAAGGTATCCTGATCTCACCTTTGGAAGTACAGTGCAAAATATGTCTGGCCCGGGACCAACCGATAGGCGAATTAGGTGTCCTTTCAAGTATTTATAAGGATCTAGGACAAAGAAAGGCAAAAAAGTATAATGGACCATTAGAATGAAGTATAAGCACAAAATGGCGGAAATGCAATGCATGCAGAGTTTCATCAGTTCACCTCCACGAAAACTTCACCTCCCCATACTTTTGAAACATTTTCTGTTCAAAGAAAGTTTTTCAAAGCTTCAAACGTTTCGATAGCCTACTTCCGTCGCTGCTCAGACGGAAAAGAGGGAAAACGTGTTAAATCCTCAAAGAATTTTGGATCCACATTTTGATACCAACATTTATCCTGGTTGAAAATCACTACTCTGTGGCTTGCGCTGAAGAGCTCGGCATAAAATACGAGGATAAATGGATTTTACTGAAACTACGATTCTGGTTGTATTAAATGCCGAACATAAAAGAATTTAAGTACCATTAAGTGGATCCCACGATACGTCTGCGAACCAGTTGTCCGTATCTTCATATTGCTGAATGGCTACAAGAGGTCGGGAGGCATACTGCTCTTCAGGTACTGGTGTTGACTCATTGACTCTGCCCGGGCAATCTAAAATGAAAAGGATTCGATCGTGTCACTACTCAATCAGATATGTTCAACTCGAATATGAAGAGTTAAAATTATCCAAAACTTACTATTCGAAAAGGTTGATCTTTTTCGGCGCTGAAAGATTGTCTTTTCCACAAAGGTGTGCTTCACTGTAAATGATGATTTCAATATTATTAATTTTTGTTGCATGATCTAAAATCTACAAAAGAATATAACTTTTTTTCCGTTCAAATATTAAGAGCTAGTTAAAAGTTTGAGTTTAGATGCATTAGAGGTGAAACATATATATCGTCCTAAGGAAAGATGAGAACAAAAATTCTAGAATCATCAAACAGTATCATCTATAACTATTGATTATTTTGAATACATTCGCTGAAATTTTCGATGCAAGTGTTTAAAAAAAAAGCTTTAAAATTTTTCATTCTCTTAAGTAATAAGTGCATATGGTCTTGCATACTGTCCGGCCTAATTTTCCGATCGACTAAAGTTAACATAAAGACGTCACTCTAGTCACCAGCCTGCCATCACAACCGTATATTCATTTTAGATGATTTTTGTACATTTCATTGAATGATTGATAACTTAGTACAAGAACCGACAGCGCTTCTGAATTATTACTTCTGAATACTTCTGAACCCCTGGACATGAAAATAACTATTTTTGTAAAAAAAAATAATAATCACGGTTCCTTTCTTTTAATTCTTATTCCCTTGCGTTATTTTTTTTAGTAGTGGCTGCAGATTATGAACACACAAGAATAAAAGCTTCTTTAGTTAAGTGGCTTATTCACTCTTGGGCCGTTTCAACACATTACCTGATCTCCTTCTGAGACACCGGTTGCAGAGGACTGGATCTAGTAGCTGTAAATGAAAAAGAGAGAGACAATTAGAAAAGAATGGATTCAAGATATAAATAATTAGATAAGTCATGTTATTAAGTGATTCTATTTATTTTCTTTCCAATTCAGGTTGTTTTAGAATCAATATTACAGACATAGATATAGGTTTTCGTCCGGGTCTAAATATTTTGTTATTTGCCAAAAGCGTACTTCCGTATCATTCTTCCCGGAAACTTATACTTCCGTCAAAATAGAAAAATAATTTTATTATATAAATAAATTTGCAGGTACTTAGTTTACATACAGCTTATGTGAACCTTCCCTTTATGACCTACATCCAGAGAAATATTTATATTGTGCATATGACACTCTACCTACTACAAATCCAAAATCGAACTCTCTGCTAATCAACACTGGTAAAATAATTTGGTTCCTCACAGTTCTTTTGAAGGACGTCCCTTAACTCAAGTGGTCTTCCTCATATTTATGCATCGCCGTAAAATCCTTGCGTGAAATCAATAATGGATACAAAACTTCAATAGTTAATCACCCAGGCTGATTGATGAAACAATTGAAATGTTTGAAAGAGAAGATGCAGTCGTCAATTGATTTTCAATTGTTTTTTAACTGTTTTCGCCATGGAATTTTTAAGTCATCTCTGTAGTGATTTACGTCCAAACTGCACTGGAAAAAAAAGATTTTCACTTCAACGTGGGTAAACAAAAATTTTCAATGGTTCTTCTAGATCCTTCGCTAATCACAGAAACACAGCTGATAATCAAACATGTGCTTTTTCAAAGAATCTAAACGTCATATGATATCTTTTTGTAAAGATTAATCATTATTCATTATTTTGACAAAATAACTGCTTTTCACTTAAAAGTCGCATGATTGACGATAGAGGCAGCATTTGCAATGTTTACATGATACTGATTCGCGCCCGTTTATCGTGTCACACAGCCCTCTCTGTTTGTATTCGTCGTCCATTGTCGATACTGGCTACAGTAGTGAATGACAATCTCAGAATCGCCCTGAGGCAAAAATCATTCTTTTCAAGAGACAATGAAACAACATTGCATAAGTTGATTCAAATGCTTCTGAAAACACCAACAATAGTATCGATACCTAACAGTCTGGCAAAACAACGTAAAGTCCTCATTCAAGTGCTCTCCTATGACCATTGGTTTTGCACCGAAAGCTTTTCGTCTCCGGTCCAAACCTGATGTCACGATGAATGCAAGGTCTTGATGAATGTTTTTATTGCCCTACGTCGTTCAAACCTGTCTTTGTTTTTGTTTCGAACGCTAATAATTCGGCAGCGAATTAAAAAGGTCCACAGATCCCTAACAAATATCCAGTCTCAGCAGTTTACATACATTGGAAGTCTTCCAAGTTGATAGCTGAGAACTGATCAATGAGTTTAAGAAAAGCTTCGACTTTTGATTCAAAACTCGTGCCAATGCAATAAAACAGAATTGCACCGTTGTATGACATCAATAAATTCTTACAATAAAGATAAACTGGAGAAGGAAGAAAAATAGAATTCATTCCGGTTTGCATCCTCTAATACTACCCTATATCAATTTGGCAACTCTTAATTAATTCGTAAGAAGCTTTTTAATCAAAATACAAACCAAAGAGGAAAAACGTGTTTGACATTTATAATCTTAATTCTGCTTTCCTTTGTAACTTACACTAGCCTGCCTAGTACTATTTCGCCAAAGTTCAACCTTAGCAAGTTTGAAAAATGTGCTGCTTGTCTAAAAGAATAAAAAAAAAACACCTTGCTCCCAGCAGGTTTTTGGTCAAAACGAAAGCTGCAAAGAGCACGAAGGAACGCGAATTAACTTTGAGGTGAAAATTTATCAGACGCAAATGAGTGAAATTGTAAATCAGAGCGAGAGGCTGTATAGAAAACAAATGTGTATCTTGATGCCTTGTCTCTGAATATGATGTTTTTCGACCATTACTTGATTTTTTTACCTCGCCAGATCATTAAGAATGTTTTCATGATATTCTTTCCAAGAAAAAGTACGCTCTCCGCATATGTGAAGCAAAACAAAATTAAAGTAAATATAAAATTAAGAAAATAAGAACAGAGATTTAAACAAAAATAGCAACAGCACAGTGCTCCGTGGGTATCTAAGCACCAAATGGCAAAAAGAGAAATTCCGCAAATTCTCGAAATAAATCGTGAATTCATGGTTGACCTATTTGATAATGATTTCATGCACACAAGTGATCGCCATCTGATTTAATTGCATGATAATTCTATCATTTCTACGTTTTATAAACCCCGAAGTTAACCACATGGATATACAAGGTACTTCTTTTTCTTATTAAAGAACTTCCAACTAATTTAATTGAAATAAAACGGTGCAAAATATTTTAGGGTTTGTTTACCACATACTGAGCTGATGCGAACGAAAAGCTCACCAATTACGGCTCACTCGAAGGCCCTATTCCTATGTTTGATTATTTTTATCTTCATAGACGTATCATCCAGTTACTGAACATATTCCTTTCTCTGTAAATTTAAATAACGTTTGCCACAACCTCTTGCCCGGTCACCTTCCAGTGCGATTTTTATTTGCCAATTAAGTGGATAATTACAGAGCTGTTGTCAGCAGGGGCTAAATGTTTCATTCTCCGCTTACAGTTGAGTTGGCCATCATAATTAAGACCTTAACTTCGGCTGTAAATCTCAAGACACCGATAATATTCATACCTGAGGTGGCTTTGTGAGAGACATCTTTTTGTCCAGACCGCAAGCGCGAGAACATCTTGTTTTCTCGGCCACCTTTGCTCCTAACGTGTTTATCAATGCTCCTGTGATAACCAAGAGAACGGCTGCGAAAACCTGCAAAGGAATTGTTGCAGGCATGGGTTCTTGCGATCCTTTGGCACCGTTTATTAACTTGCGACAGTTTCACGAAGGGTTGGTCACGAGACAAAGAATTCCATCATGAGCAGGAAAGCTGCCGAAACACCACATTTAAACAGGATTCAAATGCAAATTTCAAACAAGTCCTAATGGCCCATTTTTGCTTTAGTTTTTATTTGCATCTCGTTTCACACTTGGGTAATTCTGTCGCTTTCGATTATTAAGATTGATCTACAAGATCTCCAAGATCTCTTTTTTAATGATTTGGTTAAATAGTGATGAAATAGAGAGGATTTTTTAAAAAGAAAAAACGCACAATTATTATATGCAAACTCAGGCTAGAAAAATGTAATAAGTCGGCCGACAATTTCAAGTTTTTCCTCTTTTGTATCGATCGCTAGTGGAAAGAGGCTTCCTCAACCAAAGTTCACACGGGGGTACAAGAGGTGCAAGGCACGACGGTACCTCTTTCCGTCAATTCCATCCTCCTTACCCATTCATTTCCATGTAACGTGCATCATGAAGACAACCTGGTACAAGTCAGTTTTCCCCTTATTTGTTTCGACTTGTCTCTCAGGTGATTGTTCCGACTGCTTTTGGTTGAAACCTGACCAAGAGAAGTTTCTTTTTCTACGCTTATGCATCTACAAAACCACCAACTACTGGAATTATTTTTCAAAAAAGGTCATCTCAGTAATTCATTAAATAAACAAGTTTCAAAAAGTTCAAAAGCTATTTTTTCTGTTGTTGCTGTTTGTATTTTCAAATATATATACTAATTTCAGCAAAGCTAGCGATAAGTACAACATACAAAAATATATAACTCAAAATATGAAAGACATCTTAATATGAAACAAACTTGTTAAGGTTCCCGTTCTATGTCAGAAAAGGTCCCTTTGTAAAATAAATATCTCTGTGGCGGTGCTACTCGTGTTTTCGAACCTTTGCAAAGCGCCTCCATTTTAAAATCCTTCGGGCTCTCCAGGAGCGCGATAGGTAGTAAGGTATATTTCTCAGAAAAGGTTTTCCATAAAAAAGAAACCCCCCCTCTTCCCATTCACATCCAAGAAGTATAAAGAAATGCGAAACTTGATTAACTTTTGAGGGAACATATCGACAACGGCTAGTAGAAACGTCCTGAATACTAGACGAGCTTATCGTGCCTAAAAGATCTCTTTGATCGCTGGTATCATGAAACCTTTTTCCAGAACACAATAACCTGTATAACTATTAACACGACTATAAATCTAGATCACATTCTTAAACAGAGGTTCCCTCTGTCTCTAAAATAACAGATACTTCGGTAGCGGTACTGATTGTTCTTTCGTAAGTAGTTCTTTTCTGCTGATTTTCTTCGATAAAATCGTTTGGAAAACAGTTATTATTGTCTTTGTCTTCGTTACTGCTATCTTCAACAAGATCCTTAGAGGTGTCCAGGAATTTAATGAGTTTACTTTTCCAAAAAGGTTTTTCCAAGGGATTGGCATAGTCTATGAAACTTCGTTTCTTCAATCCCCGAGGGAGCTTCTCACAATCCGTTTTATCAATTCTCATCACGACCAGGCTGTCGTCTCTTTCTCTAAGAAGGCGATGCTTGGCAAGGCCTAATTCGTGGATGCAGTAATTACTGTGAACAAAGGTTTTGGAAAACACCGCAATTACTTTGTAACTGTTGTAAACACTCTCCGCCATGTTAACTTCAAAAGGTTTCCCAGGCATAAAGTCTCTGTAATGAACACAACATTTCAAATGACTTTCTTCTTCCAAGAATGGAAGTAATTCTCCAGTCACCCAGCTCTCATCTTCGCGGCTGTAAATGATAAATGCGTGGTATTTGAATTCTGCAAGAGATAAAAATTGAAACGTTAATCTTCCTAAATTTCCTTACAAATTAGTTATGAGAACTTGTGTTATATTAGGACAATACCCTTTGTCTGATACGTACAAAGGTGCGAGGAGTAGTCACAATCAAAACAATTTCTACCCACCCCTGATGTGGACGTCCAACTTCACATCCCCCTTATCTTGTGATGCAAAACTCAACAAACTATTGTTATTCAAAACCTACCTGGCGGCAGTTTACTGCTCTTCGGCCTGCGGCTTAAAATATTCTTTAAAAGGCAGGCAACGAACGCTAATCCTCCGAGGACACCGAGAGACACTACTACAGTGGTAATCAGAGTGGTGGTGTTATCTAGGAAACAAAAAATTACGTATAGTTTACACCAATCACAAAGAAGTTACACAAGGGTCAATCATGGTGAGACCTAACTATAAACTTGATCATTAGAAATCTATGTTGCAGTCTCAGTTCACAATTCATGTAAGGAGAACAAGGTATAAGATACCTGTGGATATAATAACGTATGATCTCTCTGGCAAAGGAACACGAGCGCATGCCATTACCAAGAGATCAAAGATGGGTGCGCTGGTTACCCTTTGGCTAAAATGTTTTGGCTTTTCAGGCTACTCTCATCATGCCTCACCCGACCTATCCACAATTGTTTAACCATTTAGGATGTTATTTCATTCTATAAAGCGTTTTGCATTTGAGGATCGTAGGCCAAAATAAAATAACGCAACAGCCAATCATAACAAAGATTGCCATCACGTAGATCCAATGAGAAATCAAAGAGTTTACACGTAAGCGGCCTCAAGGGCCAGAAAAAGCTTGAGATGAGGTTGAAAAGGGTTTTAGATATGCATCTGATTGGTGAAAAGGGAACCGTGAGTTCGGCATACAAATCACAGAGATTAGTATAAATTTAGATCCCTTGACTCTCAATTGAAATTTCTCGTTATAAGATTTAGGACGGCGCTAGTTAATCATCCAGTGCAGACAGTGATGGAAACCATTAGCAATTTGTTGAATGTCACTGCACTGAACTTACCTGATTTTCCCTTGTCAGTAGTAGGAGGAGTCTGTGTGTTGGTAGCAGGAGAAGTCTCTGTCTCGGTAGCAGGAGTGGTCTGAGCTGTAGGAGTAGTCTGTGCTGTAGGAGTAGTCTGTGCCACAGAAGTAACTGTTGGAGGCACTACAAGAAAAGAATAAAAAACGGATGAGAAGGTCGAGCGAAATGGTATATTACCAGTCTTAAACTTTATTATGGCCAGAAGTTCAACTTAAAAAGATAAAAATGAATTTTTCTATTTGCCATTGGTGTACCCTAATGTGATAGTTAAGTTCTTAAATTCTCCACTCTTGCTCTCAAACAAAGAGATGAAAACTTATCCTTTAACTAAAACATTGTGCTTCTGTATCTGCTCTTAGCATAACCTCAGTTTCATACACCATCTCATAGAGCGCTTTGCATTCAAGGATCGTAAACCGAAAAAAAAATGCTTAAACACAAGGGATAGGATAAATGCAAATTTTTTTTATTTGGCATCTGATTGGAAAGGGGAAGGCATTCAATCGAAAATCTCTCTTTTTAAAATAAATAGCTGAGTCATTTAGTCGCCAGTTGAAAAACAATTCAAACATCGACCATCTGTTATTACCACTCACCTACAACGGGTCCATACTTGCCAAAAGTTACGGTATCATCTGAAGAGAAAGGTTGGCCAATAACCTAAATAGCGAGGAAATCAAACATACGGAATGCCGCAGTTAGCAAATGCCTCTTAAGACTTCCTCTCTTCTATTTAGGTTGCATTCGTTTTTTTTTTTTTTTTTTTTTTTTACGGGGAAATTTGAGACAGATTACTGTAATGAGATTTTACTGAGCCTGGTTGCTTATGGTTTGGGGAAATTTCCAGGCCTAATGCCGAAATGCAGATTTAGAATGCTGAAAGTGATATCTCAGTAACTGGGCTCACTACCCACCATCTCAAACAAAAAAAAAAAACAGAGGGTAAGGAGAGATCTCGGAAACCAAGGCGGCCAGATTAACTGAGATTAAGTGATTGAAATACTCATACGGGGAAATTTTCTAGACCTTCGATGGGCAATGAAGCGTGATCGCAAAAACTGCACCATCCCGATTCCAATGTCGCAACGAAGGCAAACTTTGAAAATCAAAATACCACTTGCTTAAGTTAAGTGATTCCTGTGCCAAAGTTGAGTTATTACTAACATTATCATGAAACCTGACTTATAATTATTTTTCTATGAGGTAAACGGTAAAATAGAGCGCCAGTAGTGTCTTTTATTTCATACTATGTCTTACAATTATCGACAAACAATATAAAATTATTAATTTTGAAACTTATTTGAATTAAAAAGTTACTTAAGTTACGAGATCTCTGAATTACATCACAACAATCAGGAGCCTAATTTGTGGCGTTCTCACTTAAAATTCCAGTGTCATTATCTATAGGGTACTCACGTCTAAGTAGATATTGTTTGGATATTGATAGCCGTATGAAGTAATGTTAACTGTCGCGACGCTTTGATTCTAGTGAAAAATTAACAGAGGATACATTTGTTATTTAACTAACAAATAAATTTACAAGAAGTAAATAAATAAATAATGGTGGGAAACGTTCCAAAATTCTGAGGCCTACATTTTTGTTTCACAAGTTATATTTATTTGCTAATTTCATTTTCTCCAAAACCAATTTGGAGCTGATATATTTTGATATACCTTTGCGAACCAAAAATTGGAAATAGAGACTAAACAGGCTTTTTTAAAAAATTAGCGATAGCTATGCCTTTTAAATCCTTACTTTTGGATACTTTAAACAATCCACGTCTCCAGACGAGGCGTCTATTGCGAAAAAGCGGATGAGTATCGAAGTCCAGCTTTCATTTGCATCTTGATGTGAATAGAAAAACTTATGTTAAAACATACAGATTTAAGCTCAAACGTAAAAACTTCACGGACAAAAAGTTCAATGATTAACCCTCTGATAAAGGAACCCCTAACAAACAACTTCAAAGTAATAATTGAAAGTTACATAATGCAACATCATACTGACAAAATGGCTGATATAACACTGGTTGTGATCCCTAAGTAAGTTTGTACAGTGAAATGTGAAAACATGAAATCATTTCACCGAAAGTATAAAATATCAGCAGACTTTCATTTATGCTGATCAAGTAATATCCATAAAATTCTCAAAAATAAAAACCCATAGGATCTAATGTTGTACAAAAATCTCTGTTTTGTAACTCTATGGATGGCGACCAGGGATAGTGAGAAAACATTAGAGTTGTTTAACTGGGCACTTACCATTCATAGGAGTCCAAGATACCTTTGCATACCAATTAGTGGTGTTTTCATATTGACCAAAGGTCACATTAATGTTACTTGGTTTCCAGTCCTGGGTCTGGTTTGGTGAAGAACCTGGACAATCTAAAATACATTTATTAAGTAATGGAAATTAATAACAATTTGATTAATAATTTACTGATGACTACTAATGTTTCTAGCCCCTGATATCTTGATTTCCGGTCTTGAAACCTCAATGCCCATGAGATGATTACATATTAAACAAGTTTTGCAAGTTCAAATTGTCACATTGCTGTGGCCTCAGTCAGATCCAGAAGAAGGATCTGGGAAATTTTGACTCCCAGCTTCCCCCACCCCACCCCCTAATCAGACCTGTACATTTTTTTTTTCTTCTCATCTGACACCAAAATACTTGCATCTATGTTAGTCAATATGAAATGTTTTTCAACTTGCTAAGCCAATAGCCCACAAAAAAAAAATATTAGTGTTTTCCGAATCATATTTTGGAGCCTCCCCTTCCTCCCTTCATCAAATATTTTCTGGATCTTCCCCTTGCACCTTCAGGAGCATGCAGCAAAAGAAATCCAGGTCAGAATTTGGCTCTCTGTACACACTTCCAACAAGTCCACTGGTATGGCATTATGTCAAATCATCTTCTTGTAACACATATTTATTGTGTTTCCATCCATTGGTGTTTTAACCCTTAGGTAAGCTATTCCTTAAGAAAAAAACTTGAAAGTACACATTTGATATTACTATAATGCTTACTAGGATTAGGTGGGAGAGCTTTTCTGAAGCGTTTTTGAAAGATCCCTGGCCTGACTGGGGCTTGTCCATGTGCAGCTGTTAAAAAGCAGGACAAAAACAAAGAGAATGAATAACAATAATGAACAGTTTAGTGAGCAATGATGAATACTTCTTTGTCATTGAGTGATATGATAGATGAGATCAAATGAAGCTAAAAACAAATTTTTAAGTTTTTACATTGATTACATTTCTTTCAACTTTAATTAAGGAGCATAAACACACTTAGATGCAACAATAAACAAAGAAGGAACAGGAATGATCGAGGACTGGAGTTATGTAAATAGATTACAAGTGAAAAACTTGAAAAAAATTAACAACACACATAACATGTGACAAGCTTGTTTGAGTAAGTCTTTGCATAACACTTTTGTCTCCAGTCCTCCTCTCACTTACTTCTCAGACTTCTTATTCCCTTAGGAACCCCCAACCCCTTCCCCCAGAAAACCCCATAAGGCAATAAAATGTACTCCAATGCTTGATCAGTACAATTAAAACCTTAATTTTTGATAAACAAATGATCAGTCAGTCACATTATCAGAGCACTGAATTACCTCTCCTCACTCCCAGACACTGGTGATAGCAGCTTGAGAAAAGTTTTGAGACCTAGCAATCAGAAACAAAAGAACACTTAAAATAATTCAGAAAGGACAGTGTTCACTAACACAGAGTCCATAGCTGGCGAAGGAAGAGGCGGATAATACTGTACTTCGTAAATGAAGATAATAATAAATAAATTGCAGCACTTCCGTGGTGACAGCATTAGTGTAAGTGCTAGTACATCGTAATAAGTGAAAGAAAGTGGTAAGGAAAGCGGGAAAAATCAAAGATGAAAACAACGGCGCTGCAGTTTATTTTTGGAACTCCCTGACCAGGTACAATCTTTTGTTTTTAAGCGTTCAAACATCGCGAATGAACAAATTTATGGGCAGTTTCGGATGGTTAGTTGAGTCAGCATAATCCGAATACTATTGAATGTTGTGCACGATAGAGTCCAAAAGAAAAATTCAAACGACGCAACAAAGAAATCAAATAATCAGGTTCACTAACTACATGAATCTCTTTTAGTTCGAGTAATGCGAATTTAGTTGCTTGCGTGACACACCATCATTCCACGAATGAGGTAAACCGTGTCACGATATGCAGTACATGCCGTACGATCACGTACGCTCATTTTCGATGTAAAAATTGTGATTTAGAACAAATGTAACGTCCAAAACATTTTCTGGCGATAATAATTTCTCTAATTATCAGTAAATTTTTAATTAAACAGAACTGACATAAATGTCGTGAAATGCAAACACATTCAATTTTGCTCCTGATCCTCCATGAAAGGACACAACATAGCCTTTCATTTAGCACTTTTCACGATTTCATACTCTACATATGAGTTTTCTTAGACTTGTTGCAGATTCACCTCACTTTACTAAATTGTTTCGCGAACTAAAGGTCGAAAATTATTTTTAGAGGTGCACTGTTTTAACATGTCAAAAATGTACTTCCTGTCTTTCTGTCTTTTCCGAGAAAAAAAGTTAAGCTTGACTTAATCCCATCAGATCACGTCCAAGACACAAACGGTTAGAAGTGATAAGAATACACAACGATTTCGCGCAGTTTATTCTAATTTCTTTGATTAAGGTTGACATCCGGAATTAAGGATCTCGAATGTATACAACCTCTTTTGTCTTCGTTGCACTCTATTTGTATTAACTAGAGTCGAGATCACGAGAATGCATTTTTTTCATGCTTTCACGCCTCCTAGATACAAAAATGTTTTAAAAATAACGACGGAGCGATTTCATCAATCGATACTTGTTTCTGGATTTTTTTTTGATTAGTATTTGTCAATCTCCCTTTCAAAAAAATTTTTTTTGCTAGGCTTCCGATGCAAATCCACTGAAAGCACTGCTGTCAGATCCGTTCTATAAATCAAGGCTTTACAAATTGTTTAAACATTGAGCTGTGCACGTGTTTGCAGTAAAGGATAAAAACCTGAACGAATGATCGAAGAACAAACACGTTTTCAGTTTCTAAAGACCGTTTTCATTCTTATCGCCATCCAGCTCTCCTTCAGACCTGTCCAGTTTTTGTGCTAACCGGTACCTTCCATATGCAAATTTATATCGTTAAATATAGTAGCCATCACGTACATGAATCGATTAAAACTGTATGAGCTAAAATATTTCTTTCGTCGATGCTCTTTCCGACACCATTTTTGTTCGATAAAATGGAAAATTGAGGTTTTAGTTTGGATGTGAAAACTTTGAAGTCAAACATAAAGCTAAGTGAAATTGATGTGGTCGTGCGTCTTCCATCCCTGTTTGATAAGCGTTATTGATTGTCGACCTAAACAGCAAGCGCGCAAAATAAAGTGATGACATTTTTTTGCAATTGTAGACAGTTTCGTTGTTGGTCTGTACTATGCGTCGAGGTAGAAGTGAAAAGCACACTCATAGGACCGCTTCCGCAATTTTTGCTATCAGGAAGACAATTTGATTCACATCTGAAGAGGAGTCCCAGTGTTATACTTCGAAACAATTAAAATCCACATTTGCTCCAGGTTTAAACTAAAAGCAGTTCAACTTATAAAATGAGCGCTTCAAATGAGAGCCTTAGATTTAAGATTCTTTTAAACGCATGGTATAGTTTAGGTTTATTGATCACAGCGAAAGTGACATACCTTTCTTGTCAAGCGTTTCAGTTGTTGAGGATTACATTTTCTCACGCACTCGGTTGAAACACTTTGTTGCGATCTCTCGACGGAAACAGCGATAATAAGTGTGAAAGTCCAAAAAGCAATCATTTTGCTTAGTTTTCTGGAGTTCCTTGCAGCCATTAATCTCAATACAATACTTCTATGCTCCCTAAAGTCTGTACGTGATACCACTAACCGTTGTTTATCTACAGGAACCACTGTAAACAGTGACCAAAATATGAACTACGTATTGCTGACAATGCAGACTACACGACGCGGTGGGGGGAGGAGAGGAAATATATCACGCGACGCCGCCGGCGAAGGAAGTAGTATGCTATATCACATACTTTCTCATAGATATTTGGGTACTATGTTACAATAACTTAACGATATTGTCACGTGGTGTTTTGGCTCTCGTTTCTCTGTTTGTCCTGTTTGTCACAGTTTCAGTGCTTTAAGCACTTGGACGATTTTAACACAACTTCCCCCCCCCCCCCAGCCCCAACCTAGTAATCACAATGAAAAGTTTGGATAAGTACGTCATGTAAAGAACCCCTTGCGTCCCACAAGAATCGGTGCCCCTTTTCCTGTATTCATCGGTCATTTATCGTCACTAGCCATCCATTATTGTCGTAAAAGCTTTATTATGTTTCAAGTTTTGCTTCGTTTTTACTAAATATACATTGAAACGACAAACATCCCTTGAGGAGTAAATATGTGCAAATACACAATTACTTGTACCAATGCACAAGTAGTGACAGCTCCTAAGCAAGCAGCCTAAATGACCGTTAAGATTGAATGAGAGAGGGGGAAGCTGAACTGAAATTCAGAGGTCTTGAGGGTTACTTATCACATAGGAGAAAAAAGAAAAACAAAATGAAATAACACAAATCTCCGTTCTCCTACAGTGAGTCTGGATCGACAGAACTGATAGTTAGTTTACTCAGATAAAATATCCGACTAATGTCAGTCAGTCTTCATGCACACCTCTACAAAAATATATTTTCGCTCACGAGACTGTCTAAACGTAACTTACGTGAAAATAACAAATCAGGACCCTACCTCCCTCTCTCTAACACATCTTATTTTCTCTGAGCAACATATAGTCAAGCCTTCATTTGAAAACGAGACTAAAGCTGACCTTTTCATATCGCCAAGAGCAGCAACTCTAACTTCGTTTCTTATTTAAGACTTCACGCAATAATGCAAATACGAATGAGTCCAAAGGCTTTCACGAAAAACCACCAAGAAAAGCCATCAGTTTCTCAGTTTGTTTTCTTTCATTTTATCCTCTTTCAACTGTTTCGAGACAAAACTTGGTTAAGTCCCGTAGGCCTTGGACTCATGTGTGTGATGATAATTACAATTCAAACTGACTTTTACTCTGCCACAAGGAGGTTTCCTTAAATATGTTTCTAGAGATGGTAAAGTTGCTTAATCTTTAAGTGAATAAGCACAGATGGACTAAAGGAGGGGGGTAAAGGTGGAATATATTTTCGCACGGGGATGCTAACTCTAATGTCATAAATTGCACACTAACTATAACAGACGTCACTTTTCGCCAAAAGGGTAATCCTCCCAAATATTTACAATAAGATCACAGCATCATTTGGATACGCTTATAGATGCTGTAATGCTAAGATAGAAGTCAAAAGCTCTCCGCTTTGAAAAAAATTGCTCTTTAGTAACATAAAATGACTGAATAATATTTTTTCTTGTCCTATATACATCAACAGCCTACAGGCTGCGGGGCAAGGAGTGGCGTCCCCGTAACAGTAAAGTACTTTAATTTACAGAATCTGATTCGTTATTCTCCGCTCTAGTTACTGTCAAGAGATGATAAAGTTATGCTTCATCTTCTGTTGTTGCAATACATTTCTACGACATTTATTGACAGATGTTGTTGCATTATGATACCAGCCTCCAGCCGATACACTTGTTTATCCTCTTTGACTGTTTGCTGAGAAATGTTCTGAATAGTGGAAAGAAGTTTCATGTTGATCATTCCTGGGAGTTACAGTATTAGGTAAACGATCACTGCTTAGCGTATACAAGAACCCATGTCACATACTAAATACGATGAAATGTAAATAAAAGTTAGACCGGATTATCCTCGTTTAGAGTAACAATGGATAACTCTGTGGTAGTACTTATCGAACTGTCCAATCTGGAATACCTACTCCTCATCTGTCCATCACTTCCCTCTGTGGTAACTTCGGGAGCAAAGACATTACTATTAGGGTCCGACTCCACTTCTACCTCTACGTGACTTGGCTCCTTAGGGACATCCAAAAACTTGAGCAGTTTCCTTTTCCAGAACTGTCTCTCCGTCAGATCAGCATAGTCGATACAGCTTCTTCCGCGAAGCTCCCGAGGGAGGTCGTCGAACTTTGATTTATCGATCCTTATGACAATCAGGCAGTTGTCCCGCTTGTCTAAGAGGCGATACCTGGCAAGTTCAAGCTCGTAATTACAATATTTACTCTTCAAAAAGTTGCTCGAATAAACAGCAATGATCTTGTGGCTGCAGGAAACGCTTTCTACCATACTCTCTGTAAAAGGAATTCCAGGAGTAAAGTCTTTATAGTGGATGCATACTCTCAAACCGTGCTCTTCTTCCAAGAATTTTAGAAGTTTTCCTTTTACCCAGCCTTCATCTTCTTTGTTGTAAATTATGAAAGCGTGGTATTTGAAATCTGAAGCCAAATAAAAATATGAAAGGTCGTCATTTATAGAGTTGTAAATATCATACACACACTTTGCAGGCTATGCAGTATATCTTCAGCGAACGAATACAAGCAAATGGCGACGACAAAACAGGTGAGCTAACTTGTTTTGATATCACTTTTTTTTTTATCATTCCGCCCCATAAAAGCAAAAAATTACCAAACTTGAACCTCGTTTTCAAGCTCTCGCAAATTACACTTGAAATTTAAGAGTCACCAAACTTTTAAGTACATTTCTTAGAAAAAAGTTCGCTCTAAGTTTACTGCCGACAAAATTAGGTATATAGTTTTAGAATTTAGAATACATAATTTTCTATTTTGGGGGGAAGGGGGAAGGGGAGGGGTGTGGGGCAGAATAAAAATGATAGTAAAATATGAACTATTCGTGTTTCAAGAAAAAGTAGTGCCCTCAATGCGTGCCGAGAAGCGCTGGGAGTTGTCATATTGAGAATCACGTGAGCTGCTCCCGTATCAAAAGTTTCTTTATGATCTATCGTAATATGTTTCAAAATGCTTTCTGCAAGTACGTAAAACACTTCTGAGAACTTTTGCCATTAGTGGAAAAAAGTACCTAAAGATGACAATATAACTTAACATAAACAAAGGAATCAATATAAAAACAAAATAACTTCTCCAAGTTCAAACCTGATGGTAAAGTGATACTTGGTTTACGACGATGAAAATATATCAGCAAGCAAGCACCAAAAACTATTCCAACAAGGATTCCAACGGCGATTGATCCATAAAGTAAGGCCGTATTCTTACCTGGAATTAGAAAGGAATATCTCTTACCTTTTTTTCCCATTTCATAAAATTGTTATTTCAAGCAAGCAACAGGCGATGAAAAGAATATAAAGAGAGCTCAAACAATATGGGTATTGCCTGTTAAGGTCACTGAACAACAAATGTTTAGGAGTAACCAAAAAACGCTCGAGGCTGGGAAAGGATGGAAATGATTATCATAATCGACGATCGCCATCATCAAATTATAACGTTTAACCCTTTAACTCCCAAGATCTCATTAGCACTTATCCTTACTGTATGCCATATAGTTCTTGTGATGTTGGTTTGGAGAATTTGGTATTGGATCGACTAATAATCCCTTAATTAAAATTTGTCTTTATTCCCATTACTCGCCTGCTTGATATTGTATTGATATTGTAAGGAGAAATTCTGTCTTGGTCACTCATAAGAGTTTAAGGGTTAAAGAGTTAACATGACTGAGCAATATTTAGAAGATCGATGCACAACTGTCGTGACGTATATATTTGGAAACGACCAACTACTTACGCTCTGATGTTGGTTTTGATGTTATGAGGACGGCACCAGGAGTGTACACGGCTGAAAAAGAGAAAATGCACCTCAATATCATACGGGTTTAATATATGCATTATCAAATAAAAATTATGTAGTTTATTCGCATAGAAAAGGTGTTTGAAAGCGCTTCTTCGAAGTAACAAGATACCGTGGCAACCAGAGGTTTTATCACAATTTATAACATATCGCATCCTTTTCAAATTGCTCCAACGATTTTGTCAGTAACTGACAAATAATGGACATGACACCGCTATAGAGCACTTAACCTAGATGCTTAGCGCGTCAGAAAAAAAGGAAACTCGTTGCTTTTCTCTTGTCGCTAACTGTCATGATAAAGATGGAATATACCAGGAACTCTATGTAACGGGAAACAAAGTCATTCTTTAATGGATTAAATCTAAGCCAGCTACATCGTCAAGCTTATGCAGTATATAATGTTGAGGTGCAGTAGTTATTTATTTATGTGTCAGTTATTAAATTGGGCAGCTCTAGGAAGATTCACAACATGCCAACATTTTTCAGTGATTTTATTGCACAAGAGTCTCTTAAGTGTACTTGTTTTATGCTCTTCATAGAGTACTTACGAGGTCCATATTGTTTAGTCGGCGTAAAAGGCTCTAAAACCATACTTGGCTTTGTCCCACTCCGTATGTTTGGAAGAGCAGTCACCTGCAAGAATAAAGTCATTATATTCATCTGAAATGAGACATTACTTCGTGCGAATCTGAAATGAACTTTGTCAAACTGTTTATACAGAGAATCTGGATGGAATGAAATAAAATAGTAAAATCTTTCCCAAAAAATTAAGTTGGTTTATGGGATTTTACAGTTAAAACCCCCGAATCTAGGGAGAAAATTTAATTATCATCAGCTAAAAAATATCTTTCCGTTTATCTTACAATTAGAGTGATTTTCCTTTCCTTGTATGAGGACGTGATGTTCACACTTGTTCGGTTCTAAAACGAAACAAGAAAAAAAACTCAAGTACTCACCAACAATCAAACAGATAGCGATCAATCATTGCTTATCACCTAGGGGGAGTGGTAGAGGTTTTATTGGGGAAGGGGGGGAAACAGTCGTCACAAGCAGAGTTTAGAGGGAGGACTGTAGAAAATTGACCGCTAATTAACTGCAAATAATGGGGGATCCGGTAAAATTTTATTGTGACACAACCAAAACCCTCTGAACCCCGTCCCCTCCCCCGTAAGCGATGTTTTGTGACCTGTCCCTCAACAAACAGGAAATGAAACTATCCATGAGAAGAAGAGGTGCAAAACTACTTGGACGATTTTAGAATAAATGAGATTGGGTCTCGATCTTCAGGAAGGATGCCTTGGATCATAGGAGCAAAGATCAACGAAATAGATGGCTGTTTCCTAAAAACCCATTCATGACCGAAGTGATAAACATATGTACATAAGAATAAATACAGTACAGTCTCAAACATTTTTGATTATAGGGAAAAATCAAAGAGAGGAAATGGGAAAAAAGAAAGCAATTTCTTTGTCAAATCTGAAGTAGTACAGAGCAACCTCAGTAACTAGTTACAATTAAGGTTTTCTCGACTTATTCCAGAGTGCAAGAACCGAGGCAACAAAGAGCAAACTTAGGCGATCTCTTTTTCGCTTAAGAGACACGAAAGAAGTAACTGTTTAGAACTGAGAAATGATATACCTTCAGGCACAGAAAGGGGGGTGTTTAATCACCGTTTCTTTTTAGTTTTATTCCTTGAGTTTTTGTGTTTCTCTTTTATCATTATTTTATTATTATTTACCAAATGCTTTCAAGGTACGATGATTATCTATACCTAAAACTAAACAGACAATCTGAAGAGGAAATCCATTCTCAACATTAAGAGGTCCTTACGGCAACAAACCATCAGTTGCGACATGAAAACAATATATACCTTGGGAAGTATCAGGCAGGAGAAATTTTGATAGGGTAAACGACCTTCGCCAGTAAAGTACCTCATGTAATATTTATCCCAGCCTTTGGTACTACCTGAAAAAAAGGAGTTTCCATCAACAATTTTGCAACCTTGCAGTTCGGAAAAGTGAGTCCAACCCTCTGAGAACTTTCATATTAGCCCCCTACCTCCCCTTAAACATTGCCTCTGTCCCCATAGTCGTGCAACTCTCTTCTGTTCAACCATCTGGGACAAAGGCTGAAATTTTTGCCTAAGTACATGGAATTATCAACATAATTCAAAATGGCGTCTGGCTGAATTCAAAAAAAGGTGAACTTTCATGGTCAGATTAGCATGGCTTAAGAATAAAATAATACAAGGCTTTTGGAGGAGGATTAAAAGAGCTCATTTGATAGAGATAATCGAATTTTCAGGGGCTCATTTTGAAGTTCCAGTATATTCGAACAATTCATGATTAAACGACAAATTCAACCCAAAATTTACCTATGAATGGACTCCAGGAAACTTGCACAAGCCATCTGGAGCTGCCTTTAATATCATGGAAATGTACTCTTATGTTTTCTCTCTTGATGTGCCATTTCTTATCGATATGGTCCAGTCCAGGGGGACACTCTGCGGGGACAAAACGAAAATTAGCAAAAGGGGACCATCGCAGCACATCATATTATAAATAATGGCAATATAGTGGAAAAAATTGATAAACAAACACCCACAGTTAACTTTTTCCACGAGAAAACAAGCCTAATAGCGAGCGCAAAATAAGAAAGTTTTACCAGGGCTTGCATTGAGCTGCTGGTAATCAATCACATTGGAAAATTTTGTCACAGCTTTCGATCAGCTATCATATTGACAAAACTCCTGAGGTAATATATTTAAAATTCCCACCTGTGAACCCTTCTACATCATTTCGACGTATGCGCAGATGACTTGACATCTTTCCTACAGAATCAAAGTTGTATTATTATTTTATTATGGTCACGGCCCGCAGATATCACACAATAACTTTTGCGCTTTTGACCCACATAGTATTTATAATCATTAGAAAGCGCAACAAGTAGGAATATTAACCTTGTCCGGATAGACAAAATAAGGTTTATTTTGTCTATCCATGACCTTTTTTGGTCTTCCTGTCTTCATAAAACCCTTCAACAATTCTAGACAATTAAGATTTTTTTGTCAATTCCATGACTATTTGATTGTTTTATTAGGTTGTATTTATGTTTGTCTGTATTCTAGTTCGGGTGGTTGGGTGGTTTTACCAAACGTGCTCTTGGAATAAGATGCTTTTACAAGGACATGAAAACACTAAAATAAGTAGTGGCCGTGGTTTTGTTTGTTTGTTTTTTTTGGCTCGCTACTTGAGTATTAGTTTGTCGGTTGGTTGGTAATACCAAATCGCGTTCTTCGAATGCCTCAACTGTGACACATCAAGAGCAAAGTGAGAAATTATGAAGTTGTTATCAAAGCTAGCCTGTTACCTTCAAAATCTTTAGTGCTGCACCACTCTTTACATGAGACGAAAGAAGATTCCTGTAAAAAGGGAATCGATTAAAAGATTTTTTTTTCATTGTTTCATCATCAACACATCTTTATCACCCAACAGACAGGAAGATAAATATCTTCCTTAGGAAGGAGTGAGTGGGAAGTACCAGTGCACACCAGCTTTAAATAGAGCTCACTGGTGATAACGTAACAGCTGTGTCTCATAGCAGAACCTTATTATACAGCGCTGCAAGAAAACGCGTTTTTAATAGTTGATACGAGTTGAAGAGAGGTTTATTGGGAACACTTATACTGGGCGAAAAAAGAGTCGTGCCAAACCGCCCATAAGTATGGATCTGCTCGCGGGCTAAGTGATGCTCGTTACACATATTTTCTTGTAAATAAAGCTCCTTCCTTCCTTCTTTTTTTTTTTTTTTTTTCCATAGAGTGTTAGAGAGCAGGATATTTTTTCGCATTTGTTTCTAATTGTAATATCACTGCCGTGAAAAATAGAAAGGGATCAAAACTGTATTGCATTAATCACGTAAATAGGACTTTAATTAATCCCATGCACTAATCTCTTTCCACTCATGCTCTCCAAACAAAACGACAAACGCTATTTTAATAATCAGTTGGAGGAAACAAAAAGAAAAACACGACAACAGGTTCATGTTTTGGATCATTCACATGCTTATGAATTATCAAACCGATGCTTACAGAGGCTTCACTGAAATCCTCGGTGATCTAGCTCCGGTTGTTCAAAGGTTGGATGACGTTATCCACCGGATGAATCTCTATCCAGTAGATAGCGAAGTACGTTTCGCAATCACTTATCCCTTGGGTAGTGATTTATCCGTTGGATAGCGTTATCCGCCCTTTATACAAATGGGCCCTGATGTTTAAACGTCCTAAATGAATCTTTTCGCGTTTTCTACGCATGAGATTGGATGAAAGAAAGTAGTTACACGTCGCATTGAGATCATATAAATTTGGTTGAGAGCGAAAATCGTGTCTGTGACGCGGCGTATGATTTTTAACAGGCTCTAAACTATGAGGAAAGTTACTGTCACGTCTGATCCACAACATATACGGAAAAGCTAAATGTAGCTCCCCGACCTTAATTAAAGAACTCTAGTGGGAGACTACTGTAACAATAGTAGGTACAAATGAAATATTTGTGAGCGCAGGAAATTTATGCCATATATATGGTTCTTAAACTAACTAAATACATAGATACAGTACCTAATTAACTGTTTAAATGATTTAATATTGATATTAAATTTCCACCCATTTTCCTATAACTTTCTTCCTCATAATTCCCTAATTAAAGCTTTTCCTTTTCGAATCGGCGCATTAGTACAATCACACAACAGGAACAATTCTAGGAAACCCACACCTAAAGAAATACTCGAGCTCACGTCATAATTTTCATCATGTTCTGCAACCGTAAATCTCTTCAAGCCTCCTAGGAACACGTTGTATGATCTACTTTCTCGAAACCTCATACATGATTACTCTTCCAGCCTTTAGTCGAAGGGCAACTGACATATAAACATTTATATTGAATGATTCTGTGCCTCGTAAAATTTTGCATACGCGGTCAGTGAGGTATTTTGTGTTCTCCTGTAGTGTTATCCACCACTTCGAATACACAAATGCCGTACGTTTCGCTGAAAACTCATAAAACTATACTCATGATTAGGGTTCGTGACAGTGAAATACAATGAAACGCTCGAAAACATCTCCTCTTGCCAAGGTCACAGACAATAGGAATGCGCCGATGAAACACGCTGGTACGAGCAAAATTTATGTGACCTTATGATCGCAGAGGTATTTGATATTCTCTAATATATATGTTGTTGAGAAGACACTTATCGTAACTGTGTACTTCTATCATAACCGCAAAAGTAAACCTTTCAAAAGATAAAATTCCACTTTGGTAAAGAATGCCTGTTGTCTTTGGAAAAAACTTTGCCGTGCGGAGGTCGTGTTTGGACAAGGAAAATCTGCTAAGCTTACTATGGAACTCCGCAATACGTCATGAGCTAAAAAAACTGTCGCAGATTAGCGCACGGTATTGCCACGGTATTGAGGACCACAATGAGAACTACTGGTTCTACCAATAATTGTGTCATCCAATAAAGTCATTATTATTATTAAACGCCTATGAACAGACTGATGAACTTGAATTTATTTCTGGCTTTTCTTAAGACAAAACTTAGTATTCAATGTAAGGATTTGGTTCTCAAGATACGTTGAGTATCTAATTTCTGGCCTACTTTGTTTTCTCCAAACCACACACCATCAGTCTTGCAGTTCAATGTTCTCGAGGGCATCGTTTTGTACACCGAAAAAATGCCTTAAAGCTGTAGGTTATCATTGAAACTTAGCTTCAGCTGTCGAAATCGAAAAGCAAACACGTTCTCGGTTACAAACCTGTAACTCTTATCGCTGTTACTAAAATGACTTTCGTTCCGGATAATTATATATTCGTTCCTTTCAAACACGTTTCTTTACACGGTCTCAACGGAAGTGTTTTATAAAACGCATCGATCGACAGTTCACAAAGCTGTTACTAAATCTCTCAATAATTTGGTTGAATATCTATCTTTAGAAATTTTACCCGTGGAAGATCGAACGTATGCGCGACACCTTGACGGTCGATCGATTCACGAAAGTCACTCAGTTTTGTATCATATGGAACTTAATCAATCCCAAATATATTTGAAAGTTTCAATAAGCTGTATATTTGCCTCGATATATTGAGAGATTTTATCAAGAAAAATCCCATACCTTGCCATCTGAGAATGACCGTAGTGGAAGCACGCGATCTGCGCAAAGACACAATCGACGTCTTGTAGGTAGATGCCTCGCTCGTTCTGTTTCAGTAACCATTAGCATGGCCAAAAACACGAACAGTACTTCAAAGGCCATAGGGGTAAGCAGCCACGATCAGTTCTTCATGTTAAATTCATATAAATCGCGGCAGGAAATGAAACGTCTAAGAAACTGCGACTTGAGCGAAATGCTTGATTTTTCAGATAAGCTCGAAGTCTTGTACACAAGTACTATCACGACAACATCACCATGCACTTTGTGCAGTCCATAAGTTGAAACTCGTATACGTAGTTGTCCTCCCTGCGTATAGATCCTTGAAACCTGCTCGCCAGGCGTACAATTTTAAGCTCAAAGCTTCTTTGCGATGAACTCGGGCTGTTTAGGATATGATCTGCGTCACAAGACTTTAAACTGCATCACACTCAAGAACTACTTTGTCAATATAACCTTTAAATCCGCCAGGTTGTCAATAAAGCATTATTCCCGTTCTCTGTATATTCCCGATGCTGCGTAATGCCATTAAAAATTGTAATTCCTTCCGCTACTAGTACATGCGTTACAGCATCATATCAGTTCGTGTGTAATGCAATACATAAGGAATTTAAAGCAGTAATGCACGTTTGGCTGAAAACATAATCATCTTATCGAAGAGGACCAATGAAGAGCGTGCTTTACACGAGCTTATCTGTTACTGATTGACTTCTACGGTGGGTATGTATCGTTCCTAATCTCACTAAAATTCTTAGAATTTGACCGAAAATGAGCCGTTTCTTAGAATTTTTATGACAGTGCAATACACACTTGCGAAAATACGTGCATATTGGCAAACAGTACAGTTTCTAAATTTATCTGGTAAACGAAAACAGCGAAATAATCATTGAGCCCAATGATTTTTAGGAAAAATAAGACGGGCAGTTTTATGTGTCTGTGGAGACTCAAAGGTCCGAAACCTGGGAAGTTTCGCGTCTCGTAGATGCCCCAAGAAAGCAAAAACCCGAGCTCGATTTCGCGCGAGGCGCAAACCACTGTCGCTTTAAAAGGATCAAAACCCCCTGAAAAACTGCTACATTTTAACTTGGATGTAACCTCTGAACAGAGTATAAAACGCATGACAATCAGAAGAAAGAGCATTGCATCGAAAGGGCATAGGGTAAAATATGGACTGGACCATTGGACTCTTGGACTATTTGACTATTTTTTTTGGACCATTTTTCGGACCATTTTATTGTGGGGCCGTAGAACATTGGAACTAAGGGATGGGTGGGACGCAGTCTATCAGTACTCAGAGAGGGATGGATGGCAAACTGTTGTTACAAAGGGAGGGGTGGGAGACGAACTTTTAGTACGAAAGGAGGGATGGGAAGTGGTTGTATTACTAAATGCTACTGATTAATAGAGTTTTAATAGATCATTTAAATTATTTTAAGCGGTTTTTCGACTGACTATTTTTATGCAAAAGTTTTTGCGCTGGGTCGTAGCGATCCTCTATTTTTTGTCACGCCAATGCGAAACTGTCACCTAAACATTGGACTAAGATTGTTATTGAAAATATCGCCAATTTCCGTTTTCGATCAACTGACAACAAAAACAGCACAGCTTCAGCGCTGGATCATTTTTTCAATGAAAGGTTTGCATTTTATGGCTTAATGGTGCACTTCTTCTTTCACATAACTGATGTAATGATTCATTAAATCCCCACAAGTGAAAATTACAGAATTACCTTTTCTGCAAATTTCGGATTTGTGATTCAAAAATAACAAATTTCCTTCGCAAATTGCCGATTTGAGTGAATCTTGCAAACTACATTTTTCCATTCCGTTTTGTTTCGCAAATTATAGTATGCCCTCTCAGAGACAATAACAAAACGACTACTATATTTCGCAATGACTCGAGAGAACATGAAATCGCTTTCCAATTTCTGAAACAGTCAAAGTTGACAAGTGTTTGTTAGCTACAGACCAGATCAAAATATCATGCGAAAAAAGGAAAAAACCGAACTGTTCAAATAAAGTTAAAAAGCGTAGGCCGTGGGAAATGGCACTCTAAGCCGGAAAACTGTGTATCTGAAAAGACAGAAGATTGCTTTGAACAGAACTACTAACAATGTATTTATAGTAAAGGTGCAGACTTTAACATTGCGATAGCGCTTGTGAATACAATGGCTCAGGATCGGAACTCCGGGATCTCTATCGTTCGCATAGGATCAATGACAAGAGGAAGATAGATGAATTCAGTAATGATATACTGTTTACACAAAGGGAACCATTCCTGCCTTCTCTCAGTTACAACAGTTTCCTTTCCCCTTCCCGAGTACTGATAGACTGCATCTCACCCCTCCCAAAGTACTTATGGCCTACCTCCCCCCTCCCCCAATTAAAAGGTCCAAAAAGACTGATCCAAAAAAGTATCCAAAAAATGGTCCAAAAAATGGTCCAAGAAAAATAGTCCAATAGTCCAGTCCATATTTTACCTTATGGCCATTGAAAGGGACTCAAACAATCTTTTGTAGATGTGGGATATAAGGATATATACAATGATGTGTTTATTTGACAACAAATTGAATCATCGCCATCTCAATATACACCATGCTAATAGTGGACCAGTCACAATTTATTGCCTGAAGGGAGGGGGGTTCGGGGGATTTAAGGAAGATCATATGGTTTTTCAAGGGGAACGAGGGACCAGTCATCTTCAACAGAGTTAAAGGGGGGGGGCTTTAAAAATTGACAGCCAATATAGGGGAATTGTCAGAATTCTACAGAGCCTTGTGAGGGAAACAGATAAATATAATTGCGGAGAAACACACAACCAGAATCTTCCCACTCCCTTCCCCTCTCCCCCGCAGGCAATAAACAATGCTCGGTCTTTAACCCCATGTATCGAACTTGATTGTAAACCGCGAAAAAAGGGCTACTATTGAAATAAGTTGTGCGGTATTTTTGTACAATAGGCCCAAGGAGACTGACTGGCTGATCAACTGACTGAAAGACACAGACTTATTAATAAACCCTAAAAGTGACTGCCATCTAATTTCTCCCAAAAATTTCAGCTCTGAATCAAACATTCAGGTACCGAGAATAAAGCAAATGATCACCAACAAGAGAAGCTCTCGTTGTTTCACAATTTCTTCTTGTCAGCAATATAGGAAACGTGTAGAGAGCAGTATAGAGAATATGCATACTGACGGTTAACTTTCCCACCAGTTGACCCCAACACGGAACGATTCACTAACTAAATCATTAAATATTTGAACGGCTACGCGGCTGCCTATCGGACTGATTAAGAATTGAGCAGTTTCCTTAGATAACAAGGAACAGATTGCAAAAAGGAACACGAGCAAACAAACAAATAAATAGAATAAAGCATTGAACCTCTGAATAATGATGATCGCGTCAATCTTCGTATAGCAAAGGAACACTGAATGTACATATTTTCTTCAACGTTCTCAATATTGAAGCCCCGCCTTGGCTCCCTTACACAATAAAAAAACAAGATTGCAGATCATTCGTCATAATACATTTCTATTCGTCATCTTCAGCACTTCCAGGGCTGGATAATAGGTTTGTCGTTTAAGCGCTTGAAAATTTTCTGCTCATCCTCAGGCCATTTATAGATCAGCTCAGCCCACAGAGGGAGTTCCTGAGGTTTAATGTTCGTATTTGGTAGAGCAATGCACACCATTTTACTAGCGGAGTGAGTCTGTAGGAAAATTTTCTTAAGCAAAGCAAGTTCATACCAAACGCGCTCGTGTTCCTGAAAATTGAAAAAACGAAATATTTCTTGAGAGCCCACTCTAGTAGAGGGACAACTAACAACAGCGTTGATGAACGGGAGCCAAGAGCAGTGGATAAAAGTATGTAGACTTAAAATGAAGTACCCAGATATAATCAAAATTTCAATAGGGTGAAATTAATCTTTCGTACCACCTATTTTCATGGGGAACCAGTTGAAGCATTGAGTGTATTCGCTGAAGGAGGCTCTAACGTATCTTAATCTTCACCAAAACGACACTTCTATTCAGGGGACAATGTTTCTAGTCCTGAAAGTATGGAGAGTTTCGCTCTGAAATGTCTCTACAAAGTTATACTAAAACTATACCATTGAGGCAAATTGAAAACTAAAACGAATGAAAAACTCAAAACAGAGTAATAGTACGTACAAGCAGCTAAATTGTGATTGCTAGACAAAGGTTGTTGAAGGAAACTTTAAGTTCTCAGCAAGGACTGTTAGGATAATTTTCGTTTACCTGATGAGTTTCCGGATCATCTTCGTCAACTCCAGAAAGACGCAAAAGTCCCGGAGACAGAAATATAAGGACATTTCGAGCTCGCCGAATTTGTTGTTCAGCCCAGCGAGTTGGTCCACTAGAGAGTTCGCAGGAATTCATCACATCCATTTCCACTGGGTAGCCATTGTTCCTGAAGAAATTCACGACCGAAGCTACTTGAAGCTTGAACCACTCGTTTTCAGGAAAATAGCATGCGTAGAAAGAGTCAGGACCTAACAATTGAAAGGTTTGAACAAGATGACGTAACGCGATGACGTAACACGATGACGCAAACAAATGAGGCAATCGATGACTATAGACTGAGGTACATGTATAAACTTACTAATGGGTTACAACGAAAGCCTCAACCCTTCAAACCTAACATCAAAATGCATATTCTTTATACCGCTCTCTATAGACTTCCTTGGGTGTTGATGAAGAGAATTTTCTTAATAATCAAGAGATTCTTAAGTTGGTGATCATTTCCTTTATTCTTATGACCTCAATGTTTGATTTAGGGGTGATTCTGATGAGGGAAAATCGTTACTTATCACTCTTAAGGGTTAAAGGGTTCACCAAATCTTACCTACAAGGAGATCGCATCAGAGGTGTAAAAAGTAGGGGGAAATTAAAGAGATCCACTAACTTTACAGAATTTGTGTCTACACCAGAGTCTGGTTACAAGCAGTTTTTAGGGGTATCTGTTTGCAGCGTACTGCAAGTCGACGAAAAGAAAATAATTTCAATGCAAATGTTATCACATGCAAGAAAATGGATGTTTAGTTAAGACAGCATCTTTCATCTCAATGCAGCTCTTAATGCGATCCGACCACCATTAATTTTAAACTGGCATTTGAAGGAAATGATTTTTTTCCAAACACGTCAAAAAGAGGAATTTTTTAACCCTTCAGGGAGTTTCTAAATAAGAACTCAAGAGTCCTACACTAACCTGCGTTTGGAGCTGTTGAAAGAGCTACTGTGTTGGAAAAAACCGCAATAAAATGGTCAGTATAATATTCAGTAGAACATTACATTACGAAGCAAATAACTTACTTATTTGCACTTGACAACACCCACTGACAGCCCAACCACTTGAATTAAACCAGTTTTTTTAGATAGCAGGAAAATCGATGGTTCAACACCATAATTCTATATAATCCATGGGAAAACAAACCGACTTATTAATCAAGAATCAGGACAAAACTTAAATCCGCTTTGAGGTATCTCTATACGTCTGACCAAAACGAACGCTGATAAAGTTTTTCAGAGCGATTATGTAACTATTATGTGATATGAACACAGGAAGATGAGTAACACACCTGGAGTAGGCCTTCCTGGGGCTACGGAATGAGGATTGAATAAAAAAAAAGAAAGTTTAATTACAATACTTACAAGTTTATCTAAAACAATACCAGTAAACAAAACACAGCTTTTGTAATAAGGCAACTTACGTGGAAAACAAAACATACCTGGAATGGTGACTGTCATGATTCCAAAATAAAACAGAGACAGAGTGAGTAAATTCAATTCATGGTAAAAATAACAAACTACTGATACAGAAGCATAATAATCCAACAATGATGAACCCACATTAATTTCAAACAACTTTTCTCCAAATACAAATTTATGAAAATAAATAGGAAAGTCACCAATGTGCTCTTAATCATTGTTTTTCTTGGAGCATGGGTAGTTGACCCCGTGATAAGAACAAGTCGTCCATAATACTCTAACATCACCACAGTAACAGTGCCCAAGTTTCGATAACATTCATGACCATTAAGGTTACGTAAAAACGTACTTCCTTATTAACCACTCCTAAGCGTACCAAAGCAAGTTCCAAAAATTGCAAGGGCATTCAGTTATATTTAATTACGCACACACGAATTATTTATTAACTCTTTAACCCCTCAGGGCGACTAGCTTCTAATTTTTCCCTACATTAATATCCTTGTATCAAATGTAAAGGTCATAAGAATATTGGAAATGATCATCAATTTAAGACGCTCCTGTTTGTCAAATTTAAGTTAAATTCTCCTTGAATTACCACGGGAAATGTAGAATGATGAGTGTGGAAAATGTCAATACTAATGTTAGGGTGTAAGGGGTTAGAGTGACCACACAGAAAGATATCAGAATGAAAAGATATATCATAAAATCACCTAAATTGTTTGGTGGCATGAAATACCCCTCTTGACGCCTGTCACCTGTTAAAAAAGATTCGAAATGTAATTACGAAAACTGGAAACATCTCACAATACGTGCACTCTTATGGGTATCAACTTAATGCCGATAACATGGCGAACAACAACAACAACAAAAACAAAGGAAAAAATACAAATAGATCAGGCAAAGTAATGGCGCTACGGCCTTTTGAAGCTCTGAACACAACGTCACGCGCCAACACACTTTTCTGCAGAAATGGATCATCAGGTCACAACTCGTGCAAACGAGTAAAATAAAAGAGGATGGACCTTTATCAGTATTAAAAAACCTCCTTAACCCTTTAAGTCCCAATATCTAATTGATAATTCTCCCCTCGAGCTGTCACACATTTCCTTGTTAATTGGATACAAGAATTTGGTGTTAGATCAAGAAAACAACTCCAACCTAATAAGTTTGAGCATTCTCGTTATCTGTTTGCTACATTATGTATGGATACTCAAGGAAGATGTTACTTGTCTATCACTTCTGGGAGTGAGAGGGTTAAGTAGGAAAGGCAAATTCCAACAAAGTTGCCACAAAGGGATTGGCAATTCAAAGAAAAACGTTGTACAGCTGTCATTCGATTCTTCATCTGGCCTTCAAACCAGTCAGAAGGCCAATTCATCTCAACTTTTTTATCTTTTTTCATGAAGGAAAATATTTCCTGGAGGGTAAACAGGACCATTTAGTATTGCCCTATGCTACTTTATTCTACTACTGTTTTTTAAGGTCTCGATCTTTAGTAAACAAACCTTCATAAAGAAGTGAACATGGCCTGATTCGTCTACGATAAATGAAGAACAAGAAAGCCGCCAATAAAACAAGGCCAAAAACTGCACCTGAAGCGGCCACCGCAATTTTGATGGTGTCTGTTGAGAAAGAGTATGGTTTATATGTGTAACAAGTGATGAGATGGAATGGGAGTTTATGAACAGTATACGTATTCAAAGGTGGAGGGGTCGGCAACAACTGGATGAATAAGAGGATGTTGCATTACACTAAAAAAAAGTAAATTAATCATAAAACACCGCCTTATGGGAACTTAATCCACAACAGCCTGCTTGCCAGTGTCGCACATTATGATATATCAATAGAAAGTAACGTTTTCTCTTGTATATATTTAACAAATGTATTCCATGACGCCGTGCGTCCGCTTAGTAAAAACTCACAGATGACGTCAAAATGGGGGTAAGAAAAACAAAGTGGCACACGAGGCGCCGCTGAGTGCGTCACCGATGTTCCTACTACATGGGGCACCATAAGACTAGTCCTTCCAAAAGTCAGTAAAGTCAACAACTTAGTATCGTGGAGATACGCTGCATCGAAATCGTGGAACGCTATACCAGACGCGTCTCGGAAGATTCAAGCATACACTGCTTTTAAAAACAACCTAAAATCATTCAATCTCACGGGACTCTGAGTCCGATGTAGATCTATTCTTGATCAATCTTTACCCTTTTTAAAATTTTCAATTTTTTTCATATATAATATATACATTTTTTTTTTAACTTAGTTTGAAAAACATTGTTATAAATATATAAAATTATATAAACAAAAATGTTTCGTATTAGTTCGTTTTTAATCTTAACTTATCATAAATTTACAAACCTTCAAAAGGCTTTATATTATTTATAATACATTGATTGATTGATTGATTGATCTTAACGTCATCTGTGATCTATTACTGAACAAACCCAAGGCAATATGGAATCTATTTGTTTTTTATAATAAAAGAGGTAGAAGATTGTTCATGATGACGTCATTCATGCTCCTGTCCTCTAATCGATTATAGGTAGGACCCATCAAAATTCGTGGATATTTCAACCTATTACATAACAGGTGATAATAAATAGCTTACATCAACGTTTTAGGGGGAGAGGGAATTTCACTTCGTGGACTTTTGACGAAAACATTTATGTTTATAAATATTATATCCTTATATAGTAAACATGTATTATATATCATAGACAACTCTAGGAGATTGTCACGCCTTACACAGAAAGAGGCTATGATTCACTTTAGCCACCAATCAACTTTTCATTGGGATTGAGTGCTCCTCTAGCTCTGTTATCACATCTATATATCAAATACAGGCCATTTCCGTCTTTTATAAAAACTTTGCTTTCAGATTGAGACCAAATGCAAAGCCCTCATTAACAAGAGGACAGAAACCTTAGTTTAGTTCATCAATATTTTCCCATGAAATGCTTCTCTTTTAGTGACGTGATTTATCTGGGAAATGGCTACCGTTTTGCAACTGGCCTGGAAATCACTAGAGTTTACTGCCACAGTAGACGGCGTGGCTGGCGGTTTTGTATGTGCTTCAAGCGCAAAGCGATGAAGCCATGAAAACGAGCGGAGAAGCTACTGGAGGTTTCAACGCCCACAAAACCGTCAACCACGCAGGCTTCCTCCACTTTTCTGACTGAAAGACATTTCAAGCTCTTACCGTTAGAGGACGTTGGAGGAAATGTCGGCAGTGGTCGTGCGGGAGGATCTGCTAATTAAACAAAACTTAATCGGTTGACTTTTCTTTTAAACCTAATCAAACAAGGCGGCTCGGCTACCAACCCTAGAACCACGTGCTCCCTAGAAAGACAATAACTGTAAATCCAACAGTACAACATTACCAGCAGCAATTCACTACCAAATTAAAAATACTCTAAGAAGTGTTGGGGAAAAAACAAAAGGCAATACGTACAATATGTCTCCAAGAGATGTGAACTTCCTTTGGAGTGAGGATAAGTGTAAATCTGCAATAAACATCATCGGTTGCATCAGGAAAAAACCCCTTAACCAGTTAGCCATTACCTACTGTACTTCTTACCATTGTCTTTTCCTTAACTTACATGCAATAATAAAAATGTAACAAAAAGTTACATCAAAATCACTCCTCGGAGTTAACTACAGATACAGTATTAGGAGAATTGACCCAACCATAGCAATGAGAGGTGAGTGCACTCCAACTAACTACAGCATCATCCCAAAAAGGATGTGAAGGTCAAAAGGTGTACAGAACGTGGGATTGTTTAAAGGAATACACTTAAAACGATTTATTGTTAGAAGAAGTAGTTTAAATGACAGCAGATAAACTTATTTCACTTGGGAACTGATGTTGTTAAGAAAAACAGGGTAAGTAAACACACATGAACAATACATACCACCATGTGAATAGCACTTGGATATTCCCAACCCTCACCATCTGCAAGAATGAACTTATGCTGGTCCTAAATGGTAAAGAGGAACAAAGAACAACAACATGCATCATTGGGAGATTTTAAAGATAACATTCCAAGGCAATTGCCATACTCTGTAAACAAAGCTTGTGACACTGACTGTGACTGACACTGAAAAATGTAACTGGCTTCTTTGTGGTAGTCTTCCACATTGAAGAAAAAGGACATTTTATCACAGGTCTGTGCAAGCAATCATCATTACCATAAGTACATCTTTGTTTGGGAAACAAGGTTCTAAAATTTAGTTACAGAATAAATCTCATCTCCATGGTTGAACAAATATTAAATCTTAATCACTTTTATTGAAGTGGATGAAGGTCAATGCCAGATATCCAAAAAAATTACTGCATTGACTAATGTTCAATTTTGTTTATAACTCAATCTAATTCAAATTTCTAATTAGGACTTGTGGTCTTCTATTTATTTTAACATTTTTTTCAAATAGATAAATGTAACAAAGGTAAACAGCTTCTCATTTAAAGAATACCTTTGGTATTAATTTACATAAAGGTGGTCCTTCCCCAGACTGGTAAAAAATGGCATATGATGTCCAGTTGTACCATGAATCTTCACATTACATAGGAAAGAAAGCAAACAAATTATGAGTTGGCCAATCTCCCTTTAAGTCCCAAGATCTAATTGTTAATTCTCCCCTCTAGCTGCTACACATTTCCTTGTGAATTAGTTATGTGAGTTTGGTACTGGATCAAGATAGCAGCTCCTAACTGAAAAGTTTGAGCATTCTCATTACCTGTTTGTTGGATATTATACAGATATTATAGGGAGTTTTTCACTTTTGAGAGTTAAAGGGTTAAAACAAATCTGAAAATTGCAGGAAATCGTAAGGAAACAGATCATGATCTGGCACCCACTTCAAAACTTCCTCTCAAGCTTGGTAAAAGTCAACAAAGATCTTCAGTTGGTACAAGAAGTTTGAGGACTCTTAGACCTACCAAAGATCTTTAAAGACAAGGACCTTTAAAGGATCCTCAGAAGGATCTGATGGATCTTTATATCCAAAGTCAGTTATTAAGAACCTCAATGATTTGATGAAGATCCTCTAAGGATCCTACATAGATCCTGATAAATATCCTAGAAAGCTTCATCAAGCTCTTCAAACAAAGACAAAACAAGGATCTTTCGAAGATCTTAAAACAATCCCTTCAAGGAACTTATTAAGATATTCATTAAAATCTTTCAGCATTTGATCAGAATCTTACAGGAATCCTTGTCAAGATCTTTGCAACATTTTTGCAAGAATCTTTCTAGATCTTTGAGGATAAAATGAGGATCTTGCAAACATAATACATACATAAATCAACAGATCAAAAATGAAAGCAAAACTCATACACTACATGTGTAAACAATTTGGTATGGAGATGGCATCAATGATTTTTTATCTTACCAGTGTAAACTGGCTTCCATGATATTGATAAGTTTGGTTTTCTTTCCAAAAAATCCACTTCCACAGTAGCTTTAACAGAATGATAATCCAGAAACAGGGATGGTATTAAACAATCTGAGTGGAAAAATATTGAAAGGAGCTATTCATTGATATTTATAACAAACTGTATGGTACACAATGTAGATTCAGCTCTTCTCTTACATTATAGTGCGTCTCTAGACTTATTGACCCTTCAACTCCCATGATCTGACTGTTAATTTCTCCCTGTAGTTACTTCTCATTCCCTTGTAAATTAATTAAGAGAATTTTGTGCCAGATCAAAATAACAACTTTTACCTGATAGGTTTAACCCTTTACACCCTAGTATCAGTATGCATATTCTCCACACCGTTCTCCATAATTCCAAAGGTGCTGACAAGGAGAACTTGATTAACAATCAAGAGTCTCTTTGGTTGGTGATCATTTTCATTATTCTTGTGACCTTAATGCGTGATTCAGGGGGGATATTGTAAGGAGAAGTTAGATGCTAGTCACTCTTGGGGGGGTTAAAAGGGTTTGGTACTTCCATAACTGTATGCTGGATAATGTATGGATATCATAAGGAGACGTTACATGTTAATCACTCATGAGAGTTCAAGTGTTAATATGTATCAATATCTTTGCATGAAGTGCATAAAAATATGAAGCAGACATTCATTAATGAAGAGGGGTATAAAGATACACATTTCTTGTGCTATTTGAGAATGAAGATTTAAAGTTATCATGTACACTGTACATGGGCAATGAAAAATAAAATAGGCAGTGAGTTGCACAAGCATACAGTCTAGCAATTATGTTTCCATTTTTCTATAGTAACCTTTTGAATACTTCTAATATTATTTTCAGAGAATTACCAACAAAATATTGTAAGAAGAATGAACAAAAAATGTATATATTTCAGCGTAAAATATTTTGGGATCTTGTAGAGGGGGTCAGCGCAGAAAATTCTTACTTCAGTTATGGGAAACAACCCAATGTGACATAAATGACTGTAAAGGGTGCATATAACCCCAAACAGCTAACACTCTGAATAAAAAAATCAAGCCATTAAAATTAAGCCAATGAATTCATTGGCAACCTATGTATTATCCCATCTGCAACATCCAATAGGATTTTCTAGAAAGAAATGTCACATCATAGATACACATGTTTTCAACAGTATTCCACCCACTAATTTGTAATCTTGCTCAATCACCTTATAGTAGTTGTAATAGTGGCCATTCTAGCCTAAGCAATCACCACATACCCCGTCTTCTCAACCACTACGCACACAATAGTAGCCAGGCTAGAAGTGGTTCATTGGCCATAGTTTCCCAGTTTGCTTTGGCATTTTTTATCATAACTCCATTTGCATTAGATAGTAGATAAATTTTCTTTTCTTACTTTCTTTTTTCTCCTGCTTTCTTTTTTCTCCTACAACATCTCGTCGTATTCGCATATTCTTTGTAACTACATCTAGAGGAAAGGAATTTGTAAACATGGTAAGATGATCCTTGGCTAATAATTTTTAATTCACTTCAAGAAATTCCTCTTGTAAAGAGCCTTAACTAAGATTTTGTTGCCAAAAATAATCCCCTTTTTACTTTTTTCTTGTATTTTTTCTTACTTTTTTTCCAGCTCATAAGATAGTTGATGGTACAATTGAATAGGATGGTTTATCACCTTATATTCAACAACCTGGGCCCAGTTGTTCAAAGGCCGATTAGCTCTAACCCAGGGTTAAATTTTAATCCAGCTTTCTTTATTTCTTTGTTCAAAAGTCTTTTTGGGAAAATTTTCACTATTCTTTTTAGAACATCCAATGATCAAATTGCAAGCAAAAAGATTTGAACTGAATTTTCTCTTAAAGTTTTCAGACCTGAAATCAAATTTCACACTAACCCTGGGTTACCTTAACCCAGCTTTGAACAACTGGGGCCAGGTGTAAATCCAAAATACATCCCTCTCATCTAACCTGCAGCTTTGCACTATCATATCGTGCACTAACTGTACATCAGTCAACATAGGAAGTGGTGCCCAACTAATATCTGGATCCAGGAGCTTATTTTTTTTTCTGTTTTGTTTTGTTCTTTTTTTACTTAAGAATCAAAATTTAAAGGATTGAGAAGCAGGTTCTGACACCCTACCCAGTCCATCTTGTTTCTTTAGCTGAGTCTTTTATTGTATAATTTTCAAAACTTTTATAACCACTTTAAATGAAAACAGAACAGCTTTGCAGCCCATTTAACACATGGGGACCTTCTAGAAACAGGCCCTACACAGGTTCCATTGAATAGGAAATTTTCCCAGATTTCATCACATTCTATAATAAGTGCAACTGTAGTTTATCTGGTCAAGAGTTTGTTATTTGTCATTATCCAGCAGAAAATTTAATAATAATGATTTACTTATTTCATTTCACACTGAAAAACAGAAAGTATTAGTTAGGCTATATATGTAATGAGCTAATATAGGACAGAGGCCAAAAGTCAATCAAAATTTTTGTCCTGCATAATCCAATCTTGCAATTGCTAATAACCACCTTCTTCTTTGCTTTTCATGCATTCCCTGAGGCACAACTGAGACAGCTGAGGAGCTCTCTAAAATGAAAAAGGCAGAAACGTTGGTGAAATATACAGGAAAAACAAACAATAGAGTAACTCATGTATTTATAAAAAACTTTCAAACGTACGATTACAGTTACCATTTTAACCCAGACTCCCAAGAATGATTACCATAGAAATTATCCTAAGCATACAATTCTTGTTCAGTTCCTCGTAAACAGGTACGGAGAATTTACAAAATCATCAGAGAGGGGATACTCTGTACTTTAAATGTCTTGAGACATCATGAAATTTTCATTAAAAGCCAACCAAGACATGTTTGGCAATCAGTAAGGAGAGTCTAAGATGTTTGAGTCAGAGACAATTGGCTCAATGGTTTATAATCCATTCTGGAGCACAGACCAAGAAACTTTTTCAGAGACAATGCCAAAATTTGAAGCAGTTACCGCAAAGGGGCTCTGAATGCAACATTTGAGTAACCACCTAATCATTTAACTTTGGTTGAGACAAAATTAATTATAATACTATCAATGATATTTTCTCCTGCGAAATTTTTCTGGGCATGAGACCAACTTTTTTTGTCGCTATTTTACGATCTTTGATTGTTTAAAACACACATACAATTCCTCTTCTGTTTACAATAATACATGCTACCCACTTCAAAGCTACTTGATACTTTGCAATTGCAAAACTGCAATACTATACATATACAATATCAGTCGATGACGATGTCTTCAGAAAAGTCTTTGTTTGAAAGCAACTAATTTAAACTGTGAATTGGGAGAGAATGAAATAGCAGCTATAATATCAATCATTAGAATGGATTATCCATGTAAACTCCTATGGCAACAATGAAACCAATTCTGTTTTTAAAAACCCCACAAGAAATTGCAGAATTAAACATGCTGTTGCATACTTTTAACGCAAGGAAATGTGATACTTTCTCTTAATATTGGCCAAGGAACTGTACCCATAGTATTTTTAAATTAAACTAACAGGTACAATGTTTGTTTCTCGATCGAATGAGAGCAGCCATTCGCCTTCAGGGTTTGAAGCAAACATTACGCTGAAGCGCACCTGTTCTGTTTTCTAATAACATTTTTAATTGATGGCAATATTTGGCAAGTCTACATCAATATCGCCTTGCCTAAAGCCTTGTTTCCAACTTTGAAGAGTGATATTTCACGTGGGAATGAGTTGAATTCGTGCGAACTAACTATATTTATTGTGTGCGACTTGTAATTATTGCATAAGTAAACTATGCGAAAGCCACACTGTACGTTTCCTCCCATCTAATCCTCACCTGGAATCATTTTAATTAGAGATGAAAGGCTAGGGAGGGAACGGGGCGGTAAAAATAGCTAATAATTTAAAAGGAATCGTAACATCCTTGGTTGAACGTTTCAAAAATTTATGACTTCCTGCAACACTGCTCGAAAAACAATGCACAACCCGTCGCTGAAAATGTTTTGATCAGTAAAGCTGTAGAGAGGTCCGAGCCTAGTCTGGAGAAGCTATTACAACTTCCATTAGTTCCCGCTTTCATAATGGGTTGTTTTTAGCACCTCTACGCCTTGATACAAACGCATTTCTTCGATGTTTTGTCTAGACAGGGGAAAAAGCGTAATGAGCAATTGCCACATGGTACTACCACTAACCAAAACATACTCTAGCAATTGTATTGTTACAAACCTTTTGGAAATGTAGTGTGTCTTGCCTCTCAGATCTGCATCGAGACTCACAAATCGCCAGGCGGTTGTTTATAGTTCTGTCTTCGGTTTTTGGGTCGCTTCCGATCGTATCGCGGGGAGCGAACAACTGACCCGCTTCTAGTGAGCCTTGCGCCACGAGCATGAATACAAAGCTTATAACAAAAGCGCGTATCAAACTCATTCTTGACTACGATCTAATATCTGCGATAAATTCACTTTTACACTGTTTGGTAACAAGAAAATTACATCTCACGTTGCTAGGAAGTCCGCCATGTTTTATGGCAAAAGCGAGAGAGATGCAGGGAGCGTGTAACCTCGTCATTCAAATGAGCATATAACTAAATACTGCTCGGTACGGGGTCACGCACACGTATGTGCTATTTTTGGAAAGAAATATTGCATAGGTAAACAGGTGAACAAACTTTATTTAACAGTACATCGATATTTACTCAGAGCTTTTAAAGTCAAGCAGAATTAGTTCTTATTTGAACGAATTTTTAAGGCCCATTTATTAAGTGATCATCCCTCAATATGTTTTTCAAAAACCCGCACTGGGAATGAATTTCATAACTCCATTTCTCGCCAAGCACCTATGCTGGTTGTAAATTTTAAGGAAATCTAATTGAAAAACAAATTCCCTTTCGCTGCTGTTATTTTTAACATTTTAAGTCATAGTTTCAAATCACAATTTGGCAAAACTGGTCAAGTTCGAAAGCCCTCCTTGTAACGCAAGGGAGACATACGGATCCTGTGACGTAAATCGCAGAGCTTGGCAACCTTTTCAGGCGTTTCCGTTGCATGTCTCTTTGTTCGCTCTGTTTTTGTTTTGTTTTGTTTTGTTTTTCTCAATTTCACCTGCTTTTTTATCTTTCAAGTCGTTCGATGATTTAACCAAAATACTTTCAGGATATGTTGGGGTAAAAAGAGCTTTTTGGATCAGTCTAGACAACAGCCTGCCTTAGTAAAATCAAGGTAACAATGTCGACTTCCCTTGTAAATAAATATGTCATCAACACAACTTCCTGAGTCAAGTTACAGGTAATTGGAGCAGCCCGGTTCAAAACAACATTGAAAAATTTGCATTATAAATGAAAGACCCATCTATTGCCGTTTTTAAAAGTTACCATGAAATCAAGAAGCCATTGCCTAATTGAAAGAGTGTTGGCAGCATGCTTTCTTTTAAATGTCCGTATAGAGTCCTACAGGCATACGTGGTGAAGTCAGGTTTGCTTTGCTATCAATAACACTTTTTCTTATAAAAATTAGGCATCCTATTGAAAAAAGCCTCCAGCCTCCCTTGGCTATTTACTTGTGATCGTTCAAAAGATGATCAGGAAGAGAAGAAAAAAAATCGACAAAGGGAAACAATTCAATAGTGTAAAATGACGTTGATTGAGCTCCTTCATCCTAAACCATCATAGAAAGTCTCAATGTACTCAACCCTCGTTCGTCTAACAAAAATAGAAATTTGTGACCATCAATTAAATAAGAAATAAATTAGCGATCAACGATTTACGTTTATATCCTTATCATCGAGGACATATGGAAATTATTTCTTAGATAGTGTCACAAGATTGAAAAATTATGAATAAATATAAAGTTCAGGTTTTCTCAAAGAAACTCGTAAACCGCTTCTTTCTTGTTGACATTGGCCCTTCGTCATTTTAAAATTAGGATTTAAGTTCCGTTTGGATAAAAAAATTTTTTTCGAAGACTATAAATGAAATATGAATTAATTTACATAAAATGATTAGTTTCACTACGAGATTATTGCCGTTAATACTTTTACTCGAAATGTAGCCTCTCCCTTCCAAACATCGGTTTTGACATAAACTTGTGTAAACCAATGCACGAACAATTCTCAGAAATATACCTTCTCCTACAAATAACTATTTGCGTACACTACATAAGAAAGCAGAAGCGATTAATTAAAGCGTGGAGTTTCTAGATACCTAACCGGATCGTTACAACCTTATAGGGAAAAAATTCAAAAGATCTAAGGGATCTCAAGGAAACACCACCCAGATGATCACTTAAAACCTAGATGATCGGGAAGATCAAGATCCTCCGGACACAGCCGTACTTTATCCGATTGTAACTGGCTCTGGACAAATGTTTAAAAACAAGGCTGTCGTAACGTTTGTATAGCAACTCAACACATAATTTACGCTGGTTTGATCGATGGCCTGTCGTTTAATCGCTTCAGGATCTCGGTGAATTCCACTGGCCACCTGTAGCTCACTTTCAGCCAGACAGGAGAGTCTTTAGACGAGACTGGCATATCTGGGAGAGCAATGCACACCATTTTTGAAGCTGAGCGGTTTTGAGAGTAAATATCTCGAAGAACCTCCAACTCAATCCACACACGGTTGATATCCTGGAGAAGAGATTAAACAAGAAACTATAACGGCCTTCAGAATTATAAAAACACATTTCCGATTTGAAGTCTGGCCGATGAAAACGATATTAGGTAAACAAGGAAAGGTACTTTAACAATGAAAAACAAAATTATTTCGTTAAGGTTTAAAGCATGTTTAGAAAAATGTTTCTATACTTTCTCTCGACAATAATATCAATCATGGCGATACCGAAACGTTGTGCTTTTTTCTTGGCACAACAAAAGTTTCGTCGTAAATGAAAATTCCGGAGGAAAAAAAAGGCCGAGGAGTAAAAGAGAATCCCAGCATGTTTCAGATATCTTCTTAATCTTCAAAACCGAAAAGCAAATTCAATGCTCATAATCGAACTTCGCTTGATACCAAGAAATATGATTAGACATTGGTCACAAACAACTGAAGGAAAATACAAACATTTGAGGTGTTTTTACATGGATTCGAACCTCAAAAACTTTCTGTTTCGCGTGCGGAGATTCTAAAAGCCTTGTCACAGAAAACTCATCAACTTCGTGTCGTGAAGTTGCCTACAGTAGTCTGTCAGAACTACTGCAATGAACCTAGCTCGGAGAAGAGATTTTAATAGAAAAGAAAATGGTTCTTTATTACGTAGTGGAGTCTATTGCTTTATAACTGATGGATGAATTGTCTTATGTTTTCCGTTTCTCTTTCTTTCTTTCTCTTTTCTTTGATTACGTCACCTGTGACAAGTTATAGCAAAAGGAAGTTGGGAAAGTCGACAAGCAGGCATAAAAGCACTTGCTCAAAAATGAAACCGGAACACGTGAAAGAAAATACACCTTTACTATTGACCGTTTAAAAATAAATTCGGGAAAAAAAATCGCCTTTAATTGTTTCAAGGACAGCTAAATGGACTAAAACCGCTTGTGTTTACCACGTTTTTCTCATTGCCGTGTTACCTTGTTTACTCTCACTAATTACTTTCAACAATTCTGTAGTTTTTCTTTCCTTTAAGGATTGCATGTATGATTCCTTCCCGTTAAATTAATTTGTTTGTCTCCCAAGTACCCTTTTCTCTTTCGTTCGTTTACTATGTTCGAACTTTCGTCTGTCTTTATGTCACCCGATGATGAGCACTGGTTAACAACAACAAAAATCAATGCATATCGTTATGGCGATACATTTAAAATGTGCTCCTAACCTGCGAATTTTCTATCTCACGTCCATCACTTGAAGCTAGTTCCAAAAGACCAGGAGATAAGAAAACTAGCACTTTCTTGGCTCTCTTAATCTGATTTTCTGCCCATCGCGGTGGGCCCTGGGAGCTAATTTCGTTTGTTACCATGGCGTCCATTATGACGTTGTATCCTTGTTTCCGGAAGGAGTTTACAATTGAGGCCACTTGGGTACGAAAACTCTCATTCTCTGGGTAGTAACAGCTGTAGTACAGTTCTATAAAGCAAAGTGGAACCCAACGTTATCACTTATGGAAAAACCGACTCACTATCGAAATTGTGACTGTAAATATATGAAAATCATATATGTGATCTGCGGATAAGGAAGTAAATATGGAAGCGATCTTCGCATTTATGAACGCTACTTAAGAAGTAGTAACCAGCTTCCAGTTGGCTCGTTAGCTCAGTTGATAGAGCCCTGCACCGTGTCGCAGAGGTCATAGGTTCAAATTCCGTAAAGGCCTGAATTTTTTTTCAGGCTTACTACTGCTTAAGCAGTGTTCATAACGGTGAGGATCGCTTCCATATTCATGACGAAATATTTTAACAAAACCACAGTTTTCAAATGCATTCATTTTACCTCCAGTGTTGTTTGTCTTGGTAATAACTTCTGACAGCTGCGGATCTATATGAAAAGTTGAAGATTTTTAAGTCAATAACATTTCAACAAAAACACGGTAACAAAAATTTCATTTTCAAATACAGACATAATCAATACCTCTAGCTATGTTTGCCTTGGTAATAACTTCCTGCAGTTGGGGATCTGTCGGAAAAGTTGAGGAATTTTAAGTTAACATTTTACAAATACACCGTGAAAAAAAAAGCAATTTTCAACAGCAGATATATCACCTCTGCTAATGTTTTCTCTGGTATAAACTTCAGGCAGATGAAGATCTGTGAGAATAGTTAAAAACTTCAAAGTAAATAACATTTAACAAACGAACATGAAAAAAATTTCAATTTGCAAACGCAGTCACTTCACCTCCACTGATGTCTGTTTTGGGATTAATTTCTTGCAGTTGAGAATCTATTGGACAAATTAAAACTCTTTAGTAAATAACATTTCAATGAACTCGAACTAACGAAAAAAAGAAACGCCGTAACAATAGTACCTCGACGATAGAACGGTCGCAATGTTTTCTTTCGCCACATAAAGGCCCACATCATTGCAAAAATAAGTACCAGGCCTGCGAAGGCCCCCCCTATGATAGGCCATGCCAAGGCTGAAGACTTCTCAGTTCCTTAACGAAAACAAAACAATAAGGAAACAATTCAGGAAAAGGGAATTCAAATTTCCGTTGGTAAGAACAGGAATGTTGTCCTGCAGAGGATACAAGCCAGTTATAAATTTCAGACCTGCTTAATTATACTTGCTAATAACCTTTTTTGAACTAATAAAACTAGCAAAAACCTATTTCTCGCCTTAACCGGCTCTACAATCAATATTAATTATTCTGATGTTTGAAGGAATCCGGGGTGAATGACTTACCTTCTGTGGGAAATATGGGATCGAACGTTGGGATGAATGCTAGGAAAAAAAATTAAAATTACAAATAAATAATGGGAAACATCATCTTCTTACCGTATAATACTCGTTTGACACCCACCCAGGAATGTTTATGTGTTTTGATAACAAATCGCGGGAATTAAGGGGAACCAAAGCCGGGTCGTATTTGACGCGGAATGTATTTTGATAATCTGTTTTGTTTAACACGGCTTACAATTTTTTTTTATTTATGAAGCCTGCTTAAACCAATGTTTGTTGAATTAATATTTAGCACATTGAAAATACAAGTTGGCGACTACTTGAATCCTATGGAAAATCCAGTTTTTCAGTTCCCTGTTTCTGCTTTTCATTCAGTTAAACCCGGTTTAAAAAACATGTTTTGCTGGCAAGACATTCTGTTAATTTTGATTCTGAGGGAAGGAGGTCAAACCCAAGGAGGTTTATCTGTCCAAAGAAAGACCAGACACAGCTCCAGGATTTAAAATTAAAACCCCATATTTAAGAAAAAATACTCACTACGTCTAATGTATACAGACAGCTACGATCAACATCTTTAACATGATGCGCGTTAAACGAAATATTGGAATAGAAAGGCTTACTTGGTCTTAGGGGATCAAACTCTGACAAATTGATTGCGCTTTCTCCCGAGAATGTGCTTCTGAATGGATAGGAAACAACCTACAAACCAACATCAATACATGGAACTGAACTATTATTCCAGCAGTTACAAAGCTAGATATTTTTACCAGTTCGGCTTTTTTTCCCAAATAACTGATAGCTAAAAACTTGATATTCCCCTTTACTTGTAACAGCAAAATTCGAAACAAAGTTTATTATCAGGCCTTTAGGATGAAATCCTCTCATTTAAGCTTGACATTCCTACTTCCCTTTCGAGTAGTATAACCTTTCATTATTAATACTTGCAACTATTATCTGTACTATTCCATTCGACGGAAATCGAAGAACAATAAGAGATATGTTCGTTTATCATAGCAGCAACCAGATTACGTAGAATGTGACAGAACTGGCGCTTAGCAGGAAACAGGGGTTGTCAAAATAGAAAGAACTTGTCTCCAATTTTTCTTACCCTTAGTTGCCTCCTCTTAACTACTTTTCCTTCAATTGTTCGACCGCGACTAAGCGGCTACCTCACCCATCCAGAAACCCTTACTTAAATGTATACAAGCCCGAAATATGTCAATACATCAGTTAAAAATATAGATTCCATATTGCAACTCGCATTGGTTTCGTAATAGGTCACTGATGTCGTCACAATATGTTGAATCAAAAATGGCACGAGAAGTACAGCCGAGTGTATCACGGATGTTCTTATTAAATTTTGACTTAATCTGTGTTCAACTGATGAACAAACTCATGAAATCTATCTTTTTCCAATAAAAAAGAAGACAAAAGTTGTTCATAATGACATCATCCATAAGTCTGTCCACTGATCGATCATTAATAAGCGCCAATCAAAATGCCAGTTTAGTTAAGCTAATTACGGAAAGTATTGAACATACCGCATAACGGAGAGCATCTGGTTTAAAGTTTGCAGAATGATATATCAGGGTATAGTTGGTGTTATTCTGAAATTGGAACATCCCACTTTGCATTAATTATAATTACTGCAAGGCACATGCAAATCTTGAATACATTTACAATTATACAAAGCAACTCTTCACATAAGCAGCCGCTAAAAATCAGGTGTTACACACAATGGAACCTTTTTCTTTCTTTCAAAACATTGTTTGCCTACGAAGGTGCCATCCCAATTTCTTGAACTGAACTGTCGTTCATATTTCAAGCAATTATTATGGAACACTCGATTAGTTGGTTTCCTATGCATATAGGAGGCTTACAGGACAATTTTTATTTTCACTAACCTTTGGTACGAGCAGACAATTCACTTTTCTATCAGGTGATGGATCGTTCTCAAATTCGTACATAAGCGAGTAATGAGTCCACGTCCTGTTGTGGACTGAAACAAAAAAAAACACCATGATACCAAATAAGAAGCTATGTTTGGTTTTCGCCCCTTACTGTAAGATCTGGACAATAATGAAGATCACTATTCAACAAAAGTCCATTTAACGCAGAGAAAAAGGGACCAAATCTGTAAAAATATAGCTCATTTGCAGCATCTTTGTACTTTTTAGTGTCTGACGTGTATTCAAAAGAAAGTGTCTCAATTTCATGACAAGTGTTACCTTCAAAAAGAAATTCCGATATAGGCTCCCAAATGATGTTGTAACCATAAGTATCCGACGAAATTGTGCGGAATTCAACCTTCATCTTCTCTGGCAGACAAGGAGAAGGAGCTGTAGGATCCTTCAGACCGCGACACGCTGAAAGAAAATGAAATGTTAGTAACGAAACGCTGCAGTGAGTTTCCCGTAATTTCCACAATATTTGCGTAATGTTGTTGTCACATAGCTCTCGCGCTTGTCCTATGTTATTTATTTCAACCCATCATTGCCATATCTACATGTGCGCGGCCGTACATAGCTAATATGGCGAGGGGAGTTGCAGTTGCGGTTGCATGGCGAGTTGAAGTTCCAGTCAAGTTTAGCAGCGACTTCCTTTGGCTAAACGTTTCGATAGTCAATGAAAGCTAGAGAAAGCGAAGAAGGATTGTTCTTTCCACTTGGAATTGACTTCTTAGCCAGCAAGCCGAAAAAAAAGAAGAGCACAGGTAACGAACATTGATATAGATGATCACAAACAAAGCCTGTTTTTATGAAGAATGCATCAATGTTACCTTTTAAAAGAAACTAGACTTGCTCTTTATTGCACTTCGAGCAACTTCTAACCTTCCCTCCTGCTCTCCGGCCTTTTAGCGTACATCCGCAACTCGATATACGCATAACAAAAAGCACAGACCGATCCTTTGTTGATATATATTGAAAGCACCATCTGAATAGTTGAAAAAACCTTATTTTCACTATCTCTTATGAGCGACAGGGCGTCGCTGAGTGGTGCCAATACACGCATTTGATCCATTTGAACTAATTAGAAAGCAACCCAGCGTCCCTCGCGAAGAGACCATGAAGTTACGCCTAACGAGTACAAGCTGACAAACTTCTCGGCTAAAAAATTTCGTTCGATTGTTAACTAAATACGCACAAATGGTGCTAATTGATTAAAAAAAAAGGTTAAAATTAGTTTTTTTTTTTTTTTTTTTTGTAACAGCACTTATGAATAGCTTCTAAACACATCGCTTACTTTCATATTGCAGGGAAGAACGTCGTTCTCTTCCTTTAGATCGTGCAAGGACCTCATTATCTAAGAAAAGGACAATGTCAAAAGACCAAAAAAAACGTTAGTTACTGGATTCTGATTACATCTATTGATCCACACCGCGATCATCCAATACGTTAAATGCAACATGATGTTATCAGATGAAACTTGTTCAATGAAAAAACAAAACAAAAAAAAAAACTAACGAGCATCACCGAATCGATCCACCAAAGATAGTTAAACCTTTTACCTTTGATATCCCTTTGCTGCTTGCAATGCTGGATACACTTTTTAAATGCAATATTCTACAAGAAAGGTGCATTTGTGTCAGAAACTAGCCACTCAATGTCTCTTTAAAAATTCTATTGGACAAATGTGCAACTGTTAACTTATCAGTTAGATGACCTTACACCATCGGAAACATTCTTTGTTTTTTTTTCTCTCCCTGTCGAAAAGATGATTCAAGACGATCAAAGATAGCTAAGAAAAAGGAGATCACGAATCTATATTGAAAATAAGAAAAAAGGTACAAAAGAAATTTATTTCAACTTAAATGAATCTCTTCATAAAAGCATAATTAATCATAAAAACATCTTGGACTTAGTAACATAGATCTCAGATGTGCTTTTAATTTTACATTACCTAGAATATAAAAGGCGTCTATTATCATACTCTTCCAGACTATTACCACTCAACCAAGAGAAGCTTATAATTGAGCGCCACGTGCAATTTAACGACACGTGTCGAAGCTGACATCGTCACGCCACGCACAGCCAATATGCCTGTTGACTGCTTTAGTGTCATTTTATCTTCAGGGTTATCTGAACACAACAGGCTGAAAAATGTTACACTCCGCATAGTATTTTGTTATAAAAATATATAAACCACAGGACGCTCAAGTGTGTTGACCGAGTCCATGCCCTTTCCTGTTTGTGCGTTTGTGTTAACATAATGTGTTTTTTTTTTCTATGGATACCCTGGTAACGCCAACACGTGCAATTAAAAAAGTGTAAACGACTTATTGAATGGGACGACACATGAAATGGCGATAATATAACGGAATTGAATTTTGATTTTTGTCCACTATTGAAAAGACGCTACGTGCTCCAGACACGTTGGAGCTTTGACGCGAAAACGGGCAAAAAAAATATGAAAACAAGTATACATTGACACTACATGGGGTCAACGAAAAAAATCAAAATGTGAAATTTCCCTAACAACTTCTTCCTCAGGGAGTCTCTCCTTTCAAAGAAGAAAATCAAATGGCGCAAATTTTACTGTAAACACGATTAAAACAAATCAGTTGAGATTTAGTAAATTAGCTTAAACCTACTGGAAATTGGTGTAAAAAAATGAGAAAGCTGGTAACCGCAGTTTTCGCTGAGACGTGATTCACGAAACGTTTTTATGAGGGGTTTTAAAATATTGATTGATGATGCATTAGAGCTAGGCTGTTCATCAAACTCCCGGCGTCGAATAAAGCAATCCAATGGCCCCACAAAGTTTATTTGGGCATGAAATTCCCAACCATATATTGAAAAGTTTAATTTCTGTACTTACCCCTCGATTCTCCTGGTCTTGTATGATCGACCTGCATCGTCGACAGCAGACTGTGTCAGTTGACAAAGTCGCTGCTCTTAAAGTACTCGATTTCAATTCTTCACGAAGACACAAACTATCTAGGTTTGTTTCTGCGTGTTCAGTCCCAATCAAGTTAAATGCAACGAGTAAACTGATCAACCGGCAACAAGAGAGAACCATTGTCAAAGCAGTTCATAGAATCTCCAAGACAAGAATACCGAAACTGATTAAAATATTACTCTTCCTTTCAGCCCTCCGCTAGAGCAATACCGGATGAGCAAGTCTGCATCAGTCACGTGTTCATAACATTCAACTAGAATTGAAACACATCGATGAACTTTGGCCTCTAGTCACTCAGGTGGATAATTTTCCTCTCAGTGATTGCTTCCTTTGTCAACAAGGGTACATTTAGAGCATAAATATTCAAAAAATTATGTCGTATCTACTGGTAACTCCAAATCGCTCCAACTTTGTAGCTCGCTGGTGTGAGTTTCTCTGTTGCAGTTTCGCTCCAAATGACTTGATTGAATTTAAACTAGCTAGTCATGCAGTCGTATGAGATTTTCTGGTCACGCATTTAAAGCATTGCATATAAAGCAAAACTACAGAGTTCCTTGACGAGTGCAGGCTGCCATGGTCAGGCTTAATAAACGCGGTTAATGTTTTCTAATAGCTGTTCCACATCCAGTTCTTTCCTTTTCATACAATATATAATGGAAGTTTGACCTCATGCGAGTCAGATGCGAGTCAGAAGTGAGTCGTCACACAGAGATTTCCAATGTCGTCAGATGGCCACCAAAAATTACAGCGTTCTTATCGACCAGCGTAGATAGTCACGAGTTGTGTGGCTTGGAATGCCTCCCAGTTCCAGCCTTTTGACACGTTCCAGATCTAGAAGCCAACCCACAAGTGCAATGAAGGAAACTAATTCTTTTGTAAACGACGAAGAGAAGGGTGGCCTCAGAGGAGACGGAAAAGGCTACCTCATAGGCTTACGATCAACTGATCGTTATATTGCCTGAAGGATGGCACATGATATCAGATGGACCCAGATGACCCAGATGATGACAAGACAGATAGAAATGCCGGAAATGAAATGCCGAAAATGAAATGCCGAAAGAGGACAGGAAGTATGAAGCAGTTTGTTTGTGTTTTTCAACGGCGCTCCTAGGCGTTTCGACAAGGACTGTGGCCGTCTTAATCATTTACACCATAAAATCAGTGTCCAAATTCTCCATACTCCTGCTACACGTTTCCTTTGGTATTGACAGAGAGAATTCGTGTAACAACCAAAGCTCTAAGGTTGGCAATCATTTCCTTTACTCTTACAATGTTAAAAAATTATTCAGCAGTATTATTGTAAGGAGAAATTGGACGCTGGTCACTCTTAGGGTTTAAAGGTTTAAAGGAAACGTAAATAAGTATAACAAAGTGGATTAAGAGTGTCAACTTTCGCTGCTATAGAAACCAAAACTAATTTTAAACAAACACAGAAAAGTACCAAAGACGCTTCAAGTTAATTTTCTCTAACCATCCTCACCTTTCCTTCCTATTTCTGCCTTCTCTCCTTCTTCCTGCTCTCTTTTCCTTCTCCCCTTTTTACGTCTTTCCTTTTCTTCAAGAAGAGAACGATAAAAAGTGAAAGTTTTCTTCTCGTCTACCAAATTGTTTTCTTTTTTCTACTCATTGTTTAGCAGATAACTTAACTTGGTCCGGCTGACATCACGAATACGAAAAACTAATAAAACATGTAAAGCAGAGCAAAACGATTTGCATGTTAAACTGACACGTATGATTACTGAACTTGATATCCATCTGCTCTCGCAGCAAAAGGACTTGAAATTTGAAGAGCGAATAATTTTCGTGAGGTATGTTTATTTAAGCTGAAATCAAAATAAGGGTCACAAACGATAGAAAACGAAATATGACGAGGTATTATTTTTTTTTGTGATGGATATTACGCAAATCGATTATTGCGACTTCCCGTCGACAGACCTTTGTTTACTTTTCTGACGATTGTCCGAGTGAGGGCATGTGCACCATAATACGCAAATACAGTACTCCATCCGTCAACTTAACTGAAGGATCGTCCTGAGCTGGACGTTAAATAACTATGAATATCCCTTGATGCTCAGTGAAAAATGTAACCACAGTCCAGAAAGCAATGCCGAATGGTTCGCAGACGATTGCCAAGAGGTTTTCTGCTTTTCTAACCGTTATTTATTTTCTTGACGCAGCAACGCTTTCTTCAGGGAAGTATGCATCTTTGCACGGTAGACTCTCGCAATCGAAACGAGATCCACCGTCTCCATGTCATCTTCGTTGTGCCTCAGTTGTCAGCAAGGTAGGGAGATAAAAATCATTCGAAGTGTTTAAATTAAAGAATCAATATCTGGTTGAATTCTTAAGAAGACATGCTTCAATAAACGCAGCTACGAATGCTTTCATTGGGAATGTCGTGACCTATGCAAAGTGAAGAAAACTTTCGGTAACCAACGTTTTACTCCTTCTGATTTCTTCATTTCCCGCATATCACGTCTAGCGAAAAACTCCTTTGTTTTACGAATTTTAAAACTGTGTAAACATTTTAAAGGATAGCCGTATGGCTTTAAACTAGATTCGATAGTTAACACCCACGTACAACCATGCGAAGGATCCGTGTTCGAACAGAAACAGGATGTAAATACGATTACATGTAAAGCTCGCAGTAAGATGACAAGAAGGTACTTTGACGCCTTTTGACCTAGTTTCTAAGGTAAAGTTTTTATTGTTGTCTAATATTTAGTGAATTATTTTGATCGTTGAATAAGACAATGACCTAATCGCCGAACTCTAAGTATGTGAAATTACTAAATAAGCGAAACAAATGCGTTTTGTTTGTCCACTTCTCGTAATTTTTCTTTTTCAGTACCGACAGATGCATGTAAAACTTGTACACCCCCTTTCAGTTTCAGAGAATGAGAATGTGAGGCCCGGTTCAAACGTCGAACTTTACATTCGACATAGGTTCGATGTCTTGAAGGCGAATGGCTATACAAAAACTTTTCTTCATAACTTCCAAAAACCAGTTACAACTAGTAGCACCCCTGATGAAAGGGAACCAGTGACTGGTTTTGCTGTTATTCCTTACATTCAGGGTGTTACAGAACCCACCATGAGAATTTTGAATGGCCACAGTGTTAAAGTTGCTCAAAAACCCTTTCAGACTTTGTGGCATATTTTTACCAAATCTAAGGATCCTGTCACGATAGAACAATGAACTGACGCCATTTATTCTATTCCTTGCAATGACTGTGACAACGTGTTTGGTACTTGCTTGAAAGAGCATCAAAAAGCGGTTTTCTTTTGCAAGAAAGAAAAGTCAGTTTTATCAGAGCACACATGCCTATCTGTACAATTGGGTGGGATTAGTCTAAAATTACCACCACTAATCGGTGTTACCACCAGCGCCTTTGTTTGGAAGCTTGGCATATTAACTCTGCCCATGCTCCTTTGAATTGTGATGAAGGCAGCTTACTTCCTGACACCTATTCACACCTCATGAGAAAAAAGGCAACTAATTAGCGATTGTCTAGAAGGACCTCTTGTTGCAGCATTTAGATCACCCTTGATGAAGGTATTAGAAAGGAGTTTGGAAACTTAATAAACTTAATAAGGTTCAATGTTTGAACTGAGCGTGAAATGTGTTCTTCATCAAGTGCATCATATTCTTAGCACTCGTAGTACTTACTACACTAATGTCCTCATTAATCAATAGAATGGAAACATGACTTTTTATGGCCCATGTCAACATTTCTTTACTTTTTAGCAGCATAAAATACACTCTGTGCCATATGGTTGTGTCCTGTTGTGGTTTTTAATCACTTGGTCTGCATATGAGTCATCACACATTCAGTTTATTGCACTTGCCCTTGCTTATCTTAACATTGGGCTGATAATCAGTGGCTCTGTGAAATATGAGTCCTTGCTCCTCCCAAGAAACCTATGTTAAACAGCAATTTTAATTTGGTATAGTAATAACTCATCAAAAACAGAGTTATTGCAGCATCACAGGTTGTTAGCTCAATATATACCATCATTTTTTAACAGTTTCTTTTTCCAATGAATGAGTTGTCAAAGTCTTCACAGAAAATGATTTTAAAAAACTGACTCATGCAATATCTTCATCTATTTACAATAACTATGAGCATCATATTAAATGTCAGCCAAACTGGATTAATAAAGCAGCATTCAGTGACAGGTTGACTTAACGTTGAAACCTGGGAAAAAAGAGATCTGACAAATTTGTGTTAAACATTGGGTCTGTTTAACTTTTGTTTTGCCAGGTGATTTCTTTTGAGGAATGTGTTGCAAGATGCCAGGAAAAATTACCTTCACACAGAGGTAAAATATACATGTAGATTATGTACATTTAGCTGCTTACTAATTTCAGTCAGATGTACATTATGCAGGTAAGCCTGAAATGCAAACATCTTATTAGGTGGTGCAAGATGGTGTTGTAATAAAGCATAATGTAATATGCCTGACCTACCATGTGTGATTCTACTTTGGCCAGTTGTTTGAACAGTTATGAAAGTATAATCAGGAATGGGTTTAACAATTGGTCTTGATTTTTTCTTTTCTTTTGTTGTGTTGTCATGGGCCAGGTTGCTTAAGGCTAGGCTAAGATAACCCAGGATAAATGTGAAAACTGGTATCAGATTTGAAAGTCTTTAAAGAAAATTCAGTACCAATCCTTTTATTTGGCTAAGTGTAACACAAACCTGAAGATGTTCTGAACAAGCCACCCGTGGTTAAAAGTAGGTAAGAGTGGATGCACAAGGATAAGCAAAGATGCTTTTACAAAACAATTTATTTACAAGAGTCTTTCGGCCCTACATCATGAAATAATAATTTTCAGTTTGGTGCATTCCCAGAAATGTTATTGGGTCAAATAGGTAATCTGAGAAGATTTCACATTTCCCATGGGAGTCTCCTGATAATTATAGACATCAAGCAATATTGACAGTTGTCATCTTTTTAATGTTTTATTTAGTACATGTACTAGGTATCTGTAGGTTCAGTGTAGAAATTCAAAAATGAATGGGCAAAACAAATTCAATTTAACACTGGGATCCTTTTGTAGTCCTTAAACAAACTTCATATGAGTAAGGGCAGTTTGGAGTTTTATAGTTTTGATGTGCTCTTTGGAAAAGTTTCAAGTTTCATTTCAAAAGTTACATTTCTGTTTGTAATCTTGAAGTGTCCCAGTAGTAGGTAACATCCTTTGTTGTGGGTGTCTACAAATTAATTAAAATCTATTTCCACCCAATGTGTCTCTATTAAATTCAATTTTAGACACAATGCATGAAAATAGGAAAAAAAGAGATAGTTCTTCCATCAGGCAACAGAGAAGTGCAGAGTACCAAAATGGTAAGTTGAAATAAAAAAGCAAGGATCCAACATTTAGGATGTACATGTAGTAGGATGTTTATAGTGTTTTCAAGACCATATCTGGTGTGCCATAAGATGAAAGGTGGAAATGCAACACCTAAAGACTACAATAAATCAGTGCACATTCTGCAAATAATTTGAACCAGCCAGTCAGCAGAAAATTGGTACATACCTTAGTAAGTCTGATTTAAGCTTTAACTTATGAAAAAGAAAGGAAAAACAGAATTTGATGAGAAGGGAGGGATTAACATCACTATAGCACAATTACAAAATTATAATACAGTAACTTATAAAAGAGGTTTATGAAAGTTCTTTTGGATAAGCAAATTTTCCACTATATGTAACAGAAGTGCCTCCCTAAATCATGTTAAAATGGAAACTGATTTGTGGAAACATTTTTACTTCTTAAGGTACACATATTAAATAACTGTTTATGTGTTGATAATTAGAAAATATGTATATTTCTTTTGGAAATTTATCAACAGAGTGCATGACCTCTCCTGTACAGTCAAGAAACAAACCACTTCCTGTTAAGATACGTTCAGTAGAATTCAAAGAAAAGGATATCGATGTTGTGTGGGAGAAAAAGAATTCTTTCAAAACAGGTAGTGAAATGGTTCTGCCATGCTTCAGTAGTTGCTCGTAATTAATCAGAAAGAAGACGTTGAATGAAGATCTTGAGGAAACACCAATTGGAAAAGATTGCTGCATTAAGATTACTTATAAATTACCCCTAATTGTACAATGAGGAACAACAAATAATTCCCACCTTGATTTATTGTATGTGGTGTTGAAGTTTGAGGTTCAGTACTTTGGTAACATTAGACACATTTTAGTTGAATAAACACTTCTTAATTTCAGATCTCTTTGCTCAGACTAAAGAAAATTAAATCATTGTTTTCTTGACAGATTATAACTGGTCAGCTTATGCATTTATCTACAAAGTTCGTTGTGATAGATGTGGTGATGACAAAACAGCCAAGTGCAAAATTGTTCCAAAGGTCAGGTTTCCAAATTTATTGTTTTTTTCCAAAAGGGGATAATTTTAGTTTCTTTAGACACAGGCTTCATATTGCAAGATAATGTTAAATTAATCATGAGTTTACAACATGGTTATGGTTTTAACATGACCCTATCAATTTGAGAAGACAGTGCCTGAGTGGTAAACAACAACTTTAATTCAATGGTGTGTAATAGGGTAATCATTAATGTCATCATAGTCATTTGCATCTTGATCAAAAATGTTTTTTCCATGGTGATTATCATAACAATTTAGGAAAATAAACATGTTGATTGATAATTCGTGTAGTTGCTTTTTACAGGTTTCGATCGGGGTAGAAAGCAACTCATCATAATTTGGCCACAGGGTGGACTTATGTATAGTATAGTTTATTTTTAATCCCCCTATATCATATCTTGATATACTGGACCTTAGCAGGTCTTATTATTGATATATGTTTTGCATGATCTGAAAACCTTAGAACCAAACAGATTATTCAGTGCCACTGGCTCAATGGGAAAAGCCTGATTATCTTTTTGCTGCTGTATGTATGACCTAAATCAATTAACAATTTGTATTATTATTTAATTTGTGACATTATCATTAAGAATGAGATGAGGAGCAAAGCTGAGATTTAACTTATCTAAATAAAAAGGTAGATGTAATATGGTTTGGTCTTTTTCAAACACCCAGAAGTACCTTTCTGTTGTAAGGCTATCCCTTGAGGTTGTTTTCACTTGGTTTTTGAGAGATAACTTATGCTCACAATCTCTGTCTTCCTATATATACACTTTGAAGAAATATATTTAAGGTATTCCCGTATTCTGGCTGAAGAAATTTAAAGGGATCTTAAACAAAGCCACATGATTTCACGTTTTTTTATTTTCATGTGCACTCTCCATTAGCATCAGAGCTTCTTCACCTCATCAGATTTTCTGTTTTTAGGAATATGCATGGTGTTATTTGCTCAAAATGACCATGAAATGTATGGGTGGATGGGAAGTTTAAAAGGACCCACCCAGTCATTGTTCCTCAGTCATTGATTCTAAAATTTTGTTACATTGGTAATGCTGTTGCTACTGATAATACCAGTAATTTTGTTTTGCTTGGGTTTTCTTTTCATTTGCCACTGTTAACAAAACCAAGTAACATTTTAGTATGATGATGAAAATGAGTGATAAGAGAAGCGAAATTGCTAGCTCATTTTTGTTTGCTGTCTTTAGGTTGTGACCTTCCCGTTTTCCAAAAAAGCTTCTATATCTCTGGAAACATTTTCTCCATATGGTGAGAATCTATTTTTTTGCTTATCAGCTTGGAAGTCTTGAAGCTCAATATTTCAATTGATAATTTTAAAAAGTGAATAAGTTTAAAAAACAATTAGTGAATAGAAGAAGTGCATTGTACCTGTTTTCGTTTTTGTTTCTTTTTATTAGCATGAAATTGTGCATGCATCTTGATAGCTTTGTTTTTGCCATGATTATGATGAATGCCAGCTTAGGTAAATTTAGACAACCTAGCAAATTCTAACTGGATAAGACTATATATGTAAATATATGGCTTTTCAAGCAGAACTTTGTATTCCTACCCTTAATATTGAATCTTTCTGGTGTATTTACAGCCCCTGCACACAAAATTCCTATGCCTACTGAAGCTAAAAAAGGTAAGCCATGCTGATATTTTAGATCCAAATCTGTTATAAGCACATTATTCTTGTAAACCTCTGGACCCCATAAGTAATGAACATGTGACCCCTAGGTCTCCCTTTTCAAATTTCAGCATGCTCATAATTAGCTGAATTTGGCAGAATATCTTCAATTTGCACTTAATTTCATGGTTTTTATGAGACACCTAACTTTTCTTGTGTGGTTTGTTGTTACAGACACAGTTAAACTTGTAGGCTCTATAGTAGGAGGAATAGTAGCAGGAGTGGTTATGCTTTTGCTGTTGTTTGCTCTAGTCAAGAAAAGGCCATGCCGAGGTAATTGCTGAACTTCTTATGATGTAATTGGTATACGAAGTCACATATATTCAGATTAATTCTTCTAGTGTCACTCACTCACTTACGCAATCTTCCCCCAGACACAGTTAGTGTTGTTCATAATCAAACATACTTACCTGTCCTTCAATAGTTGAATGTAAGTAATGAGTTTAAGTATGGCAGAGCAAAATTTTCTTCCTTACATAGGCCTTATGCCTTATAGTGCATAATGTTTACAGTTACCAGTTCAAATTTACTTTATGTACGCAGGAATTATTATTGGTGTAGATAAGATAATTAGCAGAGCGGTTATTTCCATTTCAGTGTCTTAGTTTATTTTGTTACTATTTACACCTAACGCTTAACTTAGTATGTCTCAACATTGTCTCATGACCATTTCAAAATTTCAACATCAATTTTGAGTAATGATAACAATATTTCTGTTGATAGCCAATTCAGGACTTCAATACTCTCATTGTTACGATGGGCTGGTTTACTTTGTATCATCAACGTATTGACCTGTTGTTGTAGACATGTTTTGATGGTTATGATCTCTGTGAGCCTGTTGTTATTATTATTACTCTATATTTGAACTTCTCACCAACATCATCATTCTCATTATTATTATTATTATTATTATTATTATTATTATTATTAACCATCTCCATCATTTATTTTTGGTCAAATTTTGATTTAGTGTTTCTCCTGATTTTTAAAGGAAGCACCCCTCGCATGCCTCCACCAGCGCCCCCGAGACCAGAAGAGAAAAAAGACGAAAAAGGTGGGCTTATCGGATATTTCGTAGTGGATATTCTTCCTAACTATATTTGATTAAGATTATTGTTATAATGATGTAGGTTTATAGGTCGATAATACACGTGCATTTGTAAACAATGAATTACTGGGATTACGGAAGCGTTTGTTTGACCCTATGACGTAAAGGTTCCAAGATGGCGGCTAGGAAGCAAATATTACAACATCACTAACATCTCTCCTCTTTTTTTCTATTTTTTTCCTTAATCTTTGGTGCTTGTTCGTCGTGTGTTTCAACAAGTCATATGCAAAATGTATTTTCGTGCGAGCGACTGCAGCTTTTCCCAATGGATAATCCCTTACTTAAGAAAGAGATAAGCTTACGCAGTTGAGATGATAAATCGTACAAACGCTGGTTCTCTGATTTTACACTGAGTTACTTGTTCCAAAACGTAACAACCATCCTGTCTTTCACCTACAGCTGTAAGTTGAAGCTCTATCATACTCTGAGGCCCTTACCTGATAAAACCTTAGATCTACCCGCTAAGGAATCCGGAAAGTCCCCCATGAAGACTGTGCACGACAAAAGACACACATGGCCATAATTTACGATTTCTTCCCAGCAAATTCTTCATTGTGAAAAGAATTTTCATCTTTTTCGCTTCCTTTCCTTTGTACTGCCAAAAGAAATAACCTTGTTAAGAAAATAATATGCATATCGTCGTCTAAAACCACAATACGCGAAGATACAAGATGACCTAATGACCAGTCGCTTCGTATGCGCGCTTCGGTGGTGCGCGAAATGGCAGCCGCGGCATGCATTTCCCGCGCTTTTTTGTCCACGAACTGATCACCTGAACTCAGAGTGTTACAATGTTTCACCAACCTTCAGTTTACAAGGAATGGCGATATTTGGGCTACCGCAGCCAGTCTTGAAAGCTTCTCACGCGTGAAATAGATCATATTTTAGACTTAGGCCACACGAAATGCAAGGAATGTAAGGGATTCTTTTGCCGCTCCCTGAGGATTTCTTTAAAGCCTGAAACATGTATCAGGATGGCGAAAAAGATTAAGTAGGAAATGTTACCAATTATGTTCTCCCTTTTTTCTATTTTTTTTTTTTTAACAGAGCTATACTACACCTGTTATTATCCAGAGAGTGACGCTTTTCGAAACGAAGTGGCCTCAATTGTGAACTACTTTCGCCAGAACGGTTATAATGTCATCATGGACGTTATGGTGTCTACAGAAATAACTTCCCAGGGTCCTACACGTTGGGGAGAAAGCCAAATTAGAAAAGCTAAGAAGGTGCTGGTTTTCTTGTCACCTGGTTTGATAAACCTCGCTCTGGATGGGTGTGATGGCTTCCAGTCTCAGGTAAATACATGGTACTTCTCCTTTTGGGATGCTCGTTTGTTCTCGGCCATCTGCAGTTTTCCTTTTTCGCTCAGTGATTCCTTCTCCGTTGATTTTAGGACAGGAGTTCGTTATCTTAGTTTCCTTGGATGATTGAAAACTTAGGAGCGGGGGGGTTAAAATTCTGTCATGAGGCCATATTAACTTTTCTGGGGCGATTAGGCGTCGTAAATTTCTCCTCTAATCAAATCTCCACATTGGTGTGCAAATTCAAATTGTAATATTTCAGTATGTTTCAACACGTGGGTAGGAAAACGAACTTAATTTACCCCACTTCCGTTACCTTCGTATAGGGCTCTATGGTGCATCACGGTGTACTTTTACAATGTTAAAAAGCTGTTTAATTTATTAACAAAATAAAAACCTGGCTTCACGAAGGTACATTTTGGTAAGATTTACGTATGAGAGACTAATGATACATTGAGAATAATAGATGAGCGATACGGATTTTTTTAGTGTTTTAGCCGCCATAATCCGAGAAACTTCTGACAAACTACATTGGATTGAAAATCGTGAGGGCTTTACCGTTCATTCATCAACCGAGGCCGAGTGGCTCAAAGGCGAGTGACGTAGCAGCAGCTGATTGGCGATGTCAAACACATCATATTAACACATAAACTGCGGTGTTATACAGAGATTTCCGGCCTAGAGAAAAGCCGTAACAACACGCGTGGAAAAATATAGTATTTTTTCACGTGTGTTGATATAGCCAATCATCTGCTGACACGTCACTCACCTTTGGTGCCACTCGGTCAGGTTGATGAATGAACGGCAAAGCCTTCACGACTCTCAATACAAGTTTTTTGTCGGAGCTTCCTCGAATTATGGCGGCTAAAACACTAAAAAATCCGTATTTCTGACAGACAGACTTTTCCTTTAGTTGGTGCTGTAGGTTAGGCATTGCACAGAGTCCCAGTCAGTAGTGTGGTTCGGTAAGAGTCGTGACATACAGTTTACAAGAGAGGTCGAAGAAAATGGTAATCTACCGTTTCTAGACTGCCTAGTAAGCCGTAATGACAACTCACTACGTACAAAAGTTTACAGGAAACCGACACATATCGACAGATTACTGGACGCGTCATCCTACAACCTGACATCACACAAAGCCACAACTATCAAGACTCTTACCCGACGAGCGCAACTAGTATGCAATACGACAGACAGCTTATCCGACGAGAACAAGTACCTTGACCGTGTTTTTTCAAAGAACAACTACAACGAAGACTTCATCCAACGTAACACTCACCGACCTACTACTACTACCGAAGCTAACGACAACGCAACTCCTACGACCACAGCAACTATACCATACATAAAGGGCATATCTGAGAACATCTCGCGCATCCTACAGCCCCTTAATATCCGCGTCGCTCACAAACCCATTACCACACTACGTCAGTTACTGACTAACGTCAAAGACAAAGACGCACCAAGGAACAGACAGGGAGCAGTATATAAGATCGATTGCTCCGACTGCCTCGCCTCCTACATCGGTTAGACTGGCAGAAACCTCACAACCAGACTGACTGAACACAAACGAGCGACGAGGAAAGGCGATGTCAACAATCACATTGCTGAACATCACCGACTTACGAACTATTGATTGGGACTCTTGCAATGCCTAACCTACAGTACCAACTACTTTCAACGACTGACCCTGGAAAGATAACAGACTCCCCTCAACAGGTGTCAACCACTACCGGCACCATACAAACGACTCATTCATTAACATTACAAACGAACCGAACAGAACGACCTAACTTCACTAACCAATCGAGACCGACCAATCACGACTGACCTACGCCACTTGAGTCTTACAGCCAAAAAAATTACGGCAAAACTGACCAATCAGTTTATACAAACCAGACTAAGTACATTCGACTGACCGACAACAACTATTCACTTGACTCTGATGGTGACTTCCGCTCTGGTTGTCGAAACGTCAGTCACCACTACCGACAACAGTCCTTCTCAGGACTACACTCACCCGGACGATCAAACTACACTATTACATGTTACCCCCGGGTTCAAACCATTTACTGTATTGTTGTTTTTGTAATCATGATTCAACGCATTTTTCCATCTTAAGAGTTAGCGCCAGCGCACTCTACGAATGTTATTCGGGGATTGTCGATTCATTTATTTTCATTCATTAATGAAGTCGGCTTTTCTTCTCAGTAAAGGGCTATTATGTTTATATGATAAACAAAATGATACATGGTTGCTTGTAGATATGGAATTTCTCTGCTCGTATTCAACTCGACATCTCACTCGTTAGCTGCGCTCACCCGTGAACTATCGAGTTAAGCACTCGAAGAGAAATTGCATATCTATATCTCAAGCAATTTTTATGTTGCTTGCATTCAATCCGTCTTACTTTATGGATGTCAGGTCTACCATTATAGTCTCCCCGATTATTTGAGCTTAAGTTTAGAGCGTGTCCAAAAGAGAGCCTTGAAAATTATATACGGTTATGATACTCATTATAGAGAAGTGCTTCAGATGGCAGAGCTGAAAACCCTAAGGGATCGGAGGGAAGACCTTTGCTTAAAATTCTTTAACAACATCGTCTCCAATCCCTTGGATTGTTTGTACCACTTACTGCCTTTCGACAACCGAGATCAACTTATGGAGTTACGACGACGCAGACCATTTAGAGTTTCCTTCAAAACAAATCGGTTCAGAGATACTTTCATTCCAGCAAGCGCAAGACATTTTAATTGACACCTATTACAATTGTATATGGGCCCATATGTAAATTAGTTCCCTTTTAGGTTTGATTTTATTGTATAGTACTATTATATAATTTGTACACCTTTGTAATTCAGCTTCCAGCTGCTATTAAGGTATTCTTAATAATAAACGTCTATCTATCTATCTATCTATCTATCTACGCGCGCCCATGTATTATTCTCTATTTTTTTCACATGTGTTGTTACGGCTTTTCTCAGGGTTAAAAATCCTTGTAGATCACCATAGTTTATATGATAAATATTTATTTACTACGATGAATCTCTCTTTCTCGACGTAATCCTTTGCGCAAGTCAAAGAAATTTGCAAGCAGTGATGCATCTTGCGCTTATGATAGGGAGGGAGAGGAAGCTCCAAACAAAACACAGATCGAACCTTAATGAGCCAGTTAATATTTCAAGATAATTACATTTTAAATACTTCAAGTTGGATGGTAATATACGAACATGAGTTTTTTTTTTAATTTTGGCTTCAGACAAGGAATAAAAATACTCAGAGGTCTATGGAACTTTGACATCCTTTGACCCTCCACCTAAATCTGCCATTAGTAAGCTGAAAACCCTGGTTCAGAAAGTACTCCGGGAAGTGAGGCGTTTCGATTCTTAGGGTTCAAGTAGCACTGGAAAATATGATTACTCTCGAATTGCGCGATGGATTACGTTGAAAAAGAGGGGCTACTGTTAAACTGAAATAAACACAAATTTGGAGATCTGACGGCATTTCGAAACCTTGTCTTTTCAGGACACCAGCCGCGTTTGGATTGAGCTGGAAGTACTCCGAGACCTATACACACGTAATCGCTCAGCTTCGAAGATGGTTTGTATAACCCCACCCGACATGCCCTTGACTTCAGGACCACTTCCACTCTGGGCCAAAGTTAGCTACAAGTGGCCCGATGATGCTTTGGAAATCTTAAAGCGTCTTAACGACAGACCAAAGATATTAGCAATATAGAAAATGCCTGAAATCTTGCAAGTTTAGATCTGTGGCAAAATTATTGGAGTGTATGACCTTTTCCCCAGCCTAATTTCTTTTCCCCTTCCACTTTCACTTTCCCTAACCCCCCACCCCCAACACAAGAATGAGTCCTCACTAAGTTACCATTAGAGGACCTTTGTTGCTGAACAAAGAATATTTAAAAGGTATCTCCTGCGGCCTAAACCCTTAAATTCCCAGAGTTGACCAACGAGTGACTTTTCCTTACCTGCAATACGTTATCTTGAAACAGGGTTATGAGAACAAACAAGCTTATCAGTAGGGGGTGCTATCTTGCTGTTAAACCAAATTCTTGTGTCGAGTTTTTAAGAGAACTTGTGTCAGGCATTAGGGAGAATTACTGTTTGGATCTTGGGAGAGAAAGGGTTAAATAGCCTAAGGAGTGACTTATAAAAAGCCATTGATTTAACTATTTTTGTACTATCGTCTCCTGCCTGACCTTAAAGAATCTCTGTAAAGTTTACCTTACCGGAAGTTAAGTAGTTAGTTTAGCCGTGAGCTACTTTAGCTGGTATAGCTCGTGCGTTGCATTTAGAAGAAAAGAAGGCAAATCATATATTCCGTGATGGTACAAAGGAATTTATAAGGAAACATACTTACTGCAGCTAATGGTTTGATAAAAAAGATTAAGCGTTTTAAATTCCAGGATTTAAAATATTTATCTCTTATTAGCTTATTTATATTATATTTAATGGTGGTCTCATTTAGATGTAGTTTATTATTTATCGTCGGCTAATATGCAAGCCTTGAAATATTCTAAATCTGGTAGAAATCAGAGTGGAATGGTTACCAGTGCCCCGGAAATCATAACCTGCGAGCATACCCTATCTATCAGCACCTCGGGAAAGAGAAGTCTGCAAAGGGTCTTGTACTGATAATTGCTAGTGCTAGATCCCTGCAGCGCAAGTCTGCAAGGAGTCTTGCACTGATAATTGTTAGTGCCAGACCCCCGGAAAACCCCTCCCAGTAGCGCACCCTGCAGGGCTGATTATGAGGGCTTGCTCACAGCTGGATATGGAAATCACGTTAGTGGGTATGTGAAATGTTAATAACGGGGTTAAAATCATAACACAACGTTTAGGTGAGAGGAAAAAAGGAAAACCTAAAATTAAAGGATAACAGCGGAAATTGATTTTCATGCTATTGAAAAATAACGCACATTACCATAGGAAATAATGTTTGGTACAATTTGAAGCTTGCGTTAAGGATGTAAATTAGTCAGATTAAGAATTATATATTAGTAATAATAATAGATCACAGCATATATGATTTACAAGATATTTGTATTTCGGACGGGAGGCATGAGCAAGTCGATATGATTTTGTGGAAAGAATCAGGCGTTCTTTGATCGTTTTTTATTTTATTTTTGTTATTTTTCTTTTTCTCTTTTATTCCTCTGCGCTTATCATTGACATGCGAACAGTTAGGTTTTGGTTCATAGTTGCGATTCCGTTTCATTCAGCCTTCATTCATGATCAAGTCAGAATTGTAGAAGCAGATTAACTCGCATTTCATTTTAAAGATGCGTCTGAAAATAGTCAGATTATGTACTGTATGTAAAAGCGCAGACAGGAACCATTGCTTTTTTATCAGTAAGTTGATATTTCTATCATGTCAATGACTATTAAGTAACAAGACTTTTTGGAATAAAAATTTCATCAACAATGAAGCTGTATTAGGTTGGCCACTAGTATTTAACCTTTTTCTATATCCTTTTAGGAGGGGTGTGGTTGAAGCATGAAACGACGTTTTGAGGCGAGTTGCTTTTTGTTGAACCTCTCCCCCCCTCCTTCCCCCCCCCCCTCACCTTCTGCCCCGTTGTTGGAAGATCAATTAAAGGAAAAACCTTTACAACTTTTGAAGTTGACCCCTGATGAACCAAGGATGTTACGTGATGTCAGATGGACCCAGATGATGACAAGACAGATAGAAATGCCAAAAAGTGTCGAAAGAGGAGAGGAAGTATGAAGTTTGTTCGTGTTTTTTAACAGCGTTCCTAGGCGTTTTGACAAGGATTGTGGCCGTCTTAATCCTTTACACCATAAAATCAGTGTCCATGTTTTTCATACTCTTGCTACATGTTTCCTTGGGTATTGACAGAGCGAATTCGTGTAATAACCAAAGCTTCTAAAGTTGGCAATCATTTCCTTTACTCTTACGATGTTAAAAAATTATTCAGCAGTATTATTGTGAGGAGAAATTGGACGCTGGTCACTCTTAGGGTTTAAAGGTTTAAAGGAAACGTAAATAAGTATAACAAAGTGGATTAAGAGTGTTAACTTTCGCTGCTATAGAAACCAAAACTAATTTTAAACAGACACAGAAAAGTACCAAAGACGCTTCAAGTTAATTTTCTCTAATCATCCTCACCTTTCCTTCCTATTTCTGTCTTCTCTCCTTCTTCCTGCTCTCTTTTCCTTCTCCCCTTTTTAAGTCTTTCCTTTTCTTCAAGAAGAGAACGATAAAAAAGTGAAAGTTTTCTTCTCATCTGCCAAATTATTTTCCTTTTTTTACCTATATTTTAGCAGATAACTTAACTTGGTCCGGCTGACGTCATGAATATGTAAACATAATAAAACACGTAAAGCAGAGCAAAAAAATTTGCATGTTAAACTGACACGTTTGATTACTGAACTTGATGTCCACCTGCTCTCGCAGCAAAAGGACTTGAAATTTTAATATTGCTTTGGTTCTTCTCTAGCGATTAATTTTCATGAGGCATGTTCATCCTGAAATCAAAATAAGGGTCACAAACGATCGAAAACGAAATATGATGAAGTTTTTTTTTTAAATGGATATTACGCAAATCGATTATTACGACTTCCTGTCTACAGACCTTTGTTTATTTCTGATGATTGTCCGAGTGAGAGCATGTGCACCATAATACGCAAATACAGTACTTCATCCGTCAACTTAACTGAAGAATCGTCCTGAGCTGGACGTTAAATCACTACGAATATCCCTTGATGCCCAGTGAAAAATGTAACCACAGTCCAGAGAGCAATGTCGAATGGTTTGCAGACGATTGCCAAAAGGTTTTCTGCTTTTCTAACCGTCATTTATTTTCTTGACGCAGCAACGCTTTCTTCAGGGAAGTATGCATCTTTGCACGGCAGACTCTCGCAATCGAAACGAGATCCATCGTCTCCATGTCATCTTCGTTGTGTCTCAGATGTCAGCAAGGTAGGGAGATAAAAATCATTCGAAGTGCTTGAATTATAGAATCAATATCTGGTTGAATTCTTAAGAAGACATGCTTCAATAAAACGCAGTTACGAATGCTTTAATTGGAAATGTCGTGACTTATGCAAAATGATGAAAACTTTCGGTTACCAACGTTTCACACCATCTGATTTCTTCACTTCCCGGATAACAAGTCGAGCGAAAAACTCCATTGTTTTACGAATTTTAATTACTAAACAAGTTATTATTAGTAGTTATTAAGTTATTGCTAAATTAGTTATTATTAGTATCAATTGTTATGACATTTCGTATCAGTGTTGATTTGCATTAGAAGAAGCAAATATTTATTGTAACAATTTCAATAGTTAAAATGCAGTTGTTAAATGGCATCTAAATCTTGCGTATAGGATACGACTCGCTATAATAAATGCGGCAGAATTGGGAGGAAATGGCCGGTTTTTTTTTTTTACCTTTATTAAGGAATGTTGTCTTGTGATTGAAAAGAACGTCAACAAAAAGCTTGCAAATAGAATTAGTCACCAAATACGATACAAACAATGCTTAAAAGGAAAGTTTGGTAAGGGGGTCCAAATCTGTGAAGGGGGGTCCATATCCGCTGTGACACCGGTTCGAACATCAAACTTTACTAGTGCCGCAACGTTTGAAACAATTAGGTTCGACAGATTTGTTTGGGTCCACCTACCGTTCTATTCAACGGGGCTTGTCGAATAGATCGGCAAAAGATCAACTTCATTCCATACATTAAACCGTTTCATGTGCCAAATATAATACATTTATTACAAATACATTAAATAAATAAATTTTAACCCAGAGTCCTGCATGTTTCGTTTATTTGTCATGTGCACACAACTTGGTTTGCGACAAAATCGTAGGAAGAGCGGAAAATATGTGTTCCTCTTGCACCGTGAGCTCGAAATATACATGCCTGTGGTGCGTGAACTACTTCTGTATGCCACCAGCCAGTAGTTCTTTGTAGCCGATGACAAGTATATCAGCCGAACTGGACGAGGAACGGTGGTGTTCCTTTGGGAAATGAGTAATATAAGAAGGCAAGCTAAATTCAAAACTCGTTTCCTCCTGGCAGCGAGGTCGTTTAATTCTAAATACATCTTGAGTCGCCCTCTTCTATCCTCCTTCATCGCATTTGCAAGAACCTCTTCACTTCCACAATTTGTCTTTCCCGCATTTTTCCGCCATATGGGTAAGCAATAACCGCTGACTGTAATATAGTCATATTCACTTTTTCAATTAAGTTCAAGTTAACTAGGTTCGACATTTGAATCAACTGTCGAATGTTGTTATTTAGGTCGATCCAAATTGGTATTAAGTTCAGCACATGTAAAGTTTGACGTTTGAAACGGGCCTGAAATGTGTTTTTCATCAGCTGCATTGTATTCGTATTACTTGTAGTAGTTACTACATTAATGTCCTCATTAGTGGATAGGATGGAAACATGACTTTTTTTGGCCCGTGTCAATGTTTCCTAATTTTTAGCCGGCATAAATGCATTCTGTGCTATACTATTGTGCTCTGTCGCAGTTTCTAATCACTATTGGTTTGCATACGAGTCATCACCCTTTCAGTTTATTGTGCCTGCCCTTGCAACATGTCTTATCTTAACAATTTGCTGATAATCAATGGCTCTGTGAAATGAGTCCTTGCTCCTCCTAAGAAAACTATGTCAAAGAGCAATATTAACATGGTATAGAAATAAATCATTTAAGGCAAAGTTATCACAGCATCACAGGTTGTTAACTCAATATTAAATGGGACTTCCTGTAAGTTATGTTCGTGTTGATTACCCATGTTGCTGTTGAAATGTTTAAGATGATGATGATTATCATTATTATTATAATTATTATTTCCATTGTCATCATCACAATTATGATAATCATACATGTAGTTATATGATGCATACCATCAGTTTTTTTAACAGTTTCCTTTTCCAATCTCTTACCAATGATAAACACCTATAGGAGGTAAAGGCATCATGAATGAGTTGTCAAAGTCTTCACGGAAACTAATTTTAATAGACTGACTCTTGCAATATCTTCCTCTATTTACAATAACTATGAGCATCATAGTAAATGTCAGCCAAACTGGACAAATAAAGCAGCATTCAGTGACAGGTTGACTGTTACTTGAAACCTGAAAAATAAGATCTAACAAATTCTTTGTAAAATATTGGGTCTGTTTAACTTTTGTTTTGCTAGGTGATTTCTTTTGAGGAATGTGTCACAAGTTGCCAAGAAAAATTATCTTCACGCAGAGGTAAAATATACATGTAGATTATGCTCATTAAGTTGCTTACTAATTTCAGTCAGATGTACATTATGCGAGTAAGCCTGAAATGCAAACATCTTATTAAGTGGTGCAAGATGGTGTTGTGATAAAGCATTATGTAGTATGCCTGACCTACCATGTGTGATGCTACTTTGGCCAGTTGTTTGAAAGGATGTGAAAATATAACCAGGGATAGGTTTAACAATTGGTCTTGATTTTTTCTTTTCTTTTGTTGTGTTGTCATGGGCCTGGTTGCTCAAAGCTAAGTTAAGATAACTCAGGATGAATGTGAAATCTGATATCAGATTTGTATCATTCCTTTTATTTGGCTAAGTGTAACACAAACCTGAAGATAACAAAATCTTCAAAGAATGGTAAACCTCACTAAAATGTTACAAAATTACATTAGAATTTTGCATCGATCATGGGTTATCTGAGTTGTGTTTTGAACAAGTCACCCATGGTTAAAAGTAGGTAAGAGTGGATGCACAAGGATAGGCAAAGATGCTTTTAAAAACAATTTGTTTACAAGAGTCTTTCAGCCCTTGATCATGAAATAATAATTTTCAATTTCCTGCATTCCCAGAACTGTTATCGTGTCAAATAGGTAATCTGAGTAGATTTCACATTTCCCATAGGAGTCGCCTGATAATTATAGACATCGGGCAACATTGACAGTTGTCATATTTTAATGTTTTGTCTACATGTACTAGAAATCTGTCAGTTCAGTGTAAAAATTCAAAACTAAACTGGCAAAACAAATTCAATTTAACACTGGGATCCTTTTATAGTCCTTTAAAACAAACTTCAAATGAGTAAGGGCAGTTTGGAGTTTTATAGTTTTGATTTGCTCATTGGAAAAGTTTCATTTCATAAGTTACACTTCTGTTTGTAACCTTGAAGTGTCACAGTAGTAGGTACCTTCCTTTGTTGTGGGTGTCCACAAATTAACTAAAATCTATTTCCACCCACTATGTCTCTATTAAATTCAATTTTAGACACAATGCACAAAAATAGGAAAAAAAGAGATAGTTCTTCCATCAGGCAACAGAGAAGTGCAGAGTACCAAAATGGTAAGTTGAAATAAAAAAGCAAGGATCCAACATTCAGGATGTACATGTAATATTTAAAGTGTTTTCAGGACTAGTCTATCATTAGCATATCTGGTGTGTCATAAGATGAAAGGTGAAAATGCAACACCTAAAGACTACAATAAATCAGTGCACATTCTGCATATAATTTTAACCAGCCAGTCAGCAGAAGATTAGTACATACCTTATTAAGTCTGATTTAAGCTTTAACTGATGAAAAAGAAAGGAAAAACAGAATTTGATGGAATTACCGGTAACATCACTATAGCGCATTAACTATTGACAAAATTTTGATATAGTGACTTATAAAAGAGGTTTATGAAAACTCTTTTAGATTGGCAAATTTTCCACTATATGTAACAGATGAGCTTCCCTAAATCATGTTAAAATGGGAACTGATGTGTATAAACATGTTAACTTCTTAAGTTACACATATTAAATAACTGTTTATGTATTGATAATTAGAAAAAATCTATTTCTTTTGGAAATTTATCAACAGAGTGCATGACCTCTGCTGTACAGTCAAGAAACAAACCACTTCCTGTTAAGATACGTTCAGTAGAATTCAAAGAAAAGGATATTGATGTTGTGTGGGAGAAAAAGAATTCTTCCAAAACAGGTAGTGGAATGGTTCTGCCATGCTTCAGTGGTTGCAAGTAATTGATCAGAAATAATATGTTGAATGAAGATCTCGAGGAAATACCAATTGGAAAAGATCACTGCATCAAGATTACTATAAATTACCCTAAATTGTACAATGAGGAACAACAAATAATTCCCATCTTGATTTATTGTATGTAGTGTTGAAGTTTGAGGTTCTGTACTTTGGTAAATGTAAGACACACTTAAGTTGAATAAACACTTCTTAATTTAAGATCTCTTTGCTTAGACTAAAGAAAATTAAATCATTGTCTTCTTGACAGATTATAACTGGTCAGCTTATGCATTTATCTACAAAGTTCAATGTGATAGATGCATCGATGACTCAGTAGACAAGTGCAAAATTATTCCAAAGGTAAGGTTTGCATATTTCTTTTTCCAAAAGGGGGAAATTGAGTTTCTTCAGACACAGGCTTCATATTGCAAGATAATGTTAATCATGAGGACCTAAACCATGGTTATGGTTTTAACATGACTCCATCAATTTGAGTGCTTGAGTGGTAAACAACAACTTTAATTCAATGGTGTGTAATAGGGTAATCATTAATGTCATTATGGTCATTAGCATCTTGATCAAAAATCTTTTTCATGGTGATTATCATAACAATTAAGGAAAATAGACATGTCCATTGATAATTTGTATGGCTGCTTTTTACAGGTTTCAATTATATTTCAGGGTAGAAAGTAATTTATCATAATTTGGCCACCTAATGGACTACATACAGTATGGTTTATTTCTAATCCCTTTGTATCATATCTTAATATGATGGACCTTGACAGTGGAAAAATACAAGTTGTAAATCAATATCTTTAGGGGTACTTTGATTTCTGATTAAATGGTGGTATGGTCTTTCATAATGTGTTATGATTACATGATTACAGATATATTTTTTGCATGATCTGAAAACCTTAGAACCAAACAGATTATTCAGTGCCACTGGCTTATTGGGAAAAGCCTGAACATCTTTTTGCTGCAGTATGTATAACCTAAATCAATTTATAATTTTTATATTACTTAATTTGCGGCATTATCATCAAGAATGAGACAAATAGCAAAGCTGATAATTAACTTTTCTAAATAAAAGGTACATGTAATATAGTTTGGTCTTTTTGCAAGCACTCAGCAGTATCTTTCTGTTATGCAACTTTGCCATCAGGTAGTTTTTACTCGGTTTTTGAGATATAACTTATGCTCATAATCTCTGTCTTACTATATATATTATATTATATATTATATAAGATCACTATATTATATTATTATCACTATATATATTACTATATATTATCACTTTGAAGAAATACAATTAAGGTATTCCCTTGTTCTGGTTGAAGAAGTTAAAAAGGATTTTTAACAGAGCCACATGAATTCACATTTTTTATTTTCATGTGCCCTCTCCATGAGCATCAGAGCTTCTTCACCTCATCGGATTTCCTGTTTTTAGGAATATGCATAGTATTATTTGCTTACAATGATCCCAAAATGTATGGGTGGATGGGAAGGTTAAAAGGACCCACCCAGTCATTGTTGCTCAGTCATCGATTCTAAAGTTTTGTTACATTGGTAATGCTGTTGCCATTAATAAAACCAGTGTGATTTGCTTGGGTTTTCTTTTCATTTGTTGTTGTTAGTAGTGAAATTGCCACCTCATTTTTTTGCTTTTTTGCTGTCTTCAGGTTGTGACCTTCCCATTCAGCAAAAAAGCTCATGTATCTCTTCAAACATTTTCTCCATATGGTAAGAATCCATCTTTTTTCTTATCAGCTTGGAAGTCTTAAAAGCTATGATGGATGCATTGTTCAATGGATATTTTCTAAGAAGTGAATAAGGTTCAAAAACAATTAGTGAATAGAAGTATGACGAATACCATCTAGTAAATGTCATAATTCAACCTAGAAAATTCTAACTGGATAAATAAATATGTATATATATGGCTTGTTTTCAAGCAGAACTTTATATTCCTGCCCATAAAATTGAATCTTTCTAGTGTATTTGCAGCCCCTGCACGAAGAATTCCTATGCTAACTGAAGCTAAAAAAGGTGGTAAGCCATACTTATATCTGCAGTACATGCACAGTATTCTTGTAAACCTCTGCGTTGTATAAGTAATGAACATGTGACCCCTAGATCTTCTTTTTCAGATTTTAGCATGCTTATAATTAGCTGAATTTGATAGAATATCTTCAATTTGCACTTAATTTCATTGTTCTTAGGAGACACCTAACTTTTCTTGTGTGGTTTGTTGTTACAGACACAGTTAAACTTGTAAGCTCTATAGTAGGAGGAATAGTAGCAGGAGTGGTTATGCTTTTGCTGTTGTTTGCTCTAGTTAGGAAAAGGCCATGCCAAGGTAACTGCTGAACTTCTTATGATGTAATTGGTATAAAGAGTCGCATGTATTCAGATTAATGCTGCTAGTGTCACTCACTCATTTAAACAATCTTCCCCCAGACACAGTTAGTGTTGTTGATAATCAAACATACCTACCCATCCTTCAACAAATATTATTAGTTGAATGTAAGTAAAGAGTTTGATTGCAGCAGAGCAAAATTTTCTTCCCACCAGTTTCATGCCTTATAGTGCATGAGGGTTATAGTTAACAGTTCATATTTACTCCATATATGCAGGAATTATTGTTGGTGTACATCAGATAATTAGCAGAGCAGTTATTTCCATTGCATTGTCTTAGTTTATTTTGTTACTATTTAAACCTAGCACTCAATTTAGTTTGTCTCAACATTTTCTCAGGACCATTATAAAATTTCAACATCAATTTTGAAGAATGATGACAATATTTCTGTTAATAGCCAACTCAGGACTTCAATACTCTTATTATTACGATGGGCTGGGTTACTTTGTATCACCAACATATTGACCTGTGGATGTAAACATGTTTTCATGGTTATGATCTCTGTGAGCCTGTTGTTATCATTACTACTCTATATTTGAACTTCTCACTAACATCATCGTCATTATTAATCATCTCCATCACTTATTTCTGATCAAATTTTGATTTAGTGTTTCTCCTGATTTTTAAAGGAAGCACCCCTCGTATGCCTCCACCAGAACCCCCGAGACTAGAAGAGAAAAAAGACGAAAAAGGTGGGCTTATCTGAGATTTTTTAGAGGACAATGTTCCTGGCCATAGTTCATTAAGATTATTATTGTAATGATATAGATTTGTAGGTCGATAATACACGTGCATTTGTAAACAATGAGTTACTGGGATAACGGAAGCGTTTGTTTGTTTGATCCTATAACGTTAGAGGTTCCAAGATGGCGGATGGGAAGCAAATGTATCAACATCATTAACATCTCTCTTCTTTTTTTCTTTTTTTTTTCTTAATCTTTGGTGCTTGTTCGTCGTGTGTTTCAACGAGTCTTATTTGCAAAATTTATTTCGCGCGAGCGACGGCAACTTTTTCCAATGGATAATTTCTTACTGAAGAAAGAGATAAGCTTACGCAGTTGAGATGATGAATCGTACTAACGCAGTTTCTCTGATTTAAAACTGAGTTACTTGTTCCAAAACGTAACAACCATTCTGTCTTGTACGTCCAGAAATCACTTGCAGCTGTTAGCTGAAGCTCTATTATACTCCGAGGCCCTTACCTGATAAAAACCTTGGATCTACTTGCGAAGGAATCCGGAAAGTCCTTCATGGAGACTCTACACGACAAAAGACACACATGGCCATAATTTACGATTTCTTCCCGGCAAATTCTTCATTGTGCAAAAAATTTTCATCGTTTTCGCTTCCTTTCCTTTGTACTGTCTAAAGAAATAACCTTGTTAAGAAAATAGTATGTATATCGCCGTCTAAAACCACAATACGCGAAGATACACGATGACCTGATGACCAGTCGCTTCGTATACGCGCTTCGGTGATGAGCAAAATGGCAGCCGCGCCATGCATTTCCCGCGCCTTTTTGTCCACGAACTGATCACCTGAACTCAGGTATAATGTTTCTCCAACCTTCAGTTTACCAGGAATGGCGATATTTGGGCTACCGCAGCTAGTCTTGAAAGCTTCTTACGTGGGAAATAGATTATTTTTTATACTTAAGCCACACGAAATGCAAGGAGTGTAAGGGATTCTTTTGCCGCTCCCTGAGGATTTCTTTAAAGCCTAAAACATGTATCAGGATGGTAAAAAAGATTAAGCAGGAAATATTACCGATTGTGTTCTCCCTTTTTTCTATTTTTTTTAACAGAGCTATACTACACCTGTTATTATCCAGAGAGTGACGCTTTTCGAGACGAAGTGGCCTCGATTGTGAACTACTTTCGCCAGAACGGTTATAATGTCATCATGGACGTTATGGTGTCTACAGAAATAACCTCCCAGGGTCCTACGCGTTGGGGAGAAAGCCAAATTAGAAAAGCTAATAAGGTGCTGGTTTTCTTGTCACCTGGTTTGATAAACCTCGCTCTGGATGGGTGTGAAGGCTTCCAGTCTCAGGTAAATACATGGTACTTCTCCTTTTTCGGATGCTCGTTTGTTCTTGGCCATCTGAAAATAACACCATAGTTTATATGATAAATATTTATTTTCTACGATGAATCTCTTTTTTCGACGTAATCCTTTACGCAAGTCAAAAGAAATCGGCAAGCAGTGAGGCATCTTGCACTTATGATAGAGGGAGAGGAAGCTCCAAACAAAATACAAATCGAAACTAAATGAGTCAGTAAAAGTTTCAAGATAGTTAAATTTTAAATACTTCAAATTGGATAGTAATATACGATCATGCCGTTTTCTAAATTTTGGCTTCAGACAAGGAGTAAAAATACTCACAGATCTGTGGAACTATGACATCCTTTGGCCCTTCACTTAGATCTGCCATTAGTGAGCTGAAAAACCTCAGTTCAGAGAGTACTCCGGGAAGCGAAGCGTTTCGATTCTCAGAGTTTAAGTAGCACGGGAAGATATGATTACTCTCAACTTGCGCGATGCCTTTGTTACGTTGAGAAATAGGGGCTACTGATAAAATGAAATAAATACAAATTTGGATATCTGACGGCATTTCGAAACCTTGTCTTTTCAGGACACCAACCGCGTTTGGATTGAGCTGGAAGCACTCCGAGACTTATACACCCGTAATCGCTCAGCTTCGAAGATGGTTTGTATAACCCTACCCGACATGCCTTTGACTTCAGAACCCCTTCCACTCTGGGCCAAAGTTATCTACAAGTGGCCCGATGATGCTTTGGGAATCTTAAAGCGTCTTAACGACAGACCGAAGATATTAGCAATTTAGAAAATGCCTGAAATCTTGCAAGCTTAGATCAGTGGCAAAAGTCATGGAGTGTATGACCTTTTCCGCAGCCTAATTGCTTTCCCCTTCCCCTTCCCCTTCCCCTTCCCCTTCCACTTCCCCCCATCCCCAATACAAGGATGAGTCCTCACTGAGTTGCCATTAGAGGACTTTTGTTGCGAACAAAGAATATGAGAAAGGTATCTCCTTTCGGACTAAACCCTTAAATTTCCAGAGTTGATCAACGAGGGATTTTTCCTTGCCATTGCAATACGTTATCGAGAAACAGATTTAGGAGAACAGACAAGTTTATCAGCAGGGGGGTTCTATCTTGCCGTAGAACCAATTTTTCCTTTCTAGTGTTTTAGAAAACTTATGTCAGTCGTTAGGGAGAATTAATTTTTGGATCTTGGGAGCGAAAGGGCTAAATAGCCTGGAGTGACCTATAAAAAGCCATTTATTTAACTTTTTTTGTATTATCGTCTCCTGTCTGACCTTAAAGAATCTCTGTAAAGTTTACCTTACCGGGAGTTAAATATTTAGTTTAGCCGTGAGATACTTCCAGCTGGTACAGCTCGTGTGTTGCATTTACAAGAAAAGAAGGCAAATCATATATTCCGTGATGGTAAAAAAGAAAAGGGAACATACTTACTGCAGTAAATGATTTTATAAAATAGATTAAGCGTTTTAAATTCCAGGATTTAAAATATTTATCTTTTATTAACTTATTTACATGATATTTAATGGTGGTCTCATTAAGATGTAGTTTATTATTTATCCTCGGCTAATATGCAAGCCTTTGAATATACTAAATCTGGTAGAAATTAGAACGGAATGGTTACCAGTGCCCCGGAAATCTTAACCTGCGAGCGTGCCCTATTTATGAGTGCCTCGAGAAAGAGAAGCAAGGAGTCTTGTTCTGATAGTTGTTAGTGCCAGACCGTCCCGAAAACCTATCTCTACAGCGCAAGTCTGCAAGGAGTCATATACTAATAACTGTTAGTGCCAGACCCCCGGAAAACCTCTCCCAGCAGCGCACCCTGCAGCGCTGATTATAAGGGCTTGCTCACAGCCGGATATGGAAATCACGTTAGTGGGTATGTGAAATGTTAATAACGGGATGAAAATCATAAACATACATAAACATTAAGGCGACAGAAAATTGAAAACGTAAAATTAAAAGATAGCAGTAAGCGAGAAACTTCATGATTTTCATGCCATTGAAAAATAACGCACATTACTATAGGAAATAATGTTTGGTACAATTTGTAGCGTGCGTCAAGGATGCAAATTAGTCAGATTATGAATTATATATTAGTAATAATAGCAATGGATCATAGTATATATGATTTACAAGATATTTGTTTGCGCACATGTCAGTTCGGACGGGAGGCATAAGCAAGTCGATATGATTTTGTGGAAAGAATCAGGCGCCCTTTGATCGTCTTTTATCGTTTTTTAAGTTATTTTGTCATTTTTTTCCCTTTTTTTTCTATTCTTTTTCTCTTTTATTCCTCGGCGCTTATCATTAACATGCGAGCAGTTAGATTTTGATTCATAGTTGCGATTCCGTTTCATTCATCCGTCATTCATAATCAAATCAGAATTATTAAAGCAGATCATGCATTTCATTTTTAAAGATGCATCTGAAAATAGTCAGATTGTATGCTGTATGTAAAAGTGCGGACAAAGGAATTATTAATTTTTTATCAGTAAGTTGATATTTCTATCATGCATTTCATTTTAAAAGATGCATCTGAAAATAGTCAGATTGTATGCTGTATGTAAAAGTGCGGACACAGGAACTATTAATTTTTTTATCAGTAAGTTGATATTTCTATCATATCTATGATTGTTAAATAAAAATACTTTTTGGAATACAAATTTTATCAACAATGAAGCTGTATTAAGTTGGCCACTTGAATTTAACTTTTCTCTATACCCTTTAGGATGGGTGTGGTTTAGGCACGAAACGACGTTTTAAGGCATGTCGCTGTTTGTTGAAACCCCCACTTTCTGCCCCGTTGTTGGAAGATCAAGTAAAGAAAAAATTTCCAACTTTTTAAGTTGACTCCTGATGAACAAAGTCTTAAGAGACTGTCAAAACATTAAGTTTAGGATAAAGAAAAAAAATACCCAATAAATGTTAAAAAAAAACTTCAGAAATTACGAAAAATCGCAACACCCAGAAAAACAAAGCTTTTCTTTCTCTTGAATGTCGTTTTTAATTTTAGTCGTTCCCAAGCCCCCTTTATCTTGGAACAAAGGAAACCTGGAAACGAGGTTGGCTTTCGGTTTAGATTTATGTTTCAGTGTGACGTCAGCAGGTCTTTCCTATGCTTATGAAACAATTCTGCAATATCATTCGTCCATTTGAAATTGTTATGATAAGTGCTACTCCCGGATTGGCGACCCTTGTTGAGCCACGTTACATAATGATTGACACGGCGAAAATTCAATAATCGTGCTATCACTATCGTGAAGTGTACGTGAAACGAACCTTCAGTGATCCAAAAGGTGAGTGCACTGGAAAGCTTTTCCAAGAGTTTTTCACAAATGACTTTTCTTTTTCCTTTTTGGATTGTTTTAGTTAATCTACACATTGGTAAAAATGTTACATGAGTTACATACAAAGGTCACGAAATATATTGGTAAACCAGTCTCTTGCTGTAGAATCTCAAATGGGTTTAGTCTAAGATCATAACCTGGCCGCCAACTGCGATGTTCAGCTCTACATGACCCTACCGATTAGGCCAGAAATATTTGTCAAAGGTTCTTCACCTGTGTAAATAACGTGATTAAACCAGCTAAATAAAATGACTAGTCGACTGTGACGAGAAGAGCGCCGCACTGAGATGAGCGTTAATCATCTGACCTATTCATTTAAATTTTTTTTGTGTATATTTTATATTTTTCCCTAAATCGCATATCTTCATTGTCGAATTGCTGACTAATTTGACTCGGGCGAGTACAGTTGGTCGAAATTTCGAGAAAAGTTTTCCCTTGCGGCATTTCCCGCGCTTGGATAGATCTTGAAGAACTTTTCAATTTGAACACAGTTAACCAGTTTCAGTTACCCTTTTAAAATAAATAAGTGAATTTTTGGCCAAAACGCAGAATATACCAGTTATCCTGTAACGTGTTCTAGGTGCTTGCCAAGTCATGATATTTTGAAAAGAGGAGAAACTACATTATTCTCTTTTGAAATAATTTTCTAATTTATTCCCTTCAGATTCGCCCGGGGTCTTAAAATGTTCTAAATTTTACGGTTAGAGAGTTTCGAATACAATGCACTCCTCCACAAGCCATAATCTGTCGTAAAAGTTTTAATCCCAAATAAGGTTCAACTTAAGGCCTTAAATTTCCAAGCAGTATTCGATTTAAGTTAATCATTATCGTAAAAAAAAATCAAATTAAAACCGATTAATGGATCTCTCCCGCCATGACCGCCAACATTAGGTTATTCGAATATTAATTTTTAAAGCGGGGAGACTTTTTGCATATTTTCTTTGAACCGTCCTTTTTTTTAAGGAGGGTAAGGCGGGACAAATGTAATTAAAAATATTGAACAGCAAAATGTGAACTTGATTCAACAGTTTCCTAGCAATTTTCTTTCAAAACGTAAGTTGATATAATTTATGCTTGTAAAACGCACGAAGTTACCATAATTAACAATTTACATTTGTACGCTTTTTATGAGTATAAAGTCTGGGCTTTTACAGCCTTTTTTCAAACCATTTTAATTTTTTTGGCATTTTCTAGACTTCATGTGATAAATTTCTTAAACAGTCTGATCAGATAAGATGTTGTCAAGGATTCGCCGCAAAATTTAAATCAGCCCAGTATAATGTTCCTCCCAGACAAAGGATGCCATGGGTCGAGAAAACGTATCAAGGAAGCTGAAAGTCTCTAGTTTAGTACGGATTTCTCGACACTAGTTTCAACCTGGCGTATTTGACCGAGCCATTCGATCCCTCGTCACACCACGAACATTTTCAGGGTGTGTGTACCTGAAAGGCTCTTGTTAGCCGCCTGTTGCCCCCAGACCAAAATATGTACGCGATTAGTTTTACCGAGGTTGTTGCACACTTGGTTTTATCGCATTTCACTGAATGATATACTCTTAATTCAGAAGCACAAGTGGTTTCCTTTTTAGGTATCGATTAGTTTCTTTCAGCCGAAAAAAGGCGTACTGTATATGGTTTTCACTTGAGGTGGGTGAATGTTCAAAAAAAAGGAATGACTCGCAATTTGGCTCTTTAAGAGTGTTTAATGAATTACCTCATCTTAGTTAGTGTAATTTCTTCATTAAACGCTCATCTTGATCTTTTGCTAACGAAGCAATCCTGCAGTATATTAATTATATTTCACAAATTTTTGTGATATGCACTGCTCTCTGATTGGCAACGCCTTGGCCGAGCCACCTTAAATAATGAGTTAACTGGCAGAGAACGTTTAACAGTCCATCTGTTACTATCGTGCTGTGTACGTGACACTTGCTCTCTGAAATCAAACAAGGTGGGTGCACCGAAAAGCTTTCCGAAACGTTTCTTTAGTTTAGAAATTTCTTTTTGGTTAAAATCATTTTGGGAAATTTCAAGAAATCTATGAATTTGATGATAGTCTTCTGTGGGTAAACTATAGTCATATGCCATAGGTTCCCTGGCTTAGAAGTCTTAAGTCATGATATGGTAAACAAGAGATAAGCAGTTCTTTTATAACGCAACCGAGCTAGCCTCAAAAATCAGAAGAAACAATTTGAATAAACCAAGCAAAAGGTAAAATAAGGGGTCGACTGTGAAGGGAAGAGGACCCCACTGAGACTAACGTCAGCTGTCTAACTAAAATTTTTCTTGTTCAATTTTCCACCCATCACATGTCTTTACAAATGAAAAAAGTGTGGTATTTTCATTCATTTAGGCTCCACAGCGTTTCTCTGTTATGTTTCCATTTCAGACAATCCCCTTGTATTTTTTTTGCTTTTCTTAGTCTTAGAATGCGTCAGTAGACGGTTTTTTGCTTACCAACAATTTGGCTCTCAAATTAGTATTCAAAACCTTAGCTAGCCTTAATGTCTCATTCATACCTCGTTTCGCTCTCTTTGTTAATTAGCCTCTTATTCAACGCTTTTCATTGTTTCGTATGTTAGGTGTCTCTTTCGCATTTTATTAAAATTTCTTTAACATGCTGCCAATTAAATAGCTCGAGCTTCATTCAATCCAATATCTTCTAATCATAATTTTTAATGAAATAAGTATCCTCCATTATCTTATCATAATTAAGGTTCTGTGTGTTTCGTTCTAGGTCACAATTTTCAAGTAGGTTGCGCACTTGACTGCTCTATCTTCACTTGCTTTTAATTTCAGCAGTTCTAATTTAGCTACAGTATAACTACTGCAACGTCTCACACCGTTTGCTGTATTCTAGATTTCGCTCGTTAACACCCTCTATGACGTCAAACAACCTTTCGGCAACAGAAAATACAATAAATTAATTTTAATTTTCCCAATTTACCTCCATCACTTAGAAAGAAACTTGAGGACAAAGAAAAATTTTCTTTTTTATAAAATACGTTATGTAAAGACTTTTATTTTTGTCTTAGTCTGCGAGCAGGTCCTAAAGACGCACGTTTCTGCGCCCCTGAGATTTTAGACCTTCGGTTCCTTGATTGTTTCGTTACCTTCTCGTTACCTTTGCTTAACCCTCTGCGCCCTAACATAGGTAATCATATTTTCCATACTGTTCTCTGTACATTTACTAAGGTGCTGACAAGGAGAATTTGTCTAACAATCAAGAGTTTCTTTAGTTGATGATCATTTCCTATATCCTCGTGACATTAATGTGTGATTCAGGGGTGATATTGTAAGGAGAAATTAGATGCTAATCACCCTTAGGGGTTAAAGAGTTAAGTCCCTAATAACGGAGGACTAAAAGATGATTTTTACGGCAAAGAGTAAGTGAGCAAAAAGGGTAAAACTAAAGAATACAGATCCACTTATTTCCATCTTATCGAATCACATTACATCCTTTGGTGTTCAGCCTCTTTCTCCAAAGCATGCCGACGAGTTGAACCTCACCGGCCCTGCACTCCTTAGTTGCCCCGCAAAAAGTGAATTTCTTTCCGTCTGCTCTCAGCCATTTTCAGGAAAAAATAGCTCGTGAGCAAATCCTCATTATTAACGCTTCGTAGAGAGCGTCTCTTAGCCGCGAGAATGTATGAGACACCAGGGAACGCAAGTCGGCGAGAGGTCTGTAAGGGTTTAGTTCTGGATCCTTAGTTGTAAAAATTGTCCTTTAAATTCTCTTTAACAATGGTAAAAAGAGGGCGGCCAAAAAAAAAAAAAAAAAAAAAAAAAAAAAGATTTAACAAACTGAATAATAGCTAAACACGTGCGCTTTCAAATTTCGTACAATTCCTGCATGGCCCGCCTATGCAGAATAACACCATGAAAATGCCGTATTTTGTGCAGTCTGGGGACGAGAATCCCAACAGCAAATGATTTTGCCACGCCGAATCCAAAAGTATACTAAAGGGGGGGGGGGGGTCTAACGCCGTTAGCTGGAATGCAGTGAACGCATCGAACTTCTCGTAACATAATAACGACGAAACGCCAGTTTCTAAATCCCGATTAATTTCGTCTGGTGTGGGCGTTGGAAATAGTCTGGTTGAAAATATTTTATAAAGGATGTAACAGACGACAGCCACCTTGGGCACCCCCCTTCCCCTCAAGTTGGATCGATAAACGCCCCTGCGCTAAATCTTTCCACAGCTAAGTTTGAGACAATTCAAGAAATTCAATCCAAAGTGTTTTTATAAAAGGCTTGGAATGAAGACTATACTGACAGAAACCAAGTCATTCACTTTCTGCAGTCATTCATTCATACAGTCACTCATTTGTTTATTTTTTTCCCTTTTTTCCTCTTTTCATTTTAGCATTCATTGAGTTTATCAGACGGTCATTTGTTCAATCAGTCATTCACTCTCATTCGTTCGTTTCATTCATTCATTCTCTTACTCATTCATCCATTTTTTCATGCATTAATTTATGCTCTATTCCCGCTTTTCACCCACTTATTCACTTTGTTTCTCTTCTAGAAATCGCTTTCAGGTATTCTCACAACTATGAAGTTTGCGCTTGTTACTCTGGTTGCCTTGCTATCAATCACCTGGGTTAGCTCCTCCTTCCTGCGATCCAAATTGAAGCTTGACGACTTTAAAGATGAAGAGCCATGGGTAACTTTTCCACATTATTACTTATTTGGTCGAGTTTCATTCTTCGAACATTTGCTTTTTCTCCTTCTCCTCCTTAAAAGTACAGTCGTATAGTTGACTTAATATGAAAATTGTCTACTTTCATTGTGCAACATGGCACTCCACTCTATCATAAACCCTTTACGCTTAAACATCAGTATGCATATTCTCCAGACTTTTCTCTGTACATTTCCTAATGTGCTGACAAGGAGAATTTGTTTAACAATCAAGAGTTTTTTTGGTGACCAATATCCCTCTTTTCTCATGATGTAACTGTTTGATTTAAGGGGCGATAATGTAGAGAAAAATTAGATGCTAGTCACTCTTAGGGATTAAAGTTCTAAAGATCAAAGTTTTGGTGATATTTAAACAATTTGGGAAGAAATTAATGAAAAAGAATCAACAGAGTCTGTTCAAAAGTCAAACGTGGCACGCTTGTAGTTTTTCTTTATTTCTGTTCAGTTAAAGATCACAGATGATCAATATAAATGAAACACCATCTTACGGCACGAGTGCCTTTTTACGCTCTTAGTGCCACATTTGATGTCATAAGTAAAACTAAATCCGTTTGTCAAAAATTTTGATGAAGGACTGTTTTCTTATAACAGTGACTTAAAAGAAACCCGCAACTTTTGTTTTGATGACCAAAGGGATCAAGATATTGTCATGATAAAGTTTTGTAAGAATACAAAAATTCTGAAATTTAAACCAGGAAGCGAGTTTGACTAGTAACCCCCTAAATTCCGAAAAGAAGTGCTTTTAGTTAAATATTATTTGACCATTTCATCTTTAGCTTGCAAAGCGTGAGCCTTGTCAGCCTGGATCGCACTGCGAACAAAGCTGCCTTACGGCCAGCCCTAATTTCTTGGGCATTGTGGGCACTTGTGAGAACGGAGGCATATGCTGCGCATACGGAGGTAAAAGACAAGAACTTTCATACAAGAAAAAAAGACTACTATGAGCTCTCAGATTTTGTGAACCGTGAGGGACTGGGAAGAGGGGACTCACATGATCTGGAAGATGAAAATCACGAGTCATAGTTTTGTTTATTTCTCAAGGGAGTAGCATTCCCCGAGCAACTTCGCATTTTATGGATAACCTTAAACCGAAAAATGTAAAACAAATCGACATGCACTTGTTACAGAAATACCAGGCGGTTTCACCCATAGGTCAGGAGCTGAAGTCTCTCTCTAATGGCTCTCGTCTTTTCTTGTCTTCCTTTGCATTACGCCTTCTAAACCGAGAAACTGAGTAGAAGTCTGCTTCACTTTTGCACCAGATTATTTCATCTTCAACTTGCAATTAAATGCGCGGCTAAAGTATATTATCTCAAAATACAAAAAAAATTGCCAAAGGCAACTGATATGCCATAAAGGAACACTGGGATACCTTAGAATGGATAAGAATGAAAACGAATTGCATGCACAAATGAAGCACCTGAAAAATTGAAGCTATTTTTTTAGAGAAGTTAAAAAGCTATCAATAGCCTTTTCTAGTACGAATATAAAAAACAGATGACAATACAAAAATAAGAAATGATTTTATTAATCACCTGAAAGCGCGATTTGCATTTTTTTTCCCCAAAACATCACAGTGGAAAAAAGGGTTCTTCTCTTCTAGTTTCTCGTTAACATCAGTTTGTATACGGTAGATCAGAAATGTTCGAGTTGAAATTCATTTTAAAGCTACTACAAATTATGTTTATTGTATGCAAACACTGTAGTTACTCACGCCCATGTTTTTCCCTTATTTGCAGGCTGATGCAAGCCCTTATGGTGAGGAAAAGTTCCGGAAAATTCACCAAGGATTTAATTCCTAAAACCCAAATTATACTTTACATGGGTCGTGGAAACAGTTATAAGGGATGTTATTCCAGAAAATAAAAATGGCTTACGGCGATTGTTCACCTTCCTCTCCTTTTGTTTAAAGGCAATTCTATAAAATTGTCCGGCTATTTTTCATATTTACATTTTTCTTTGTTTCATGAAAACAAAGACATAATGATCGTAGAGACAACAAAAGTTTCTCTCCCCAAATTCGGATAGAAATCAAGCCAGTACACCTCTGTATCTCGAGAGATTCATTGACCTTGTCTCTGTTAGCCCTTAACTCTTAAAGTGATCAGAAAGTAATTTCTCTTTACTATACCAAAACACTTTTGAGCAAGAACGATACGAGGAAAAAAAGAAAATATCGAAGGTGCATTTTTTTAATTTTTGCAACAAATTCTTAGCGTCAAATTATGACAGACAGTATGAAGAACTGATACTTAGTTCTTGGGAGTGACACAGTCAGTACCGATAAAAAGCTACAAGTCGCAGTTTAAAGTTATTCCGTGAGATACGATAATTTTTTTTAACCCAAGTTGCTGCCAGAGAATTTTGTGAGACTTTTTCAGGACCGACATCACTTATAAGCTGAAAGGGGGGAGGGGAGAGAGGGGTGTTTGTTGGAGCCAATCTTGGTTATGTCACGACAAAATTTACTGATCTCTCCATAAGACCCCGTAACATTCTCATGACCCTCCCCCCCTCATCATCGGTAGTCAATTTTATATAGTCCACCCCTTAAACTCTGTTGGTGAAGACTGATCCCTTCCCGTTCCTCCTTTAAACCATGTGACCCTCCCCCCCTAAAAATCCTCCGCACCCCGCTACCCTTGGCAATAAAAATTACTAGTCCCCTAAGTCTATTTGGAGCAGAGCAGTACAAATGAAATGTTTGTGGCAGACACCTGTTGGTGCAAATTTATTGTTTCCTCGTTATCACAACCACATCTCAACCTAAAGTTACCTTGATATATCAATCAAGATGTTCTTTTTAAAACCATTTCTCAAAAAGACTTTCCTTATAATGGCTTCACGAGTACAATTTTAACCACTGCCATTAAAAATAATCGGTTTTAATTCGAGAAGCAACAGTATTCCCAACCATTTTTTTGCGACCAGTAAACGCGAAAATTCGACTCCGATGATGCACGTGTCACACACTGAGCATTAAGTACAATGTACCATGTTTGGTTGGTATCACTAACAAACCAGAAAAAAAGGCCAAGTGTTTCTTTTCTTGACGTAAACCAGGAAACTGAGTCGAGAACAGGAAGGGCTTATGGACTGGTCATTACTTTTGTATGGTTGGGGATTTTGGCCATGTCACAGTAAAATTTACCTGATCCCCTCATGAGGCTATGTGATATTCCAATGATCCCCTTTATTGGCAGTGAATTGGCAGTAAACTTTCTACAGTCTATCCTTAAACTTCGTTAGCGACGTAGCTACGACTGCTTCCCCCCTGTTCCCCCTTGAAAACCATGTGATCCCCTCAAAATCAACCACTTCCCCCCGCGAGATAAACAGTGAGTGGTCCCTTACTGGTAAAAAGCTTAGAAAAAATTAGTGTTCAAAGACAAATCGCGTGTGATGGAATAAATTTTCGTCGCTTAGCGTCAAAAGTTTCGGGTCAGTACCGATAAAAGAAAGAATACCACGCAAATGAAACTGTAAAACAGCGAAAGAAAGTTCGCTCTATTTTGTTATGTTTATCTTTTTCAGCGGGTTGTAAACCCGTCCTGATGAACACTCGACCCAGTTTCCCTGGCTCACGTCCAGACATAGAGAACATGGCTTGCTCCTTTATGCCTTAATATTCGACAAGGTGTTGTTGTGCATGCGTTGCCACTTTTTAGTTCACTGAGAGCACTGCCAAGATCCTCCGCTGACCAATAAAGCTCATTCTCGCATGCTGAACGGCAAGATTATCAACGACTAAAACGTCGCCATTTTGCCAACGGAAACCGACAGCGCATGACCAAGTAACGGCTCTAATGTGCTGAAGAACTGCGGGCTCAACTTCGCTTCCATCACCATAGTAGGTCTGGTAGGCATTCTGATGACTTGGTAGATTATAGTCTTTAAACCTGAAAACAGGGGAACCATTTTTAAAAAAAGAAGAAAAGGGTTCAAAAACAAACCAAATGACTGTCCGGCTTAAAATGTCGGCTTTCTCTTAGAGGGTTCACCATGAATTTCTTGTCTCACAACGTAATAGTTTCCAATCCTTAACTGTGAACGGTAGGTATGTACTTGGCATATTTTCCCGTAGACAATACAAAAAAATAGGACCCTGACGAACGTTGAGGAATCACCATTTTTTTCAGTTACTGCGACTTCTCTTTGATCATTCAAATCTCCGTTTTCATTTCCGCAAACGGCAAAGAACATTGCAATATAAAGGATACAAAGATGGTATCACAGGTGCACAGCATTACCAACCTTGGCATTTCTTGCAAGTGTGAAGTATGATGGGATTGAATCTGGTTAAACCAAACTGTCTCCCCAGTCTCCGGGTGTTTGAGCAAGGCGGGTAACACTTGCCAGTAAACCAGTGCTCCAGAAGGCTCCCACTTATAACTAAAACCATTTTGCTGTAAGAAACGCTCAGCAGTCTGGAAATAAAATGAAAAAGAATTTCTGTGTTAATTCTTAAATCTAGCGTCGCCTCTAGTTTATAAAAGCTATTGCAACTCGTTACAAACCTTCGTGTCCTCAGTCATAAAAACATCTTGCCATGGAAGGTAGGCACCAGGCCCTCGTGAAGGAGCATAACGAACATAGCGTACTCCCTTTTTGTCGAAACTTTGGACAATTTTCGGATCCAAGCGTGAAAGTATATCACTACTTCTTACGAGCGGTGTCTCTCCTCCACAATCCTTTCCTGGCTCTTGTTGGCAAAAGAACAAAAGCTGCGAAAATATAAAAAAGACAACAGTTAGTGCGAAGACGCATGAGACAAGAACTCAAACAGTGTATCAATCTGACGGTTGTACATAGCTTATTTTAATTTCTGAAACTAGAAGCGATTAGGGTTGTAACATGATTTTTCCTGCATCCAAATGGAATTCTACATCTCTCTCGCACTTTTGCTCCCCTGCATTCATAATGACTGCGATAGAGAATTGCTGTGAGATATCACGATGCGAGATGATGCTACACAAATCGAGTTTCTTGATTTTCGCCTGTTTTGACTGGTTGCCTGATTATCGTCTTTTCTATGATGGATCGTGTAGAGTGCTTTATTACAAATTTTTTTAAACTCGTTTAGCTTTGACTGATTATTCCGAAATCCTTGTGTGGGTCTTGTGCACGAGACTGTGCAAGACCAAACACGAAGCTTAACTTTTGAGTAGCTTGTGATTCTACTTTCTCGAACTATAACTTCCGTCAGCGATCATGCTTGGGTTTGTCTACTGACCCTGGTTAGGACCAACGACAGAGTTCCTGTTTTGGTTATTGTGTTCGGAGATCGGCCTTGTGTTTGATAAAAAATATCACGTGCCTTAAGTTTGAATCCGACAAAAAATGATCCAAATTAAAAGAAAGTCTGACAATCAGTACTAGGACTAAAATGAGATGGGACTATTCCAACTAAAGTCTTGGCAAACACCTAGATTTAATCAAAGGTGTTACATCATATTCGGTCCAATATGAAAAAAGAGTTACCTTAGCAGGGTACACTGGACTATATGCCATCTCATTATGAAACTCAATGATAGCTTCCGGCGGCTCATCACTTGCTGTATATGTCCCAGAGTTCTTATCGAGTTCTTGACGTTCCACAGCACCACCTTCATAAGCCATTCCCTTGTAGCCGAGCCCTTGAGTCAGATTAGAGAAGTCAGCGGCTGTCTTAAGTGGGAGGTTTCGAATCAAAACAGCGCCGTTGTGAGGCAGATTTTCCTCTAGATACCCCCGGCAACTGGTGACACAGTCTTCCATGGATTCGAGGCCTGAATGTTCGATTTTTATCGCGTGCGGAAATGTATCTGTGGGGGCAGATAACGCTTCGGGGAATCCATCCCCGGTAGAACCCGGCAAAAATTTCTTGCCCGCTAATCTGGGCGGCGTGGAAGGTTGAATTTCTACTGGTGCTAACGCTGTAATTCTTGGTCCAACATGATTAGATTCTTGTGCTTTCGTTGTCAGAGGACATGTTGATGAAGTGCTCAGAGGCGCTAAGGGAAGTTTGAACCTTCGAAGTGATCTCAGCAGCATCTCTTTCAAGAAGCGTTGATAACTGTACGTTTCTAAAATAAAAAATTTCATCAACTGAAATGGATGTGTACTTACCATGGGGATCAAATATTATTTCAATCACACCGCACAGAGGATTCTTGAAAAAGTTCTCTTTTTGAAATTTGATTACCAACTACCGTATAACTGTAAAGATAATTTTTGAATTTCTTTTCTGAGGCTCCAGAGTTCTGTGTCAGCGCTAAAAAGCTCGACAAAGAAACGAAATTTAAAAAAAAAAATGTCACGTACGGCGTGACAGGAGTTGTCTTTCAATATTTCGCTGCCATAGAAGGCTTGAAAGAGGGTTGATACGCAGCATGAATCGAAAATCCAACTGAATTAGATTAATCTGGCTGTTTTTCATCATAGGAAACAAGCATCCTTAAAGAAGTTCAACAGATAATGATTGCTCAACATCAATTAAATGAGCGTTTATGGAGATTTATGGTCTCAACAAATTAATTTTTTGTGGTTTTCTTTACGTCGAAGGTAATTTAACATGTCGAAGAGACGGACTGAACATTTCTTGGCCAAGCCACCATGTTTCTTTTGATCTTTCGCTTTATAGTACATCGCATGTTCTACAAAATGATTACGATTGGTGAACTTACATATAAGAGAGAGGATTGTGAGATTCATTTATAGAAGTGAAAATTGCTGGCTGGAACAAGTTTGACCTCTGTTGCAATTACCTCTGTATCACTTGATCAGGAATTCCTCTTCAGATTTGTTTCTTGTTAGATGGCCGTGATTTACTTTTCAGATTTTCACAGAACATTAAAAAAAGCGATCTCTGGATTAGAGAATAGCTTCCTGATTTAGTGTAAACAATCTGTTACCTAACTGACCCCTGATACGACAATTTATCTTAAATTGTTATCTTAGATGAAATTTCATCGTTTCCTTAAGCTCATTCTTGGCATGCTAAAAGTTCCGGCGATTAAACGAAGCAGCCACTCGTAACAGCGATAATTTAAGCCATTTTTGAGGTCGGATAACCGACATTTCCGACTCAGACAAGGGGCATGACCTTTCTTGTGAAAATAAGTTGTTTGCTCGATAGTTCAAAATAATTTCAATTCACTTGAAACGCCCTTTTTACGATGGGTTATTGCATCTCGAAGGTGGACTACTGGATTCACAAGTGGGATTCTTTGAAAGGCGAGTGCAACGGCAATATTTGGACGTGAGCCAGAAAAATGGATCGATTTACCGACTGATTTATTTAACGAATAGATTCCAAGTTGACGTGCGTCCGGTCCAGTAATAGATCACAGATGACGTCAAAATATGGTAAGAACAAAAAAGTGGCACACGAGGCGCAGCCGAGTGTGTCACTGATTGTCTTACCACAGATATATATATAGATAGATAGATATATATATATCTGTTTATATCATGCATTCAACACACTATCTCTATTCTGATTGGCCGAAAGCATACAGTGTATTTTCGAAATCAGCGCTCGGGACGTCATCTACCAGCAGATTATACAATAATCACGTTAAGGACACTCAAGGTCACAGATAATCATGTCATGTATGACCGCGATTCCTGACGGTAATCATGTCAAATTCGCGCGCGTTTTGTGTTGCTCGCTGATTTTTACATTTTAACACGTTTAAAAATAAATTATCAGTTCCCCCTACTATCGTGACCATTTTTTTTCGGTCGATGTGCAATAAAACAATTATTAGATTCGGTTTTTGTGATATCCAGAACAATCAAGGTCTCAGTAACATTATCACTAGCCTCAGCCTTTGGCTTCGGCTGATAAACCCTTCCTCGACTTTGATTATTCTGGATATCACAAAAATCTCATCCAAAAATTGTTTTACAATTCTTATTTATTTACTTTTTCGCTCTTTATGGTATGCAACATCACGTTGTTTACAATTCTAACATAATTAAGCCAATAGAACTTGAGCAAACTTATTAGAGCTTTAACAACTATCTCCCTTTTTATAATATAATTTAAATTTTATGTGACATTAGGCATCCAGATGGGATATAAATTATTTCAAAGTAATACAATTGTCTACAGGAGCCAGTATGGGTTCCTGCTATATATAAAAAGAAAAATAAATAATTATTACAAACATATTAATTGATAAAAGAACGATGATCATTTTTATCATCATTAATTTTGAGGTTCAATTTTAGATAATTGATGCTGAATATATGTTTATGAAGATTTTTTGAATTTGCTACAAAATTTTGATTCCTTTAAATCCATTGGTGAATTATCATACTTCTGCTCCATGATACTTACTCAGGAATTTTCCATAGTTTTTCATACTATAACTAATATGTGCATTTGATTTAGATCAAGTATTACAAGAATGAATATTGTAATTTGTTTTAAAGAAATCTTTGTAAAACTTCGGTAGTTTATCATGGGAGTACAAAAGTACAAAAATATTGGTGTGAAACATATGCTAAGTTCATAGACTGTTTAATTTACCTTGGGTAATAAATAAGGGTCTACTTTCTTCCTTATAAGCAGAGAATTAGGTCATTGCTCTGATTATTTTCTTTTATTTAAAACATATAGGTCTTAATATAGTGGGAAAAGTGTTTGTTCATTTGTGATTAAAATAAATTAAATAGGGATACATCATGGTGTAATGTATATTTTGGAAAGATTTTAGGGGTAGAAAGTGTCTTGTCTCAGAAATTATTCCTGTTAGTTTTGATATTTTCATTGTTATTTGATTTATATGGTATTTCCAAGATAGCTCTTTATCTAAAAACAAACCTATAAATTTTGAGTATTTAACTTCCTCAATTTCTTGCCCATTATCAAAATTTAATTTTTTTTTAATTACCATCTCCTTTTTTTTAGGCCTGAAGATCATGTATTGGGTTTTCTCAACATTGAGTGAAAATTTGTTTGCTGCCCACCAAGTTGAAACTTTATAGAGGTCAAGGTTCAAAACATCTTATAACTTGTCAATAACTTAGGAACAGATTTGTATCATCAGCAAAGAGAGGAAATGATAATATTTTTTAATATTTTGATATGTCATTTATATGCAACTGAAATAGGAGAGGTCCTACAGCTGACCCTTGAGATACACCACAAGAGAATAGTAAACTGTCTGATCTTGCTGTTTTACATTTAACCATTTGCCTTCTGTCTTGCAGGTGATTTTTAAACCAATCGAGGGCAACCTCTCTTATTCCATAATTTTCTAGTTTATATTTCATTTAAATTGTGTCAGTTGGTTTTTCAATAAGCTTTTTAAATGGCCTATATTTAACTTTCCTTGATTTTAGAATTCCTTTTGTCACCCAAGGTGTGCCAGCCTCTTTACAGTTTTTCACCTATTATTGGTATATTTTCATCAAATTTTTCTCAGAAACAACTGTGGGCCTCGTGGGGATCTGCCTTCTCACAAATATTTTCCCAATTTTCATTTTTTAAACCCAGGCAACGTTTGTTGATAGCTCGTTTGATTTCTTTTCTATGTAGAAAACCTCGAAATGGACAACTCGCTAAAATGGGTTCTTTTCATCAAAGTAAGCGGTCAGATAACAAGTGATACGCTGTGGAAGTAAGGTGAGGTATTTTTGATGAGAATTTGACATATTTTTTTTCATCCTTAGAGCGGACGTGAATATTCCCATACAAACTCTTATAATTCTGCCAGAACTGTTATTGCGCAAGATAATCATCTCACAGCTGGAGCTTAGGCCGCCTGTGCGTCAACTAACATTTCAACTTACTTTTGCACCTACACGACACATTGAGTTATTCACGAACGTAGTGGAGATTTCGCAAAGTTCACCAGGCAGATTTTGCAAATCATTTGCATATTTCCATTTCGCAAATTACAGATTTTTCAATTCGTTTCGTTTCGTTTCGCAAATCACAGTACCCCAGAATAATAATGGAAACCTTTGATTCATAAAGTCATTAGCATGTTTGTTCTCGTCAATTTTTACCAAATCAATTTTGAAATCCCCCATGAAATAACATTTTTTGTTTAATAATTCGCTATTCCTCGATCAAAAATTCTGCAAATGCTTCAGATGATCTGTTTACAATTGTCATTTGGAGGTTTACTTATTATTCCTAAATCATAAACGATAAATTAAGCTATTGTTTAAAAAATAATAATCTGTTTGCGATTTCAGCCGTGACAAATTAGCATTTTGCGTTTTTACTATTGCTCCTAACACAATAACTGTATGATTATTGAGGATTCTAGTGCGGGTCCCAAGTGTATTTGGATTAAGTGCCCGGGAAGAGACTTCGAAAAGACGACATTAGTAGAGTATCTACTGTTCCCATCGAAATTCTTACGTCATGTTCACCCAAAATTTCCTAACTCGTTTCGAGATTGCAGTCAATAATAAGGACGTGGTCACGCACCCGGAGTGCTGTTATGCTGCGTGACAAACCCAGGCGAGAATTTAATAGCCGTACAACGTGTACAAGGCATAACTTATGGGCGGAAGAGTACACTGGATCGGTCGACAATTTTTAAAAGATGGATAGGTGAAATTCAGTTTAACTCTTTTAGTAACCTTGGATGTTCTACATTCATTCCTAAATTCCTTAAAGAGGGAAATTAGTTTGCATAAGAGTCTCACGTTATTATGTCAAGCCTCCCATAGAGAGCTGTTGTTCGCATATGATCTTTCCACGACTGAGAGAAAAAAAACACTTTCCCGCTCTCTAACGGGCCCTACACTTCAGGTTAGCGACCGAACCCTGGACGCTCCTGAATATCTCCGCCGCGCTTGAAATTTTCGAACACCGACTGTTGAATTTCTTTCAATAAAAATAGTTGAAAACAAACATGGTTGTCATGTAGGCCGAGAAAATCCCAAGGCACCGAGCCAGATAATTGATGGTCAAATTAATAAATTTATACTTTTCCCATCTTCAGGTGTCTATAGGAACTATCGTTAATGTTTGGCCACTGGTGTCTCTCGGGCACCATTTTTCTACTTTTAAGACATAATCTGTCGCTAAATTATTCACCTTCCACATACTTCACATTTCAAACCTTTATAATTTTGTCCCTACCAAACCATTTGTTCGCAATTGATAGGCATACTAACCTTTTTTTTAGCCAGGCAAACTCTGCTTGAGACAGCAGCTTCGCTGTGAAGAAACGACGAGCCTGTTCGCGCAGCTCGCAGTTGCAGCTCTGAGATAACAGTGCTATTTTAAGACCAAAGAAAATTTTGCATTTAATCGCATATGCATGTATCAAGGTGAGACCTGATTACGTAATATTAGATGCTGGGTGAGACCTCAAATTGTTTGCATACATTCAGTTCGACAAAGGCTGTGCCGTATTCCCACCTTTTCTAGAGCTTTTTTTCTATGAAAGGAACAGAAAGCAGGGGCCAGGCTTTTCTTTTTAAACGGGAAACAACGACTCCTGCCTGCTCTTTTCGCATCGTATCTCGCCTCAACCCTACTTCGACGATGTCACAGTCACGCAATGGTCACGACAACGAAGACTTGACTCTTCAAGATCACAGACCAGCAGCATTTCTGGTTGCATTTTACAATGAACAATAAAAGAGCGGCAACATACACTCCAACCCGTCCAAAGGATCAAACATAAAACCAATTCGTCGATAACCAGACTGAAAAAGAAAATCATGTATCTTTTGAAAGATTTCAAACCCATGCGTTGAAGAACACATAGAGACTTCTAAAAATATCATGCATCACCTCTAAAAATGTTCATTGTAGAGGCCATATTTTAACTAATTTACAGAAATAACGATACAGGAGTAAACTCATAATCTCTGGTGAGCTGTAATCCAAATGAAACGGCATTAGTCATTGTAAGTATTCCAGGTCTTAGTCGCTAATCGAATGAATATCAGAGATGTGACAAAAGTTCTTTGTGCTCTTTGGGAGGCATGCATCAGGAAATTCTTACATAATATTTCTTTCTTTATACCAAAGGATTTCAAATTGAACAAAATCTACATTCCATGGTCTAGTCAAACCAACAAAATAAACTTTTCGCCGTCAGAAATTCACTGTTTCTACGTAAATTAAGGCTCAAATTCTCAGCTTCTTCTCCAGGTAAATAAAAACAGTTGTTGCCAAGTTCATAATTCTAACTCCGCCATGCGGCTGTATTCCGTCGTGAAAGATCGGCGCCAGTCTTCTTTTCTCTCTATTCGATTATCTTGAGCCTACGTATCTTTCTGATCAGCAGCCCCACTTCTTGCCTTGGCTTGACGTTGTTTAAGTCGCTCCCTCCAATCTCCTTTGATCTCTTCAAAGTTAGGATTGTAAGCTGCCTGACCACTAAAAGATAATCGAATATTACGTGAGAGCACGTTTTGATTGATTGACTGATTGATTGACTACTCTCTGAAAATATCAGATCGAAAAGTTAAAATGAGCATTCTTTGCGGGTTGGACCATAGTCTGTATCCCCTCTAAAGCCGTGTTTCAAAGGAGCACTCCTACAGCTGGTCCCTGAGCACAGATGCTTCTCAGAAGTAGAGAATTTACTTCAAATCCTCAAATATATCATCACCGGCGTGTTTATAGAAAAGCGATACCTACCTCGATAGATGTTCTCTCTTCCACTCCTCTATTTGTCGAGAGGGATCGATTCGTTCTTCTTCGTCCTCACTGCTATCTAATGTTGGTTCTTCTTGTTGCTTTATACTCTGCCATTTCTGAACCAGAGTGGAAACTTTCCGCGCCTTGGACGATAATAGCGATGTACCAACCTTGGAGCTCTAAGACGAGGACAAAATTTTTTTTTGAACGAATGGCTTCCATACTTTTTATTAAACTGGTACCAAGTATCAACAATATTTCAACGAAATAAGCCTAATGACTTTTCAAAATCCCTTAAAGAAGTTAGATACATTGGACGTGAAGACACAAGGAGCAAGGACATCCGTTCGTGTAAAATGGATTGGAAAAAAGCTCACAGCTGAGGGGCAATGCTCAACGACAGGTATGTTTTCATAATTGGTTCAAGTTATGGCATTGAAAGAAAGCGTCATTTTGTTCCTAAGTCGCTCGAAAGACATCACATAATGAGGATAAAGTTTTGAATCGTGAACAAACATTTTTTACTGAGAAACCCAGTGAACTGGGTTAGACAAAAGCTAACGAGGCATAAGAAAACTATACAGCAAATAGCAACGGTAAATAGCCTACGATTACGCGCTTTTCCTGCATCTCCTGAAACTCATTTTGATTTTTCAATACACACATTCAAAGTGTGAGCGATTTTCCAAGTCTCACTGCGGGTGAAGGAGAAAGTCGTGCAGGAACTTGAAACTTTCGCAACAACGTGCGGTCAATAAATCCCCATTATTCGCTAATGTTAGCCGACTTTTGTCATTAGATTAAACTCCGAACGGTTTTTTTCGTAAAATCGTAAAAAAAACTCACTTTTTTCTTCTTCTTCACTTTAGGTTTAGCCGTCAAACTTGTGGGTGTGGACACAACAGCAGCTGCAATTCCCTGTAAGAAAAAAAAAAACCACGTTTAAGAACACAGCCCATCTTCTAATGCAAGAAAAGAACTACGAAATATAAGCAGCACTATTTTTAGTTCAATCTTTCTCATTCAAATCATGCAAACCTGAGGTGGCGCCGAAAACTGGGTCCCACTGCTTTCAGCCGCAGCCACGGGCTCAATAGGCAGAGGGGGACTCGCGCTAGAGGCTTCCAAATCAGAATAGTCAACAATGGATCGAGGAAGCGACCGAGACTTTGCGACGGCGGTTGCAACCGTCGGCTGTCCACTGATGAAAGGCGACGCGACTCTAGTCACCGTAGTCGACACAGTTGTTGGCATTTCTTCTCCGGGAGGAGGGGGTGGAACTTCTGCAGGCTCTGGAGGTGGTGGTGGGGGTGTACAAGAATCTACCGGAGGGAGAGGTGGAAGATCATCCGTTCCTGTACCAAAATATCAACATAAAAAGTGAAACTAAGGTAAGGGTTTGTAAAACACTGAATGCAGCAGTTCTGTCACTAACTCATTTACCTAAAATCTTCCTTTTGACACTGTAATTCGTTAAATTTTTTCGGGAACCCTATCTACATCCAACCAGAACGGAAACCACGAGATTAAGGACAGAGGCATAACATGACTGATAGACGGAACGAAGAGAGCTCTATCTAATACCTTGCCTCATTCTCAACCTAATGCAAAAAGAAACTGATTTCTGAAAGGACTAAACTCAGCGGATACTGAGCACGCTCTCGTAGCTCAAAAAGCTACCGTGAAATGATTATTTTTTCTCCTCATTTTTTTCAGTTCCAAAAGTACATTCCGGAAAACAAGAAAGGAGAATCAAGAGCGTACAAAAATACGAACCTGGGGGAGGGGGAGGTGATTCTTCCGCTTCGTCTGGATACGAGGCAGTGAGGGTAACAGCTTTGAATCCATGATCTGTTCCAGGGACAGGAGGATTGGCAAGGGAATCTGATTGAAAGAAGGAATTTTTGTCGTTTAAATAGTATAAGAAAGATGGTAAATTTTTAACTCGGTCATCGAAAACTGACAGTTGTGTCACAAGTATGGCAACAAAGAAAACGAAATACCTGCTGTAACCGATGACGATACCACTGGTACGGTGGGCATTACAACAGACATTACGGGCGCTTGCACCATGGGAACGTAAGCTGTGGTAAACAGAATGATTTTATGTCAGATGGTGGTCCCACTAACCGTAAGAAGCAATATTTGGCGGTAAGAACAAAAACATCTACTCTGTGCACACCTAGAAGCGACTTTGGCATACAATTTGCCTCAGCACATCAAGAAGAGTTACATTTTACCTGAATAGTTCCACATCGGCACACTTGTCTGAGAACTCGACACTGCAGCAGTTGAGCTTTGGCTGGATGTCTCTACAGCAGATGTGTCCTCCTTCACATCTGACTCTGTCTCGTCTGAGGGGTATTCCCACTGAGAATCACCTGTTACTCTATTCGTGTAGTAATAGCGCTTGTGTGTTCTGTCGAAATGAAACAGAGGAAAGGAGAACGGAAGAATGAGACACCCGCGAACAGGGACAGTAGATGCCTTCAGGCTATAAACAGAGAGAACTGATTTTGAGTGAGAGGCAATCCAAGACAATGGCGTGATTTCCCAACTCCTCTAAGCTTTTATTTCAAACTTTCTCCCTTTTGAATTCAACTGGCATATAACTGTGATATAAATACCGCAAGGATAGCCTCTGTCACAAAAAAACAGTGCTTTAATTAAGCGCCATGGTAAAAGATTCTTGAACTGACGCTCTCTCTGTGGCAAGAATCTATCACCAAAAACGCACATAATAGTGTCAAATTAAAACAACCATACTTATCTCTCGAGTAATAAGGAGTACAAGGTGTTTAAACATACAGTTTCACTAACCTCGTTCATGTCCTACTTTGTTTCTTGCCTTGTGTTGTTGGTATTGCTGTGGCAGAAGCTATCTTCAGAAAAGTGTGTTCGAATCCGGTTACTGGCCAGCTGTGCCACAGGACGACCAGTCCACGATACGCAACCACAAAGTCGATTTCATAACATACACTTTGACATAACACATATACGTCACACAAATGAAGACAAACATGAACACTCCAAACTTTCAACACAATCAGCAGTTGCACCGACACAAGACTGAGATTGGGTAGTTTTTCTTAAAAACTATTTCGCTGATGACGATTTCATCATCAACAAAACCAAATTTTGATCCTTTTGAACGAAATACATGCGACACACTTCAAATAATTCCGTTTGAAAAGTTGACACGATACACTTTTAGGAAAAGAAACCGTCAAAAAATAGATCAGGTGAAAAAAAAAACCGCCAGTTTTCACGGTAACATGGATAATTTGATTTAGTCCATAAATATCAATACTACTAGAGATAGCAGTCATACTTTTAAAATACAACACAGAAACTGAACATTTTCCGAAAAAGAATAAAAAACGAGAATTAAAGAATCTTTAATTAAAATTTGTCTTTTGAGGTCCTTTGACAACTAATTTTTAACGATAAATCCTACAGTTCTTATCAGAGAACCTCTACAATGTTGCTACAATGTAATTTTAGCAAAATTTTTAAGAATTTTGTGCCTTTCTTAGCATACTAAACCGAGCTGTCACACATTATGTCTTTAGTGATATCATATTGTACGTAAAATGACTTCTTTCTCTGAACTTTGACAGCAGTAAAGATTAATTTCAACCTTAAAGCTCACTTTTTGGTATTTGCAAACAAGTTATATCTATATGAACCAAGGACAACAATTACCAAGCACACTTAAATTTACTGCACATTCACAAAAAGCACAAAAACGACAGTACTTAAACATGACACTTGACAAATACACTCACAGTTTGATGAAAACAAGAGCATGTGGATCACACAGCATGGAAGGATGACAAAACTAGATTCTGATATTTTTCTGAACATAACGTTCTTGGATGTTGACTCAGAAGAATCCAACATGATACAACATTGAGCGATATCTATCACAGTCTCTAGCTGAGCACACTTCATTAGGAATCCAGGCCTGTCCCTCCAGACAGGCCACAAATACCCCCCTGGCAAAACACAAGACTGATACAGTACCTGTCCCAGTGGCACGACCAGCCAGGGGGGGCAGCAGACTCCTCATACTGCTTGAGCTGTGTGTCAGCCTCACAGAGCTTGAGGACCAAGTGACGACTATCCAGAGCTCCTTCTCGCCAATCACTGATTCTTGTCTGAATAGATAAAAATAAAAAGTTTAAACATTGAGTGCTGCAGAGCAATTTTTTGTGTCTGAATAAGCAAACACTCTCAAGTACTCTTGGTAGATAAGATCAAATAGCCTGCAAGTAGGCTCAAGGTACTAGGGCTTTAGCACAAGCATTTCTTTCCCTGCAGGGAGGTATGAGGCATTGAGCAAACCGAGTCAGTGAGAGGTCTGACAGGGGTCTGGCATGGATTCTTAGTGCCAGACCCCTGCAAACCTCTCCTCAACTAGTCTCCAATCTTCCCTTAGGCAGAGAAACGTGTATAAGAAGAGATAATGATGAAAGCCTGCTCAAAGTGGAACGGTAACACAACAGACCTTATATCAAAGGTCTTACTACCTCTTGAGTTCTCACATGATTTACCAAGTTATTTTCTTGGATAAAGCTCTTCAAACCCTTAGGGTGAGAGGTGGGGGGAGGTAATGTACCTTAAACTAGCAACTTTGCTAGGAGTACCAGGTTAAAGGCATATTCCAAAGTCATTAAACATTTGATAGAAACATGAAAGCCCTGTAACAAGCATCCAAAGGCTTGACACTTAGAAGCAATGTGACGCCCATCTATATGTACACTAGGTTCAGCCCATTTTCAATTTAAATTCTGGTGCATTACACATATATTTTTGTATAAGCCAGGCAGAAAACTGAAGTACATCTATGATACACATGCCAATAAGAAAGCAATCAAGTACCATGTGTATTAACAGTTATCTCATTTTAAGAGTTGATCTAAATCATTTATGTGAAGAGATACTCTTACCTCCATTTCAATGAGCAAAATCTTCAAGTTTGACACACCCTGACGAGAGACCTCCAAAAAATCCAGCTTGTTGCAGAGTACAGAAGCCAATTCCAAGATCTGTGACTAAAATAAAAGCAGACCATGGATTACTAAAAGCAAAACTAGCATGGTGTGGCTTAACAAAATAGTACGGCAGGTATGGCTGGTTTTTACCAGTAGACACACATTTTCAAAAAATCTCTTACCCTTTGATCCTCCTCTGCTTTATCGTACATCTTCTTCTTTTCATTGGCAGCTTTTCAAATAGAGGAAAATTTGCAATAGAGACATTAGAATATTGTTCAGTTGAGTGTAAAAAGTAGTATGTGATAGCACTGGTTTTGGTATATTTGCTGTTATTGGTCCAGAAAAGTTTCACCTCTTTCTCAACCAATCAGATTTTAAAATAAGAGCTAAACTTAACTTAGTACAATGTACCTTGCATCTTTTACAATGAATTCTCATTGGCTTCTGGTGACACTTGTCTTTGCTCTGATTGGTTTTTGCAATTATTATGGTTTCAGTTTCACAACATGAGCTGAAATGCTCTCTAATTGGAAAGTGCTGAAGGTAGCAACAATACAGCTGGGGAGCAGATATACTACATGGGTAGAAGCATTCACTTCTCACCACTATGACCCAGGCTTGATTCTCAAACCAAGTCTTGCATATGGGTGGACAAAAATGTTTATATTCCTTCTTTTCAAGCTTCCATTGGTTTCCTTTAAATTCCTAAGTTTTGGTCCCTCCACAAAAAAAACAAAACTTTAATTATAGGAGAATTGTATAGAAGCAAGTTGATTGATTTTTGTTACACCCTACCTGTCTGTGATTTTTCTCCCTTCTTGTCCTCAGTAGGGGCAGCTTTTAGATGCTCAAACACCTCAGGTGGCAACAGTGGTTTCTCTTCTTTATCTTCACTCGCTATCTTTGCTTCCTCATCTGACATGTCCATGCTTTCTTCAACTAGAGTGTCTTGTTTTCCTTTGTCATAGGTGTCTAGGTACAATAATACAATTAAGCAATTAATTATTGAAAGCAGGAAGACTCATGCAAACCTAGAATTACAATGGATATTTATCTACTGATCACTTCTAGGGGTCAGAGGATCAATCCTTCTGCTCCCTGGAATGACCGAAAAGGAAGTTATCCTTGCAATATAAATGTAGATCTATTTTCCAGCATGTAGCTGATGACAAGAAGAGAAAATGGCAACAAGTGGACATCCTTTGATTTAAGACCACAAAAGGATCTTAGGAATCAAAGGATCAGTACACTGCCCTTACCAATCCAATCTGCAATCATTTTGGTTGACATGCCATGATTAAAAAAAATTTTGGAAACTTTTGAAAAACCTTGAGTTTGAAGCACCAGCCCCATTATTCTCACCAAATGCATTAAAACCCATCTATGGTCAAATTTTCCAGTTTAACTATGGAATTATAACACTCTCTAACCTTCCAGCAGCTGAACAGCAAAGTCATCATCAGAGTCATCTTCAGCTGCTTGCTCAAGCTTCAGTTTTTTCGCTGGGACTTCCTCCTCATCATCATCAACATCATCATCATCATTATCATCGACCATTTTATCAGACTTCAACACTGCTGAGTTCTCTTCTTCTTTTGGTTCATTTGAGTCATTATCTTGATCATCCCAAGAATCCACCACTTGAAAGCTGACAGGATCCTCGTCACTGTTCTCTTTGGAGTTTTCTTCCTTACTGTCAGGTTCAGATCCATCTTCTGATGGTGTTTCTTGATTCTCTGTAACAGAAAGGGAAGGAGAGAAATAAATACACAAATAATAATTGTCTGTGATGAAAAAGAGGGATGCCAAAGGAGACATGAAGGGGCACTTTGGTGGGCGTTAGTCTCAATTCATCTTTCTTACCACTATCACACTATTTACCCTTGCAACTTGACCTTTGTTGACAAACTCCTAGTTAAAAACCCCCTACTGCAAAAACCCATGGATAAGCCGCACCTGCAGATAAGCTGCACCCTGAATTTAGCAGCTCAAATTTTGAAAACAAATTTTTTTGAAAGAAATCAAAAGAAATCCAAAGTCAAGTCTTGAGAAGACTTCTTCATCCACTGTTCATCGAACGTAAACTCACTATTACCATTCCAACAGAAAATACTTCAAAGTCTTACCCACAATTTTAGTACTTCAATGAACCTCATTTCTACCAACTTTGACGCATGATTGATCTTTTTCTGGTATTTGTTGACAGGAATTTCTTCATTCAACACAGTTTTTCCAAAGATTTTTGCATTACAACAAGAACATGAGTGGACCATTCGAAGATTAGTAACCAGGCATTAGATCGGACATGAAATGGACATTGGCGTCGACATTCACGATACCTTTTTCAAATGTTCCTGCAGATTAGCCGCACCCCCAATTTCTAGCGATGATTTTTGCAAAACAGGTGAAGCTTATCTGTGGGTTTTTATGGTATTTTTAATTTGGTTTCCACACCATTTTCCTTTTCAGTTAATCCATACTTGACCCCTTAACTCCTAAGATCCAGTTATTCTCCTTACTTATTACCACACTTTCCCTTGTAAATTCTACAACAACACCCACAAGCTGATAAGCTGGTTTTTTCTCTGTTTAAAAGATAACAAGATGGGAAAGCAAGATGTTGCATGTTAATCACCCCTGGGAGTTAAAGGGTTAACTATCAGAGACTTATTGGCAATTTAAGAGTTGGTTTTGGTCACTTTGACAGAGGCTGTCAGCACTCCCAAAGGAGGCTCCTGGAAGAGCTTACTGGTTATTTTTTGTGGAGCATCTAAAGCTGTAAGTTATCATAGTGGGACAGAGTGTTGTTGAACTGGAGATTAATGCCACCCCTGGGTTTGTTCTCCAGGCAGGATTACTCTGGCTGGACAGTTTGGAAGCTCAAGCTCTCCAGATTAGAGGTTGGGTGTGTGGGTGTGTGGGTGTGTGGGTGTGTGGGTGTGTGGGTGTGTGGGTGTAACATCTACCTCCTATAAAACAGAGCCATGCTTAAAACTTGAACTTCAAAGATCTAATTGTTAATTCTCCTCTCTAGTTTCAGCACATTTCCTTGTAAATTAGTTAAGAGAATTTGGTGTTAGGTCAAGATAACAACTTCTACCTGATAAGTTTGAGTATTCTCATTAACTGTTTCCTGGATAATGAAAGGATCTTATAGGGAGAAGGTACATGCTAATCACTTCTATGAGTTAATAGGCTAAACAGAGAATGACAAGGTTGAACATGCAAGAGGCTAAATTGAAGCAAAGACACTTTTGAAAAAGTGAACATGTAAAAAGAAATATATAGTCAAATAAACACATAGTTTCTCAGACAAAGACACCTTTTGCTTCACTGTTTTCTTCATCATCTTGACGATGTTGTGCTCCTTCCTTTTCACCTTCGTGTCCAGGGACGTGTACTTTATCATCACTTGTAGTCTGCACTTCAGGAGCTGCTGACAAAAACTGCTCAGGGGGATGCCACTGAACTTCATTTGTCTCCATGTTCCAGTAGTAATAACAGTTTGTAGCTTCATCCAGGCAGGCCTGCCATGGGTAGGTATCAGCTTCAAGAAGAAAACAGAATAGTAATTTAATTTAACCCTTTACACCCCAACATCAGTATGAGTATTCTCCAAACACTTCTCCAAACATTTGCCAAGGTGCAGACAAGGAGAATTTGTTGCATGATCAAAAGCTCCTTTAGTTGCTGATCATTATTTATATTCTCCTGACCTGAATGTGTGATTCAGGGGTGAGACTTTGTCAAGGGGAAACAATTATGGTGAAATTTAGATTACTTTTTGATTGGGTATTGCAAAACTAAAACCAAAATGATTGTAACAACCAATCAGACATAGACATATAGAAATATATCACAGGAAACCTTTAAGAACTCACATTAAAAACTGCCTGAGGCACAATAAAACTGAGAAGATCAATTTAAAATTTCACTTCAGTTTTGCACTTCAGGATCAACAACTTTACTAAACCAGTTTAGAGGTACAGTGAAACAAAACCAAAGCAATCCTGAAATATCAGTTCTTTTGATAATCATTGAAAAAATGTTATACAAAAGGGATGTCATAATTCACACAAAGTGAAAATTTTAACTCGATGTAGTTTCAGCCATAAAAAAGGGGTGCAATAAGGAAAAGAAAGTCATATTGGTATGTCAAGAAAAAACTATTTTTTCCCTGTAACACTTTAACAGAAGTATTGCTTGCCAATAAGCACTTTAGAAAATGTCATGAAGACAGGAGATTTTTCAAAGCACACTTCAAATTAAAGTACCCATGCATGTTTTGTAAAACCCTGAAAACCTGTGTGATATGTATCTGATAAATACACAAGGCAAAGTCCATTTTCTAATACCTCCACTTTTATTGTAATCAGCTCCTTCACTGTTATCATAACCCTCTGCAGGGTACATCATGGGATGTTCATCTTCTGTGGTGGAGCTCACAGCTTCTTCTGCCTGGCTGTTTGTTATTCCATCGTTGACAGTGCTAGTGGTGTCTGCATCTATAGATTCTATTTCCTGTAAAAAATGAAAGCAATGCTGTAATAAAAGGACTATTTCAGACAGAACTGCAAAGCATTATCAAATACTAAATGAAACTAAATGAAAATGAGAATCAAACTGAAATGTTTTTTAACTTTAATGTAATATTGTGCAAGTACATGCATCAAATTATTAATAAATTCCCAGTTCCTGGCTCTTTCAGTTTTCATAATATATCAGAAATGATGACAGAAAAGGACTAAAGCAAAAATTTGTACACAAGCTACATGCATATGTTCATTTGTCTTTATCACATTTATATGGCTTAGAACTGTGAACTCTTACTGAGAGGAGAACCACGAACATGTCATTTGTTTCTCTTGTATATCACAAAGAAAAAAAGCAAATGATGATTACATCTCAACATGACTGCATCTGTCCACGTAGGTAACAACAAAGGCATAACAGGAATACTGAAGATACCAGCACATAGTTTGAGGCAACATGATAAGGATTAAAATAGTCATGAGATAAATACTTCAATGGCACTCTGAAGCAGAGAATTCCAAATAATTTACTTAATCTTAAATACACCCTTCCTGTATCCCAAGTCTTACTTTAAAGAAGTCTGCCAGTTTGGCATCAATTTCCATGTGCTGTTCTGTTGACGATGGACTGGGTTGGGAAGATTCCTCACGGGAGTTTGTACCACCATTTCTATCATCTACAGGTTCAAGATTTTCTTCGTCATCTGCCAGACAAGGAAGCAAACCACACAACTTTGAATTTTAAACCTTATTACATTTAAGATAATTGAGCAAATTAATAACTTTAAATTGATAATAATTTCTCAAACAGTAATCAAAACAACCCTTTACAGCTTAAAAGAAATCTCTAGAACTTCTTTCAATTTTTCAAATATTTTTGCTGCTCTTACACGTTTCCCATTTTCTAATGATCCTTGATTCTGTAGAAAAGCTTTACTTCACTGCCCAGAGATAAATAAACCAAAGTACTCAACATTGCTGATTCTAGCAGCATGCAAGTCCTCTGTAGCTAAGCGCTATATGAGGGAACAAATCCAAACATCTGTAGTTCAACTCTTTGATGGAAACTTTGTCCTACTCTTGTGACTAAACAAACTAGCACATTCTCCTACAGTTGATGGCCTTGCACAAAGTTCTCTATCTGTTTTATTCAAACTATACACTTAATAAATTTTTAATAGAATTGTTTTATTCAAATTACCTTCATCATCACTGTGATCACCATATGATCCAAGAAGCCCAATTCCTAGATCATAAAATACAGCATTAATAATCACAAAACTGGAATTATAATGGAATATATATGATAATAAAAAATAGCAACAACAATGAGGGATTTCTATGGTGCCGTATCCATTGGCATTTCAAGGGACTTTGGCTAGACTGCATTGAGCAGTTTACGATATTTTTTGGAGGAAACTTTATGCAGTAGCATCCAAATTTCACAATCGAGGCCAGACCACAACACCAGGAACTGCCTTCCCTACTTTTTGCAGTAAGTGTGTGGGTTCTTTAACATCCCCTTCTGGCTAGTACAGAGAAGATGCAGGGGATGAGGCTTATGGTTTTTTGGCCTTATCTGAGAAGACTGGTTTGTCTAACCATGTGCAGATGCCATAGCAAAGGCAGCTCATTCTTCTTCATTATTTTAAGACCCTGAATGTTATTCGGGTCGGACACTTTAACTCTCCACCTCCCACATGGCAGTCCTGTGCTCTACAACATCAGCTAACCAGGCTGTGCTAACAATCTTATCTGCAGTTTTGCAAATGTTTTGTCCTACCATACAAATCCATTATTTTATACTGTCAAATATGCATCTCTCATAAGGAGACTCAATGTAATAAACTAGTGAACAAATTAAACAACTTTGTTTATCTCTCTGGTTCAAAATTTGTCATCTTTCTTAATCTACATGTACACTGTCAGGATTTTTTTGCAAGTTCAGATCTTGGCAAGATCAGGGAACATGCAGAAATACTGTTATTTAAAAGAGTTTTGTATGAATATAGAAAATTGCCTGGTTGATAATGAGTTTGGCATAGCTAATTTGACAGAGAATACATCAAATATTACCTGATATACTGTTTGGGTTAATTGCTCTTGTTAGACTACTTGTTGCAAGTCCTGTTTTCAAAAACAGAAGCAATAATTCATGGGTATTTGCATCATCTTATTTCTAATTAATACCATCATGGCAGGTTAAGTTCACCAGATAAGCACTAGTCTTAATCAGTAACAGATTCAGAGGGCCACAATCCAAGCTACAACTGTTTTGGTCCACACGACCACTTGGTGCCCAAATTTGAAGAGTGAGGTCAATTTGGCAACATGTGTTTGGATGTCATGTCCAGTCTCAATGTTTTTTTTCCCCACAAAACTACTATCTCATTCTCCTTAAATGCCTCAAAATTAATTCTTGTGATGATGCATAAACCTTCAAAAACAAATGTCAGCCATACTGCTTACTCCATTATACAATTGGCCCTTAAATCACCAGAAAAAATAACTGACTGGTAGTCATATTATGAGATCAACAGGACATTACAGGACTTACTGTGCTTATTCAATTAAATGCCGTGGCATTTATTAAATTTAGTGTGATTCAAGTGCTGCGTTTATTTGAGGGTTGTGTTTATACAAGGGTAGCATTTATTTAAAATCCTATTTATTTCTTGCAAATAATAGTGTATGGCAACTTACTATTTGAAATTAAAATACAGAAACACGTTTTAATGCTTGTCTAAAAAGTCACTTTTTTAAATCATTCTCCATTTCACTATTTGCTTGTTAATACTACATAACTGTAATACATAAAGTAAATAAAGATCTGATGTTGAATATGCTTTCTCAACATCAGAACTGGTTCATTAAAGAGAATTTGTGTCTTGCTCACACAAAATTTCCAGCTGTAATTGAAGCATTGATTGCTATGTGCTTTTTGTGTCTATCATTCAAATAAACACCATACATGATGCAGCATTTATTCAAGGTTGGTGTTTATTAATACTTCTGCTCTAAAATCCATTTAATCGAATAAATACAGTAATCCTTGTGTGTTCAAGGACCCTTACTGAGCACACTAGCAGTTGAAAGGGTCACTGTGGTTCCCTTCAAATCATCAATCTTTTACCCCTTTGAGTGACAAGCATCTAACTTCTGCCTAAAATATCACCCTGAATAATACATTAGGGTCAAGAGAATGAAGGAAATGATCACCAACTACAGAAGCTTTTGATAGGGACACAAGTTCTCCTCATCAGCACCTAAGGAAATCTATAGAAACCAGTATGGAGAATATGCATACTGATGTTAAGGTGTTAGGGGCTAAGCACTTAGTAGAGTTTTAACAGACCTTCCCCGGCTTCTCTCCTTGATACTCGGCCAATTTGCAGAACTGTTCTTCTACGAGAGGCTTGAGCCACAAGCTGTTTCTCCTTAGACCGTCGTCCCATAACTCAATTATCCAAACTATTCATTCTATTCTAAAGTGTGTAAAATCATGGGAATAATGTTTCAATTGATGTACTTGTATTTGTGTACTGTACATAACTACTCAAAACATAAAACTCAGTAATTTACATTTGAATTAGGCACAAATTTGACATCAATGTTCCTCACTAAGCAGCAGTGAGGATTTATCAAAAAATAACCTCAAAATATCATCAAAACGTGATGATGCTTCCCTACATACAAAAAAATGACAGAAATTGAAACTAATTATACCAACTTCACAGGGAAACATAATTTTCCCCGAAATGCTTTGCATTATGAAAACATGGATGACGCATACTAAGGAAGGTATTCAGACACATAACAATTGTAAACAAGATAGTCACTTAGACTTCACAAACTAACCTTTTAAATAATGAAACTTTGACACAAATTGGTCAGGAAGTCTTTATTATGGCGGATGGCGGAGCAGACCACATGGCAGGCTCTTAAGATTTGTCAGCGGTAAAGTAATTCAATTAAGCTCTAGTGTCCAGCTTCCCTCGTCCATGTCAATTGCTGGTTATGGCGGCGATTGCATTCCTTTTTCGAACAGGTAACTTTAGTCTTTTTCATCGCCTACACTGTGGCGATGTTTGATTTGAAGATTGTGTTTATATTTACTTCATGTGGAAACCATATTTAACCTAATTCCATAATTTTCTCTCGTCTCCGGAAGGGGAAAATTTGATTTGTGCCCTCTGCGAAACTTTACTTCCTTGGTTACGTACTGTTTTCGATCGAATGTTTACATTAGCAAAGTAACTTTTCTGGCAGTGTGGTTAGTTGCTTTGATTTCGACCTGAAATGTGACTTTTGATATCGGAGTGGCAGGATCAAGCAGGTGAAGCACTGAGAACGACATTTTGGATGAAAATAGTTATGAGTCGGTGATCTGCATGTTGCGCGTTAATCCAGAGACAGAGATTTGAGTCGATGTCGCGTTTCGAATATTTTCCTCGTTCTTTTTGGAAAAAATGCAGAAAATGAGCCCTGCGAGGATCATAAATTTATTACGTTTATGTTGTGTTCATAAGCATGTGCCATGAAAGTTAACGATTCTGGTGCAATGAAAACTTAAGGTTATTATTAATGGGTAAAGTTTCAAATACAACTGTCGTAGTGTTATGCTCTCCCATGATGTTTGTCAACTTAGTAGGTTAACAAGAGCCTAAATATTGATACACGTTTTCACCAAGCCGAACAAATTTGAAAATTTCCTAATAATATATGTTGATTTCAGTTTGAAGGTCAGACTTCAATTTTTAAAAAAAAAATGTCAAGATAAAGTTTACTTATTCTTCATATCAACAGCCTTCATGCAATCCACAAAGACTCAACGTTTGCCGTCGGCATCTCCTTTAAAGTCATCTGTCTGTAAAACATCAACTAGTGGATCTCTACGCAACATCAGCCCCCTTAAACATCCAACAAAAAAGAAGCCAGGCACAAGAGGGACTAGTCAATCAGATACTAGATTAACTTCATCATTAAGAAAGCTATCACTAACTCCAAATCCTCAACCACCTTCCCGGTCTAAAAGCATATCTCCTAGGAAAGCAAAATTAAGTCATGTTCGAGGATTGAGTTCTTCTGCAGTCCACTCGGTTGAGGACATTGTTAGTCTTATTAAAGGGGATAAATGTAAAAACATCATTGTCATGGCTGGTGCAGGGATAAGTACTCCTAGTGGTATACCTGATTTCAGGTAAGTGGCATCGTTGAGAATTGCAGATTTTGTTATGGAATTTTAGTATTGTCTGGAATTGTTATTGTGGTATGACCAATCTCACTGGGGTTCAAGGCATAAAAGCAATCAGAGAACCACAAACAGATTTATTTAGCATTATTAGGTAACTTGGTTTTACCAACTGAGGTTATAATGTAAGGTGAATGCTAACGCTTGAAACATCAGCTTTAGAAACTATCCATGGTGGCCAATTTATATTCTCAACTCATATAATGAAACCAAATTATCCGGTAGTACCCCACCATAAAGCAGTTTTTTTTAGAAACTTCCCCCCCTTAATTGATTAGCATTGTTGTACACCTGTCACTTAATTTTTTTTCTTACACCTGATTGGCTCGAATTTCATTGTTAACCCTCCCCCCCTTGGATTGATCAACAATTAATTTATTATTACAATAACAGTACATTGTCAAGTATAAAAGTGATGGTATCAATTAGTGATGTCACAAATAGGCATTCTCATTCCCAGTCTCCAGGTCAATTTCACAAGGGAAATGAGTGAATTTCAAGGGGTAGAAAGTAACATCACTTCTAAACCAGTGTTTGTTTATTTCATGTTTAAAACAATCAAACACAGGGTAAAAAAAATTTGTGTCACATACACAAGTTTACATATATCGTATGAAAAAGAAAATAAAGTGAAGAGTTTTATTTCAAGGTCATAACTGTATAATTAAATTTAACCACATTTTTCATTATATGTGCACAGAACACCAGGAACTGGACTTTATGACAACTTACAGCAATACAAAATCCCAGAGCCAGCAGCCATTTTTGATCTAGACTACTTTTGGTATGACCCAAGGCCATTCTTCTGCCTGGCTCAGAGTCTTTATCCTGGAAATTACCAGCCAAACTATGTTCACCATTTTGTAAAGTTACTCCATGACAAGGGATTGCTGTTGAGAATGTACACACAGAATATTGATGGACTGGAAAGATGTAAGCTGACTGAATTTTTCAACTATAGCTTTTCAATGAGTGATCAAGACAGAATTTCTCCTTACAATATCAGCACACCTGGAAGTCTGTGGTTTGCCTCCACATGCAATAAGCAGTGTTTTGACACTAGGTTACCCAGGCATGTAAATCACACTATGTGTAGTTCCAGTAACTGATATGATTTTTCTCTTTTAAGTGGCTGAAGTACCAGCAGCAAAACTTGTGGAAGCCCATGGAACATTCTCAACTGCATCATGTATAAGATGTCACAAAAGCTACGATGGAGAACAAATAAAGGTAGGGATTGTGGATTGAAAAAAATGTGCACTTTGCAGGTAACATTCCCCTTTAAGTTTGATAATAAAAAATGACTTGAAATTATTATAGTATTTAATATCTGAAACCAGCTAGGACAGTTATGGCTGATGCAACAAAGAGAACTGCACACTAAAGATCACATGGCCTATTTCCTGTAGGTCCTAGCAGTGTGTTAAAAAAACATTTTTACTCCTTGTGTTTCACTCAGTCAGTGTAAGATAACACTTTTGGCAGCGACAAACTTGCCCCATATATAACTCCAGGTTTTTTGTGAAGCAAGGGCCCTGACTACCTGGCCATCATTTCTCTTCAAACATCAAACACTAGGGCAAGTCTGACAAGTCTCACCCATCATCAGTATCCTGTGAGCTGTATCAGGGCTATCACCAACTCAGACTATAGAGCCCATTCTGCTTCATTATTCTCCAAACCAGGAATTTTAAATATTTTCCCTGTCAATACATTTGAAACCCCAAATTCATGTTTTGATATCAAAGTAGTGTATTGCCCCCATTGTTTCCCAATGTTTTTGTAACAAATAGCCAAATTTACTGCTTTGGCACCAGAACTGCTCTTATTATCCACTGCATTTATATTGTACACATCTCAAGCAATATGTAACTCTCTACCGAGGTCCTAAAATTTGCAATTCTCTCCTTGTATTAGTCACTTGCTAATCAAGTCTTAGCTTCAAGACAAAAATGTTAGAGTTTTTATAAAAAAACACTGAATTGGCATAGCTTGGCCAATTCAGTGTGCTCGCTAATCAAGCTTTTTTAGCTTTAAGACAAAAATGCTAGGGTTTTTACTAAAAAGTAACACTGAACTGGCCAAGCCACATATTTGCAGCACTCATTTTTTGTCAATACATTGTTGTTAGTGAGGTGGCCTCCCATAAACCAAGTGGTTTCTTCTCACCTTACAATTGCGATGCTGTACATTTCTCTTTTGTTACTGGTAAAAAGGCAAATAGGTGATGATTATGGTTTAAAGCTGTTTGATTGTAGTCCTGCAATATACATAAAGCTTGAGTCACTGAGAATTATGTAATTTTTATAGAAAACTATCATGTCAGACCACATGACCATCCCTTCTCTTCAAACATCAAATGCTCTGGGGCAAGTCTGACCCTTCAGTATCCATATTTCAGGTGTTTGATTGAGGCATTGCAATTTGTTTGAGGCTTGAGTCATAGAGAATTTGTATTTTTAACAGAAAACAATCATGGATGGTGACATTCCTAAATGCTCCAGTCCGAGATGTTCAGTAAGTGACAAATAAAGAGCCTTCTCTGTTTCTTGTCAATTATGAACTTACATTGCAAAACAGACTCACATCCGAGATCTTTATGAAATATTAATTTCTCTTTATGGATAGCTATTGCTCTCTGGAAAGTGAATTTTAACACTACTACCAGTCACTAATCAGTTCACTCCAAGATATGTATTCATTTCTTTGCTTTTTTTGTTAAATCTGTATTTTTTTTATCCTTGCAAGCCTTTTGAACCAAGTGATCTAGCAACCACCAAACCAGCCTACTTCAAAATTGAAAATATTTTTTTACAAACTGCCAATGGGCAGTAAGTGAAAATCATATGAAAAATCATCAAACACACAATCCACAATCCACAACCCACATTTTATGCCGTGTTGGCTTTGTTCCTTCCTTAATATGTGAAAATATGATAGAGCAAAAAACATTCCTAGGATGAAAAGATACTCCTTGAGTACAAAGTTGATGCTGAATTGTATCCTTGAATCTTTTTTCTTTCAGGGTGTGGTTAAGCCAGATATTGTGTTTTTTGGTGAAAACTTACCCAAAAGGTTTTACTCCTATATTGTGGATTTTCCAAAATGTGATCTTCTAGTAATCATGGGCACTTCATTAGAGGTGAGGGTTACATTGAACCAGTCTTCTAGTTTTGCGAACCACTGATTGAAAAGTTTTAAATTTAACATTTGCTAACATTAATTTCTTGAATTTCTTCAGGTGGAGCCATTTGCAGGCATTGCGAGTTCTGTGGACCGTTCCACTCCTCGCCTTTTGGTAAACAGGGAGATCGTGGGACCGTTTTCTCGGCGTTGGGAGAGACGCTCCAACGACGTGGTGCTCCAAGGAGATGTTGTAGAGGGTGTGACAAAACTTGTTAACTTGTTAGGATGGTCTGATTCAATGGACATAATTATAAACAGTGCCAAGCAAAACTGGAAAGATCATTTGTCTACCACGGACACCAAGGTTAGTAAAGCTTCCGAGGAGCTTGCTAAAAGTATTGGAAAGACATTAGACGGAAGAGAAATGATGGAAACATCTTCACAAACTAGCAACGCCCAGCCAAAGAATGGCGTTGATGTACAGAGAAAGGAGAGTGGACTGTTTACAAGCACTCCTAAAAATGGAGTCTCTAACGGAACGACAGGACCAAGTTCATTTGGTACCAGAACGCTACACTCCCAAACTAATAGTTTTACAGGCAAAGGAGTTCTTTACAGGACAAATAAGAGTGTTCTCTTCATGAATGGGGAGGGGCCTATGAGACCCTCTTCATCTTCTCAAAGAGCCCCTCTTTTGCCGTTCCGATACACTCAGAGAAAAGAATCGAGTGGACAGGATAAGAAAACGGACTTCAAGGTTATTGAACCAGGAAAGGATCTTGCTAGTGCAGGATTTGGACTTGGAAGGCGAAGCGTGGGGCGAGTGAGCTGTTTTCTGGCCGGAACTGCGGATGAAAGTTCGAGTGATGATGATTCGGCATAGTTCACAGTAAAACTCCTGCTGATTGATACCAAGAGTTAATATGCAGCTGCTAAACAACGCAACGTAGTACATGTAAGGAGCCGGTGATGATGACGTTGAACATGTCAGAAACCAGTCATAGAGGAGAAGTTGTAGTGGGCCAATCGCGTTGGGTTAATTAGTGGTACATTATGTTAAAGTCGAGTTGTTTCCGTACAGATACATATATCAAGTATATATATTTTTTTAACTTCTGTAAAAATGGTTTAAGGGAAAAAGAAAAGATAAATTATTCCGTGCTATATCAAGAGTTGTCGATTGTTGTGACGCAGATAAAATAAATAAATGTATTAAGTAGAGTTAGCATTGCTGTCGAGCTTATCTCAGTTTCTGTACTCTGATGCTGGTAGGATCATCAACACCGTGTCCATTCAGGCTAATCCCTCCTCCCCCCCCGCTCCCATAGCTGTTTTTCAGGTGTCTCTGACGCAACCATCTATACTCTCACCTGCTTTCTTTGTAATCGGTGCTTGAGTAGGGGGGCGGAATTCAGGGAGCGCAGAGACAGAGACAGAGTCCATATAGAGACATATGTTTTATTGAGTGTTTTTTCGGGTCATTTAAGACAAGGGTATTGCACTGTATCCCACGATAATTTTATTTATTTCATTGGCGGTGGAGAAAGGTATCCTAATATGTCATCAGTTATCAGGATTGTAAGTAATGTTGATAGGTATGACCTTCACGCAAATCAGTGAGATAACTGTGCAGACACTCAAGTGGCTAGACCCTCACAATTATCTACTATCTACCAAGGGTTTGTGGTTTGCAAAACAGGCGTGATTTTGGCAAGCGAACGCTCGGTATTTTCTCGGTAAAAACTATCGCTCCATCTTTGATTTTTTACAACAGTGTAAGGCTAGGGAGAGAAATAAATTTGAACAACGGTAGCAAAGGAAGAAGATGGGATGGGTGGGGCAAAATAAATCATCTTTATGAAAGATCACCTGCATGCTTGGTCTCTTATTTCTTATTTAAAAATCATGTTTGCTGATAAGACCGCGGTCCACATTTTCTACTTCACGTTTTATTTTTCGTTCAGCAATTCACAGAAGAGTGGGCCCGAAGGATGTACTCTTAAACCCCTAGAAAAATTTACACACCTAGAAAGGTTTGAAACCCCTGTTTTAACAACCAACTTTAAAAAAAAGGTATGATGTGTTATTTTCCTCGTGAAAATAGTTTGTATACTTTAGATGACGAGAGGCCCCCGGATTCAGAGGAGACCGAATTTCCTCCTGAAATGGTAAGTTGTACAGCACAAAAGTACTAGGAAATACTCTCCCACCGACGCAGCACCACAGTTTCTTTAGAAACTTACCCCCTTTATTCATCTGATGTGAACATACTATGCTTCATGTTCATAACAAACGTGTGCACCTGTCAACTTAAGTGCACTGACTACACATCAGGATCTGTGTGAAAGTTCTACTTCTTGTTATATCAGTACAGATATCATTTTGCAGACTGCGAAGATTGCTTTCATATTCAGGTCTTTATCCGCAGTTCAAATATATGACTTTCATATATTCACAGTCGTTTATTCATCAGTTCATGGATTTAATTGGAACCAACATAATAACCAGTTCCTAGTTGGCTTGTTAGCTCAGTTGGCAGAGCGCTGTACCGGTATCGCAGAGGTCATTTTTCAAATCCCGTGCAGGCCTGGATTTTTTTTTTCAGGCCTTATTTTCACTACTATTCAAGTAGTGTTCATTACTGCGAAGATCGCTTTCATATTCAGCGGATACTATCTCACTAGTCTCGTACCCAGATCTTTCACGGCTAATCTCTAGGTAGGATCTGGGTACGAGATTACCATTCCGCTTCGTTTTACCAACTGAATTTCGCTGCAAGCTGGAAAACTGGGAGAGAGTGATGCACTCCGAGACACAAAGTGTAATTATTCAGAAGAGGAGTTTTCTGAGATAAAGCCAAAATAAACTCCATAAATCCCTCCTCATTTTATATTCATTTTTTTCACGGAAACGTGAACTAACGAAATTAGGAAAATACTACTGCTAAGTTACAGGTTGCTTGGCTCTCTGATGTTAAACTTTCAGCTTTGCACGGATTGGCTGTTTTGATTTTCGTATTTGGGAGGCAGTAACCGTGATTGGCAAAGGCTATGCTATTTTACGTGGCAAGCGGTTCTGGGTGCACTTGATGAGGTTGAGCCGTTAAAATGACACGAAAACCTGCAAAACGTTTCGTAATCAAAGCCCCCGTTGTACGGGTATTTGCAGCTCCGTCGTTTTAGCGAGTGCTCAATAAAACCGTAACCGCCAACCGCCCAGGCTAACACTAATCAGGTGGAGATTGTTGCGTTTGCTATAAACTAGTGATGTGTGTTTTTCCATCAGATCGGGATCGTATCTCTGCAAGACACCATGGTCTTGTGATTTCTCCCTTAAAAATTTTGACTCGGTTGTTTGGTGGCTAATGACAGTGACAAAAGGAAATGAAAATTCTCAATTATTCAAATCAATCGAGGACTCTGCCTTGTGAAGGATCATCCCAATCTTTTAGTGGACTAGAGGAGGCCCTAGCAATATTGAATCAGACGCTGCTCACTGGCTATCAGTTTCCCGCGGCTTAGCTTGCCTGACTCCAACCTTTTGAGTTACTTCGATGTACATCTCTCTAAGCGAATTTGAAAGTTTTCTCTTTCAAATCAAGTCTGATCGGACGATTAATAATCGTTTCTTTTTGGTAGTCATGAGACAGCAAGTTGAGACAAGTTTAAACTTTAAAAAACAAAAATTGTCTTTCAAATCAGCATTCTGAATCCCCACGGTTTCAACGAACCCTTCCATTCAACCAATTTATTCGTTTTGTCTCGTTACAATGATCCTGCCAATGGCGTAACTCCATTTCCTGCATATAAACACACGCAACCCACAATAGTCCTCTAGAAACTTTCAAGGTGGCCAATCAACTTATCAACTCCGTTGAGAAAATCAAACCATCTTAGTGAATCATCAGTCTACCTTACATAATTTTAATGGCAAGAATTTAATTCAAGTACGTCTGACTCGGCGCTGAGCAAAAAAAATTCGATTCTAACACGAAATCGAGATGTAATTTTCCTATCATTCTAGTTAAACGTCTGAGCAAGTTAGAGTGAATTAGGATGCAATTACCACACGATGGAGTCGATGAGTCGTGCGAAGTTGTTTTAGTGGTCAAAGATGGCAAGTTCAAAGTCCACAGAAAAGCTCTTTCAGAAGCAAGTCCTTTCTTTGAAAAGTTGCTGAACAGCGACATGAAGGAGTCCAAAGAAGGAGTGGTTCGCTTGGAGATGTTTACAAAATCTGTTATGAGTAAGACAATAGAGTTTGTTTACACCGGAAATCTTCATATATTGGATACAGACGAAGCCCGCGATTTGGTTGTGATAGCGGATTATTTGTTTCTCACAAAACTAAAGGTGTGTGCATCAAGATATCTTCTTCAGAAATTAAACATTACCATTTTAAATTCTCTATCAACTTTACGTATTGCTGATGCGTATCGCCTCAAGGAACTTTACTCTAAGACCAAAAAATTTATACTTGCAAATATCAACGCCTTATTCACCGAGAACCGCAAAGATGTTTTGAACATGTCAAGCAAGGAACTTACAATTTTTATCTCAAGCGACGAACTGATCGTAAACGTCGAGGAAGATGTGTTTAGTATCATTCTTTCCTGGATTCATCACGACATAAGGAAACGACACACCTACTTCGCAGAGTTATTTCGTCACGTTCGACTGCTTTATATATCGCGTGACTATCTGTGCAATGATGTCGTGACAAATGAACTGGTCGAAGGAAATGAAGGCTGTCTGGATCTTGTTCACAAGGCTATCGGCATCCTTGAATCAAAGAACGTTGATAATTTCCTGGATAATCTCCATGTAACACCTAGGAAGGCTTTTCAAACCCCTGTTTTAATCGCAAACACTGAAAAATATTTGATGTGCTATCTTCCGCGTGAAAATAGCTGGTATACTTTAGGTGGCGAGATCCCTTTAGAATTGAAGGGTGACCGACTTTTCTCCTGTAATAGTAAGTTGTACAGTACAAGAATAGAGTCAGTTAAATATCCTCGGGAGGTCTGCAGACTACATATGTCATGGTATGATCCATACTCGAGCACTTGGATTTCATTACCAGTCTTGGAAGGGAACGCACATTGTTGGCAGATATTTGTCAACAATAAAGATGAGATGTTTGCTTTATTCTCGGAACCAAGCGGTGGGAATCACTTCCCCACTTGGTGGATTCGAAACGGAAGAAGTTCCGCTGAACTTACCCCTGTTATACAAGGTGTCGAGGAAGGAACCGAAGACAAAAACGTTTCCTTCATTATGCAATATAAATCTGAATTACACAAGTGGGAAGAAATTGCATCTTTCAATTATTTAGACCTGAGACAGGATTTTATCATTGTGGCGCATGACAACTTCATTTATTTTATGGGCAGAATACTCAGAATACTCTGGCGTGGACGCGAGTATGAGTTCCCGCATGATGTGGAAAGGTATGACCTTAACACAGACCAGTGGGAAAAATTACCAGGTCTTCATCAAATCGCAAGAAGGTCGGCTTGTGGTGCTGCAGCAAACAGGAAAGTAATCATTGCTGAAGGCTGTCAGTGTGAAATTTACAATGAAGACACAAATGAATGGCACTTCATCGAAGACTTGGAGGAAGGATCTTATTCAAGGAGAATTATAAATCTCGTAACTGTCGATGATCAGCTGTATGCTTTGTTTAAAGATCAAACTGATGGGACCTACACGGTTAAACATTACGACACCGAGAGGAACAAATGGAGTCCGAACGAACTCATGACGAAGATGTCTTCAGTATTGGACGTGTGTTCGATGAGAATTTTCAGAGGATGGCTCAATAACTTCTCACTGAAAAGTCTTACATCTGTTCCCATTCAAGATAAGCCTAAGCACTCTTGTTGTAGCATGTAACGGTGATTAAAATTTTTGAGCCAATATTTAAATTACATGACAACAATGAGATTTTAACCCAGCCTCACTGATGTGTACATACGACGCTTCATTGTTCATCAAGGATCGTAACAAATGCATACACCTGTCAACTGGAGCGCACTGAGTGCACACCAGGATCTGTGTGAAACTTCTTGTCATATCAGTTTGTAGACTGGCATGCGGACGACGCGATAGTAGCAGCCGAAGGAGCTTGGGTCTGGCTTGACGCGACCCGACCCAACCCTCGCTCGTTTTTCCGCCGAGCGGCTACTATCGCTCGATCATCGCAACATTTACCATCGTGCTACGTTCTAGTGACTGAACGTCGCTACAAGCGGGCAGACTGGAAAAGAGTCATGCACTCCAAGAACACGAAGTGTAGTTATTCAGAAGAGTAGTTTTCTGAGAAAACGCCAAAATAAACTACATATATTCACCCTCATTTAATTTTTATACTATCACCGAAAAGTGCGAATAATTAAGTTAAGAAAAGATTAGAGAACTGTTTTAGATTGTTTGGCCCTGTGATGTTAAGCCTTTAAAACGAGTCAAGAGACTGCGAAAGGTTTTACAATAAAAGCCCCTTTGCTTGCACCGGTATTTGCGGCTCCACCGTTTTAGCGAGCTCCCAATAAAGTCGCCAGCCGCGCAGGCTAGGCTAACACTTTTCAAGTGGTAATTTCGCTTATTTTAAACTAGTGATGTATGTTTTCCCATCAGGTCAGGACAGAATCTCTCCAAGAGACCATGGTATTGTGATTTACCCCTTAAATTTTGCTTAGTTTGGAGGTTTGTGACGATAACGACAGAATATAAATGTTACCAATTATTCAAACCAATCAAAGACTTGGCCTTGTGATAGATTATCCCAATCTTTTAGTGGACCCGAGAGGCCTTGTGTAAAATTATAACAATGCACGGAGGCTACCATTTTACTGCGGTTTTACTTGCTTTACACTAATCTGTCTAATCTGTTGAGTTACATCAATTAATGGACTTCTCCCCCAAAGCGGAAATTTTCCCTTTAAATCAACTTTTAACTGGACACGCCACCCCTCTCCCCGCCAAATAAGAAACGTCCCGTGATTATTTGATTTTAGAGCCCGGGGGCTTAATTACTTTTGATACCTAAAGGGAGGTCGCTTATTCAAAACAGGGCGCATGATAGGGACAGGGTACTTGTTTCTTTTTTGAGAAACAGCAGAACGTGAATCAAAGCTTTTATTTTCATTTGACTGAGGATCAAAGCAGACTTGTTGTCTTGCCTTGCCAGATCGGCTAGCCAAGCAATCCTCGCAAAATTTTGAGACAGGATCTTTCTTTTGAAGGAACAATGCGCTTCAGGTGGCAGAGCGAAAGACTAAGACGAAGACTTTTTTCTTATCGTGAGGCTTTCAGTGAGCAGCTTAAGAAAGATGGACCACGGTTGATCTCAATGTTCATGTGCTCGAACAGTGCTATTACTAGAACAGAATAAGGGCGCTCATTGGTATAGGGTAGCTTATTGGAATAAGGGCGCTTACTCAGTAGGGGCACTTATTGACAAAAACAAATCATTGAGGCACTGGTAAAACTCATCAAAGAGTTCGTGGTGTATTCGATCATCTCTTGCTCTCGCCAATCAAGGGCATTGTGGAATGCACCAATCAGATCGCAACAGCGTCTTTTCCATAGTAGACACATAATCAGCTCCTACAATATTAATGGAAGCTTTGCAGTTGTTTTAAGACTTAAATGGACAAAATCTAGAGTCTTCCATTCATATCCAACTGCAACAAACTGAGTAAAGACTGGGGCTTAAAATGTATCTGAGGGTCACGCATTACAAAGAATGAAAAAATTTTTTTTAATGAAGTAGTTCTGTCGATTTCTCTGGCAGCTGGAATTGTCTGTAAATAACATGAGTTAAAAGTGTAAAACTGTTATCTATTCTTTAACTTACATTGCTTTTTTCGCAGAAATGAAATAAACACAATCCTTCATTTGAAATCAACATTTTCTAATTGATGTGAACATTCTAATTCATTTGATTTTGTCAAAAAAAAAAACTGAACATGAAGAATTCAGTGACCTTGATATTAGGTAAATACAAGTAAAATAGATCTCTCTTATATTTCATTAAAACTGTCTGTATATACACTTTACATATAATTTTTTTCCTTTGCTGCTGATTTTTGGGATCAATATCAGTATCTAAACAACTGCACACCTACCCCTCTCATACCCCAACATTATTAGTTGACTATTGTTGGGTTAGGGGAGGGGTAGGTGCACGGTGGCTAAAGTACTGACATTGATCCAATTTTCACTAAAACACAAGCGCAGGCTAACATAGACACGTGCACCAGGATGCTGATCACCGTAATTCCTTTGTTTGACAAGATCCTTACAAAAGACACCAATGATCAAATCTGTGTCTATGCATGTCAGCTGAGGGTTTCACTTGTGCTTTAGTTTAAAAAGGCCCCCCACTTGCTTACGATTAGATACTTGAACTTTTGACCTATACTCCTGTATCCTAAAGTCTGGTCAGAAACTCAAGACCACTTCAGTCTAATGAAAATGAAAATTTCGAAGGCCACTCCAATGTGAGGGTCACTGTGGCTTGGGTCAGATAAATCATGCTAGCATAATTATATGCATAATGCTTTAGTCAGAGCATCATGCATAATACTGGCATAATGGCTAAACTTCTTGAAAATTTTCTTGATAATGCTGTGTTTCCATGGTGATGCTGAAAAGCATTATGTTCAAATTTTTTTAGCATAATTCAAGTGACCCTACCAATGGTAATAGGCCAAGCCATTATCATGGAATGACAAGTCAAATGTGTTTCAATGAACGCTAAACAATAACACCTAGTGCCATACAAAAGGGTGGTCGATATGGAGGGGGTGGGTCACCAGCTCTGACACTTTCATTATCATCAAGAACTGCGCTGTATGGTGGAGGGGCAACATTGCCCTCAAAGAATCCAGAGACAGTCTGCCGTGCACCCTGGATAACAACATGTCCTCTATGATTGCGATGATGGTGGTGCCTTCTCGTTCTGTATCTGCGATTTTGTGTTCTGATATGTATTCTTGTTGGAGCTCTTGTCACTATTGAGTTCCTTTGACGTTTTGAGAGTGTTGTATGCCGTACAATGCTGAAGACAACAAGTACCACAAGAAACATGCATGTACACACAGTTGCAACAACAACAAAAGTATATGGAAGATGTTCACTTCGTGGTTCTGATTTACTCTCTGAAGGTTTCATTGTCACATTCATCTTCACAACTGGAACAGATTTTCCTAAGAGGCCATGTTGTGAAAAAAAAAATTAAAACACACGTAAGATAAATAAACAATACATATATGTCAACTAAATGTAGAGCATAAATTTCTAATTTTCTGGAACAAGGAAAGTACTTTACTTAAGTTTCATCTAGCCATGGAAAGAGATTGACAAGCAAATGTAATGAATAATAATTGAATCATTTTTAAATGTTAAGGCCGATAATCAATAAGAAAATGTTTAATTCAATGGTAATTCTAATGATTTAAAAGCAGACCAGACTTTGCAACAACTCTTCTTCAAAGTAAATATTCCCATTAAGTATAATCTAATTATTTTCTAAACTTTCACACCACCTTGAAAACATCTAACCCATAAAACATCTGTAGATTCAAAATTGGAAAAAAACTTAAAAGTTTCACAATAGCTAAACGTAACTAATTAAATTAAAACAATCTTGTAAACAGACCTGTTTTAGGAGTTTTAACAGCTTGGGGAGTACTAACTGGCTTTTGAGAATGATCTGAAGCAAAATAAAATTAAAAAATTTTTTGCATATCAGTAATTCTTATTTTTCAACTGTTTGTGGTTCAAATCCCTTTACATCTTCCTTGTTGGTGTATCCCCTCCTGTGTCTACCTACTCTTGCAAACTGGTGGGCATCCTTACAATAAACAACAACTTTAACTTGACCATAAAATTTTGTGAGGCAACACTTTAAGGTCATGGAGATGCAATTGTCTGATAGTTGGTATGATGGACTCCCAGGGTTAAAACATCCAGGTCATGGACTGAAACCTTGACTCTCGCATGCCCTTATTTACCCCCGTGCCCAGGTGTGTAGATGGGTACCAAAGACCTGTCAGAGAAGCCTGACAAAATGCTGGGGCTGGGGCTGGGGCTGGGGAGGGGGGTAACCTACCATGAACGGGCATCTCATTTAGTGGAAAAGAATTACTCCATGAGGCTTCATGTAACAGAGACCAGGATAAGCCCCAGTGAATTGTAGGCCATTTGGCCCAAATGAAAGTTTTACTTATTAAACCCTAATAAGGCTGTGACCTTGTACTTGCTCCAGCAGAGGTTTAAGCTGGACAAGACTCATTCAAGGGCCTCCATAGAACCCTCAGTGCTTAAAGTGCTTTTGCACATTTCAAATTTTCCAAACACAGGAAATGCAAATAAGATGAACAGAAAAACCAAAAGATTATCTGCTTCCAAAAACAAGTTTGGATGAACTACATGTACCTGTAGAACACTTAAATAATTTCTAAAGAAAAAAATGATAGCTCCATAACCAGTAACAAGAAATTAAGAAAAGAAAGGTTTAGAAAAAAAAGATTACTATGTGTCTCTGATAACATACAAACCTGCTGGAAATATTTGATTTAAAAAGGATAGTTTTGTACACAATTTTGTGCCCACCTTTTTTCTTGAGGACCTCCAATATCCGGGAATAATTGACAAAGAAGCATTTCCTGTGTTTTTCAAGTATGTCCATGGATAAAACAAATTTAGGATCTTTTGTAACGTGACAACCAGCCAGTTCACTAATGCACATCCGCAGATTTTTCACCTCTCGGCAAATTGATGAAGAGTTCCGATTAAATTTTTGGTAGCATCTATTGACAAGATCCTCGCTACATACTTTTCTATGAACTGCAAAGAGAAGGAGAGTCATTAGAAGCATACTATTCCAGAAAACAGTTTAAATTGATGCCCCTTTGTGCAAGTGTTATAAGTTGAAGGGGTCTACATCTATGTACAGTAATGATTCAATTTAGCACCCTCTTTCCAATAAGCACCTCCCTCAAATAATATTTGTTGGTAAACGCCCCCATTGAGTAAGCACCTTCATTCCAGTAAGCACCCCTACACTAATTATTGCCCCTATTTTGTTTCAGCAATAGCACTGTTAGAGTACATGTAAGCGTGGGTCCATCTTGCTTTAATTACTTGCTTACAAGGTAAAAAAAAAGGGGTCTTCGTCTCATTCTCTCAACTATTACTATTTCATATAACACTTGATCAAAAGCTGCACCAATGCAGTTAAAAAAGGCATACCTTTACTTGGTGGTAAACAGTCAGGAAAAGAATTTACTTTGTTCATAAGTGATTCATACTGGACTCTTATCCTGGCATGGCTTGGCCAAATGTTATTAGCACAAGCTTTGAGACAAGACCGTAATTCCAAAATTTCCTGGCATATCTTCAAGTTGTTCTCATTGAACTGATTCTCACAAACTGTCAACCAATGTTCAGTGCAATTGCTACTAGCATAAGATTCTGCCAAAAAATTAACAAGAATATCAGTAACTTGAAAGGATTAATGATTAAAAATTATTTGTGTTGAATGATAAACATCCCTACCCCATAACACAACAGTTTTAAAAGTACAGATTATGTCTTCCAATACCTTATGAAGTGAAAATTTTTGCAACATATCTGTATTCAAACTCATATTTAGTGATTCAACATTTAACTTGGAAAAGAACCTTTGGTTTGTTAGAATTTTTAAAAGAATTTACAACTTCTTTGGTGACAAAATCACTTTGATTGTTCATGTATTTAGAGTCATTTCTTCATCCACTTTCCAGTGATTAATAATAGTAATTGAACTGAGTGGGGTGCAAGTTGGTCTGAAACAAATAAGTTATTTCAAAATTCAATGAGCGCACAGCTTAAGTTTAATTTGAAATCATACGTATGATTTCTGACTAAAATTGCACAACACAAAGTCCAGTTACCACTTTGTTACATCCACTTCTAAATCACAAAATTCAGTTGCTCAAATACAGGATTTTCTAGTCTGTACAAATATTTTAATGATCCAGTACTGAGCTGGTTTGTAAAAAGTTGCAAAATTTGATTTTCATTTCTCACTTTCATGGACAGTAAGGTACTGTGTCTACTGACTCTGATGAAAAATTATTAGAAACGGACTGATTTACATTTCACACATACTATTTACATAGTTTCTTGTAATCGGGTTACGACTACTAGGCTTATCCCTTTGAGGATACATTAACAGAATAATTTTTAAATTAATTAATCTGCATTCTCGAAACACTGTATTGGTGAATACCGTAGGATGCGATCGGCATTTCGCGCAAAATATTTGCATAGTTTTGTGAAAATATGTGCCTCCATCATGTATATGTTATATCAAAAGGAAACCAAAAAATATTGCAATGAGCAGAGGGAGAGATCAGAACTACAATTGTTTGAAGAAGTGAAGTTTGAACTGCAATTAGCCAGGAACTGAAGGACTGATAGATACAAAATTGTAAGTATTGTTGTTTTTCCCTCACGCTAACAAATGTACGCTATTGTAACTTTTTTCTTATAATTTTTGTAATTTCAGTTGATTACATATATATGTGTGTGTACCACCAGATCAGATATAGTGCGAATAAATTCTCATTTCCAAGATTCTCGTGGTTGATCTTCAATTCTGTGTCTCGCGCATAGGTACAGAACATGGATGAAAATTAACATTAAAAAATAACGTTTCAACCGCTTGATGGTCATTTTCACTCACATCTTTACTGACTAAAACTCAATAGAGTTTTAGCATTTTTACAATTGGTTACATAAGCACATGATAAAAATTTTATCCTTCAACTAGAAAATGACAGTTGAGCAGTCAAAACGTACTTGCTTTTTAACCCTTTAACGCTATTGTAACTTTTTTCTCATAATTTTTGTAATTTCAGTTGACTAAATACATATATGTGTGTGTGTGTGTGTGTGCCACCAGATCAGATATAGTGTGAATAAATTTTCATTTCCTTGATTCTTTTGGTTGATCTTCAATAATACCTGTGTCTCGCGCATAGGCACAGAACATGGATGAAAATTAACATTAAAAAACAACATTTCAACTGCTCAGTGGTCATTTTCACTAACATTTTTACTGACTAAAACTCAATAGAGTTTTAGCATTTTTACAATTGATTACATAAGTGCATAATAAAAATTTTATCCTTCAACTAGAAAATGACAGTTGAGCAGTCAAAACATCCTTGCTTTTTAACCCTTTAACTTTCAAAACTGATTCACTTGTAACTTCTTCCTATATTATCCATGCATTCTCCACCAAACAGGTAACAAGACCACCCAACCTTATCAAGTTGAAGGTATTATCTTGATCTAAAATTCTTGCGACTTATTTGTGTAGCAGCTTGGAGGGAGAATCAACAATCTGACCTTAGGAGTTTAAGGATTAATAAGCATTGAAATCTGGCCTAGTCTCAAGGTCATATGGTGGACAATGCAAACTCAATACAAGAATAACATGCCACTCTAGTTACCTCAAATGTAGGGAGAATTAAAGGTTGAGGCAACAATTTTCTGAATAGCTACCTCTCCTTTACTTTTTGGGTGAAACTTAACTTTGGTTGCTCTTTAAATTAAATAATTGAAATATAACAATTTTCACACCACCAAGGATAGCGGCTGTTGTCAAATATTCCCCTCAACTATCTGTTGAGCAATATTCTGCAATATTCACTTCACCAAAGGAAAATAATTCTTCATAGCTTTGAAATAACCCAAAGCTGTTTATAAGCTGGGCAATAAATGAGTAGGTGCTTCAAGAGGGTCATGTACCCCCTATGAACAACAGGAAATTGCCCAAAGGCTTAAAATTAACTTGTGGGCAGGAAATTTATCATCAAAATTTACACTATAAGGGATATTGCACGAAAGCGCAAAATCACGGTAAGTATGGTTCTCACTTATTTCGCTGCATGATACAAAACCGAATATCGAGAATCTGACCTCATTTAGCTGTTTTCAAGTGTCAATTTTCTACGAACGTATCTCATTTAATGATGAAGGAGAGTATTAATCTGATGTAAATTGCTGCTCATGATAACAAAACCAGAAGCTTGGCGAAATACTTGAAATAGGAGATGACCCCAGGCAATATTGCCGAGCGAAAGGCAAATTACCACGACACGAACAAGTTTTACCACAAGTAAATGTTATCTTTGAATTAGTGAAGGCAGAGCATATTTGCCTGAAATAATCCTTTTAATCAAGGAAGCCTAAGAGGAGGATTTTGAGTTCAGCGTACCTTTTTGGCACTAGTAGTTTAGAGAAACTTGACCCGACAAAGCACTTGATAAAAATAAACGAGAAAAGAACAAGTATTGTCAACACAACATTGTGACATTTTTTTTTCTTTTTTTGCCTTAACTGGATTATACTAAGATTTACAAATGCGCGATATCAAAATCGAAGCTGAAATCATAGTTCACTAATGAAAAAAATTCGGAAACCAAAATTTTAGAATACGATTCGAACCCTATCGCAAAAGATTGACACAAAATAGTGGAAGACGGATGATTTGATGTTAACAACAAGGCCTCGTAAAAACCAAAAACAGTAATCAATGCGCGTTGTTTCGACTCGTATAATTGGGAACATTACAAGATTCTTCGGTTGCGTCAAAGTGGAAGCGTCAGGCGAGCCCTCTCTGAGCAAAAGCTTGAATTTCCCACTACTGAAATTTGCATGCACGCAACCACTGTCAATACCTTTCTGGAACAGACCCAAAGGTGAGTGAAATGCAAGACTCGTTGACTTAATAACGATCTGCATGTTTGCCTAGACAAACTCACCTCTCAAGTAAACAATTCACATTTCTATCAGAAGCACAAAGCACTGAAATAGTAAAGAGCTTCATGCTTCACTCAAGTCAATGTAAAATCGACGATTAGCCGCGACGAAGATCAGTTCCTATTTTAGTTCACGTTGCTGACTGATCAGCGAAGCAGAACCATAGAAGCTTTTAATCTTTAAAGAAGCTAAAAACAAAATCTAACTTCTAAGGTCATCTTCAAAGTTTAATGTTTTACTGAGAGCCATTTCCGTTGCCTTAACTTACCTTGTGGAGACATAACAAGCAGGAAAATCAATAAGACGAAGCCATATCCCCCCAAGTTGTCCATGTTTCGTGTTGCATATCTGCAAAAAACAAACCCCACTGTCGGTTTTTGTCAATGTGTCCTATTATGGAAATTGATTCAAAGGAAAGCACAGTGATTGGCTGGCGAGGAAGAACAGATGTCACTTTCTTTACAACGTTTGGCGGCTAAATGATTACAGGTCATTCGTGAGCGAAATAAGAGAAAATTGGCGCTATTGTAATAGAACCAATCGTAAATAAGGCTATTTTTTTTCGTCGGGAACAACAAAGGATTTCGTTAAATTAGAGTTAAGATGTCGAGAAAGAATGCTTTTTATCCATCGCGTCCAGGGAAATGAATGACTTCTTACAATGCCGACTCATTAGCATGCAAAGCACAACTTTGCCAAATACTCAAACAAAGGTGGTTTTGAGGCTTTTGTAAGAAATTTCTAGTACCGGTAGCGAAGCGATGCTTTCACAAAATGGTGCGGAATCTGTTTTCCTTTACTTGATATCCGAGAAAGCACTCGCTCTCTGTTTTTCTTTCTTTCCAAACTTCCATTTAGAACAACTTTTAAAATGAGACCATCGAGGTGCTTCATAATTGATTTAAAAAGCTTTTTTTTTCCAGTCATTTAATGACTTCAGAAGAACAGATGATAATTCTATAATAGCACTGGCTGACTTCCTCGAATTTAATCGTATTGTATTTCTTTCCTTGAGTTGCCACCCACAAACTTTCTGTATTCTGTTTTCCGACTGGAAAGAAAATAAATTAAACTTACTTGTAAAGATGTGGCCCGACATGGCAAGGCTATTTTTAAAATGGTAACCCAAATTTAGGGGTAGACGTGAAAATATTTGTTATTTTATCCTGTTTGTTTTAGGAGTGTCTGGGAATGGTTTTGAATCATGGGCCTAAAAGGTGTTGTTATGCCTGTTAAAAGGTAGGCTATTGAATTTATTCAGCTTTCTGGTATACAAGTGTCATATTTTCATGTTTCGTTTCTTTTTCCCAATCAATAGCATCCAGAGTTCCTTGCGCCGTTTGCGGGAAGTTCAAATTTCTAAACAACCAATCAGATCATCGGACTTTCGGTTGCAATCTGCAACGTATTGATGGAAGAGTAGATCGAACACAAAATAACGTGTTATTATTCAGCTTTATTATTGGTTTTTGCTAGTGACAGTCTGATTTCTACAGTTTGTTTTGGTGAGTATTTTGAGATAATGCGCGCTATAATTCAGCTTAACGGTTTCCATAATCTTCGAAGATGTCTACGTACTTAAAGATACCATTAATTCTTTTTAAACTACAAGGTAATGTAGAAAAAGTAAGCGTACTGTTTTAGAATCTGTGAAATTCACAAACCTCGTGCGCCGCAGAAGCTTTTCTCTAAGGTCACCTATGCATTCGAAAACTTCGTACTTCAAACAGATCGATGGTTTAGTGGAACTGATTCGGCGAAACTTCTGTTATATGCATATTTTTTTATAATTTCAACTGAATATTGTAGAGTACTGATATGGCAAGCTTAGCATTTTTAGCATCAGTTATTCTTATAAAATACCTTACCCTGTGACGAAAACAACCAATGCAAATTTTGACTTTTTACCGGTTAAGAACGACCAGAGAAAGAGAATGAATTGACCAGCCTTAACATATATTTTCAAAAGCTTAAAAGGCAAGGTTAAAAACCAATGCGATTGAATTGATTTACCATGAACCTTTAATACTTCTGCAGATATTAAATATTTTTATAACCGCTGGTTCCAGTTCAAGAAGGACTAAAAATGGATCCTACAGAAGTCCAAGTGGTAAGTCAACAACTGTATTAGCTCGTAATCATTTATATAACAGCAGAGATTCCAACCCTCCCGATTTGATCGGGAGTCTCCCGATTTGATGTCTTGCCTCCCGCTCTCCCGATTTTTACCAAATTCTCCCGATTTATCATAAAATTCTGAAAACTAGGGGAAAATTGCTAATCTTTAGAATTTTTGGCGATCTGTCGCTGTGAAACACTCATATTATACTTACTTTCTTCGCGAAGAGCATTATGGTATGTCATAACTCAGGCCGGAATGATGTCAAAATTCAGGAAATGGCACTTGAGAGAACCTAAATTTGCAAAATTTCCCGGGGGCATGCCCCCTGACCCCCCTAGAAGCTCGCGCCTTTGGCACTAATAATTACTCCCTATTTTCCATCACATGGGGTTGGAATCTCTGTAACAGTGCGTGAAGAGGCACTGTAAGTCAGGGTAAAATATCTGGCCTAAGAACACAGAAAAATGAGGCAAGGGAGTTCTCAAACCCAGACCCTCTGATTGTCAGATGATAAGCTCCCACTGCTATGCAAGTCAATCTCATAGTGACAAGCATAATTTACCAATACTGATGTACAGAGTAGTTGTTGATAACTAACAATTCAAAAACTTCATTGTGTATACTACTGACAGTACTGTATTTAAAGTTTGATGATAGTAAGGAGAGAAGCTGATGGGGGGAGGGAAGGGTGACCTCGTTTCATGGACAAGATGCAAAATTTATGTGTGACATGTACTTTAGATAGTATTCAATACATCATATAAACTTCAAATTTCTCCTTACCTTGTAGGATGAAAAATAAAATTTACACATTATTAATTTTGGGTTTAACCACTGATCACGCGAAAAAAAAACTTTGACACCCTCAGTAATCTTTCTTTTTCCTTCTAGCGTTCTCCATTATCAACTCAAGATCAAAATATAATGGCTAACAAACAAATTGGCAAACCTCAATTTGTCAGCAAACTGAGGCCTCCATCAGCTGTTAAGAGGCCTCGTGAACAAGCTTTCACTAAAGGAGTACCACCAAACTGTGAAGTATGTATTGATGATAATGATGCTGTGCAACATTAAAATTCTGTAGGTTTTAACTTTTGGGGATTGTTTATGATCTGGGGAAATAAATTACTGTTAGAAAAATCTTGCAATAGAAAATGAAGTGAAAAATGTTCCTTTTTCTGTCCATTTCACGACTCCAGTGAGGTAGGCTGTGGGTGGGGTTAAGCTTTTCATCGTGTCACTTTTTTGTGTAATAAGGCATGAGATTTGCCTCAAACTCACCAAGTACAGTAGAATCCTGCTAACTCAAACTCCTAAGAGATACAAAAAATTGTTCAAGTTAGCAGTGTTTTGAGACAGCTGATAGTGCATGACTAAAAATGAAATCGAGGGAAATCAGATCTTCATTGAGTAACTAGGCGTTTCAGTTAACCAAATTTAAGTTAGCAGGGTTCTACTGTAATAAAAGTTGATACTTTATGAAATTAGGTTCCAAGCACGATTTTAAGTTGTCTTGAACTGCAAAGAGTTCTTCTCAAAGAATGCAAAAAATGATAAAAACTTTTGTAAATTCACTTGCCACGAGTTAATGGGTTTACTTTCAATTCTGAATTTTTACTGAAGACAGGTTGTAGTTTTTTTTTTTTTAACTATGATGGGTATCTGCTGGAAAGATAATTCATTGTGATCTTTTTTATATAAATTATCTGTTTACAATTAGAGTGGTTGGTAGTGTAAATCAATTGTGTTTTCATTTCCCAGATATAGTTGCTAAACTGAGTTCCATGAGGCAATGATTCTTAACAGAAAAAAAATTTAGTGGCATCAACACGCAATTTTGTTTTTAACTCCTTTGTAAAATTTATGATTTGATCACAGCCTGCATCCAAAATGAAGAAATCGTCATCACAAACCTCTTTAAAGTCTGCACCACAGGACAAAACAGTAACAACAAAATCTACAGTTTTGTCATCTTTAAGGAGGCAAACCTCAGCCAGCACTGTAAGACGAGGTACTTCCACTCAGGCACGACCAGCTGCTGGGAATCTTTCTGCTGTTACCAAAAGACAAACAATAGCAACAGTAGCTGCAAATGTAAATAAAAATGCCAGTTCAAAGGGTTCTGCCACAGATTCATTGATGGGAGCAAAAGGTTAGTAAAGAAAAGAAAGATCTTGAAGATGTGCATTCAGATTACAGATGATCACTAGTGAGTTGAAAATGGATGTTATAAATTCATAAATCATGCTATTTTTTTCTCCAAAGCGCATCTTTTCCCCAGCTGATTAGAGAGCTAAACTAAACAAAAAACTTAATCAGATTTCAAGGAATGTTTGTGCAGCAAGTTTGCAACTTTTGTCCCCAAAATGTTTACTTTTTTTCCAAGAAAATGTATGAGTAGCATCAATTTTCTACAATTTTAGAATAATGGCAATGATGAGATCCTTCAGGCTGAATACCAACATTTTTGGGCTGTTAAATCTTAAGTTACAGTTTTAAAATGAATGCATTCATTAAAAGTGGTCGTTGAACTTCTTGTCTGAGAAATTTTGATCTGAAATCAAATCAAATTGCACTACATGCTTGTTTGATTTTAAAATCACACAATATAATTCCAGAGCAAATTGCACGCCAGTTGGTTCAATTACCATCATAAATCACACTTTAGAGAGCCAATCAGATTGCAAGGATTACCAGCCATTTCAAATACTTCATATGCAATAAGAGAATTCTGATGTAAATGCCCAAATCACTTTTTTACTTTTTTCTCACTTCCTTTTTATTTTCAGGAAAGAAAAGGCCTGCATGGGATTATAAAGGAAGACTGGAAGATATGGAAGGGTTGATGGCAAAATCCAAGTCCTTCATGGAAAACATGACGAAGACAATTGGAGATAATCAGGATAGGATAGGTTTTCTGGAATCTTTAAACAAACAACTGGAGGGTACTGTGCAAGTTAAACATCAACAAACTGAAGAGGTTAGTTCATTTGTATCTTTCCCTCCCTCTGGCTTTCCTTATTTTCTTCTTTGCTTACTTCCTTTCATTAGGCCATGACTCTCTTACTTATTGGCTTTGCCACTCGATTCTTGTTTGCGTGTATGCTTTGTTATCTTCCATCCTTTTGTCATTATTCTTGTCTCCTTCCCTGCCTTTTCTTTCTTGCTTGCCAATGCCTGATTTCTGGCTTCCTTATTTCCCATCAGTCTCCTGAGATGCCATCTTGTAAAACCTTTCCTACACACTTGCATTTTACTTTTCTCTCTGGCTTTAAATACATTTCTCTTTGCTCACTTATTTTAATACTAACAATAACTGGGCTGCCTGAGAGGGGAGGGGGGGTTGAATATCCAGACTGGGAAATTATCAGAGCAGGGTTTTATCAAAGAAGTGTGATTAAAAACTTAAAGAGAGCCAAAAAAAATGTTTTTTTTTTCTTTTCCCTTTTTGAGTTGTTAGCTAGAATTATTGAGTACCACATACAGTACGCGTTTCTTAGGTTGAAAACGGAAACAAATACAGGCATTCCTTTATACAGGTATTCCTTTTTTCTGTAACTCTATCTAGCCCAAACGAATAACTTATACTCCACAGTTTTTGTCTTGAGGAAGGAGGGCCCAATAGAAATGCGCTGGATTTTATTAAAAACTTCAAGTTTTGGACAGAGGCTCCATGTAAGGAGAGAAAGAGTCGTTTAAAGCGTGTGCGGTACTCAAATTTTGAATTAATCCCATGAATTTTCAGGCCTCAGCCAAAATACAGGATCTTCAAATAAAACTAACAAGCGCTGAGGAGGAGGTAAGGTCTCTTCAGTTGAAACACGAGTTTGAGATAGAAGTGGAGAAAAATGCCAGGAAATGCCTACAGCGAGAGAAAGACGGTTTAGAAAACGATCTTCACATTTCCAAGCAAGAGATCATAGCCTTAAAGTCGACTGTAGCTAAAATGACAGCAGATTCACTCGGAATAAGCACGGAACTACAGGCTACCAAGGTAAGTTTGGTCTAATTCCTGTTTACAGGAGGTGCTGTTCTGGAATTTTTGCCCCTCCCAACTCTTCCTCTTCTTAAATCCTCCCTAATCGTAGCGACCACTAAGACCAAAGATCAATATCACCAAGGGCCAATGAGAGCTCAGCATACTGCCCGAAGCGCGGGAAAACGTAATTGACGAAGTCGTGATTGGCTGAGGTGTTGATAATGTTACTGGTTAAGAAAGTGGTGCGAGTTTCTGACCAATCACAGAGCGAAGTTAAGCAAAACGAAAGCAATCCTAGATGACCTTCAACACTCAGTTAAAAATTCCTCTTCTATAGCTGATTGGAACCTTTCTTTAAAATTAGTAGAGAAAACAAAAGCTTAAAAGGCCTAAATATCATTTAAGATGACATCAGTGCGAAAAGGAAGAGACAAGAAAGGAACTTTGTGATATAATATAATATAAATAGCCTAACTTCTTTTTGAATCTAAAAAATTAATTATGGCTAGTCAGAAGACTGGGTTTTCGCGCGGTTTCCGTGTTTTCTTATTTTGGTCATTTACCAAAACTAAGTACAAAGATAAAACAAAGTAAGATAAGAATTTGCAGTTTATCACAAGCTGAGGTATCAAAAGACGAGGGAGTGAAACTGCATTATAAACTTGAAAACTTAAGAGTAAACTTTCTTTAATTAACTCGATAATTTCCTGTGGGGAAGCGTCGACGTGAATCTCCTCCGTCAAGGAGTTTTTTTTACCTTCACATTTCGTTGTCTACCGAATAAGAATTTTCGTGCGTAAATGCAGCAGCAAATCAGATCCGCCTTACACGCTAGCAAAGATTTTTCTTTGACGTGGTTCAATTTTTTTTCTTCCTTCTTCTAAGCTGGAATAGTTGAAATATCTCTGTTGACGTTTTTTTCTTAAGGTTAATCTCGAAAAAACGATCGCCGAGAGCCAACAGAAAAGCGACATCATCGCAAAACTCGAAGACACCATAAGAGGACTTCAAGACAACATGGCGGCTCTAGAATCTAAACTGCGCTCTGAGGAAACCATAAGGCGCGAACTTCACAACACCATCCAAGAGCTGAAGGGTAACATACGGGTATTCTGTCGGGTACGGCCCATGCTGGCATCAGAAGAGAGTCAGCGATCGTGTGCGTTTTCTTTTGGGCAAGACGAGAGAGAACTGGTGGTGGAATCCACGTCACTGAATGAGGTAAGGTTTGTGATCTTAACCTTACTGTGAATCCTCTGTGACTACTCTACTTGGCAACCAACTATCTGACTATGACATTCGGTTTTCCATCGATTTGCGTCTGGTCGGTTCATTTTGTTTTAAGGGAAAGACACGTTACTTTCGCGGTACCTCCCTCTCCACTCAGTTACAAATGAGCACTGGCGAACTGTCAGTTAAGTCTGACGAATTTTTTTGGGGGGAGGGGGGAGTTAATCCGCATTGGTCTGGCAACCCATCCGTGGGGAGGAGTCGCAATACACTTAGTCGCTCCAAGCCACAAAGACCGGAAAAAACCCGGACCACTAAGCTCGAGTGTACATTTGACTGCAAAATGCAAGGAGAATTACCTCCAACAGACAAGTAGGTCTGTTAGATCAACATGTTAGATCAAGATAACAACTTCCACCTGATGAGTTTGAGTATTCTCATAGCCTGTTTGTTAGATAATATGTGGATAGTGTTGGGAGAGGTTACAAGTTAATCACTTAAAGTTAAAGGGTAATGGAACACTCTTAGTCGCATAGTGCTTCAGAAACCGGGAACATACAGCCACTGGTGAAGGCTTTTTTATGTGTCACTCAATGAAAAAATATATTCAAGTTCCCTATGGTTCAGCATTCCATAACTTTGTTAAATGATTTTTTTTTAAAAAAAAAAACCTACCAGTATTCTCTCTGACCCACTCGTTTTAAAAAGAAAAATTTATTTCTTTTTTTTGTCTTTGTAATGGTGCCTGTTGATTTCCTTCGTAGACTATTTGCGGGAATAAGAAAGCCGCACCCAAACATGAATTCATGTTCGACAAAGTGTTTACGCCTTCTTCAAGCCAAGGAGATGTCTTTGGTGAAATCTCGCAGTTGATTCAGTCAGCCCTGGATGGTTACAATGTGTGTATATTTGCTTATGGACAAACGGGCTCAGGAAAAACTTTCACCATGGAGGGAAACCACGGAGATCATGAGGCAAAGGGAATGATCCCACGGGCCTTGGAACAAGTGTTTCGGACATCCCAAGACCTCAGAGAAAAAGGTTGGCAGGTGAGAAATGGTTAGATGCTTTTGTCTTTGTGATATATCATAACTTGATTGATCCTATAATTTGTATAAAACTATGAACTGAAAAGTGAAATATGGAGAAAATTTGCCTTGAAGCTTACGGCAGTTCGAATATTTTTCTCTGGTTAGCTATTATTCATGCCGCAAGAAACACTTTTTCCCTCAGTTTCTTCTTTCTTGCACTTAAAAAGCTCCTACGTGTAACTAGGGTCTCCTTTGACAAAATGAAATGCAGAATATTCGTGCGGCTGTTTAACCCTTTAACCCCTAAGAGTGATTACTAACAATCCTCTTCTATCAGTATCACTCCTAAAGCAAACATTGAGGTCATGAGAATAAAGGAAATGATCACCAACTAAAGACGCTCTTGATTATTAAACAAATTCTCTTTCTCAGCACCACTGGAGATGTATAGAGAACAGTTTGGGGAAAATGTATGCTGATATTAGAGTGTAAAGGGTTAACGAATAGATTCCGTGTTGCCGTGTTTCTGTTCATTGATAAATCACTGGTGGAGTCAGTGTTGTGATCTGTTACTGAACAGACCCACGGTAACATGAAACCTATTTGGTTTACTATAACACAAAAGCAAACTGGTGTTGATAGTGCATTTGCCCTCCAATAGATCATGCGTGTTTATATGCGTATATAATTCAGCTTATCATACAAGGACTGGTAATAGGACTGAGTGGAGTCCAATACGGTCTGTTATCATACGAGTGATAACAAAATCGGACGACTGCGCAAATCATGGCAAATCAAAAAATTTATAATTACCGAGGAAAGAAGAATAGCCAAGTTATGAAAGAAAGGGAAGACTTGCATTAAAAGACTGACAATGGAGGCGTAAATTGTTTATTTGAACCCAAGGTTGTGATTGGTTGATTTAAACTACAACTTTGTAAAAACTTGACAAGTGTATTAGTGGGAAATAGGAGTTTTCTAAACCAATCACAATCGAGGAAATTGTAATTTATTTTTGTTAATTATGATACCATCAATCACTGGATACGTAGCGTTCTATTCCAGTTCATAAACTTTCATGAAATAATAGCTCTTCTTGTCGTGGACAGAGACCTCCTTTATTTATGTTTTCTGGTTTTTATCTCCTGTCAGTACACGATTGAAGCCAGCTTCCTGGAAATTTACAACGAGACTATCAGGGATCTGCTGGGATCTGGTGATTCTAACACCAAGCATGAGATCAAAATAGTGAATCCCGGTAACACCGGAGGGGCTTGTGAGGTTACTGTCACGAACGTTAAGACTGTGACTGTCACGTCAGAAACACAGGTTAGTAACTTGCTTTAGTTTTCACAAAATGTTTCAAGTGAAATATTGGACCCTTGAAAATAAGAAAAATAAATAAATAAATGACGGCGACGAGAATGGTGCGAAACCAAATATTTAATGGGCAGAACAATGGCTCTGCACGTGCGTTTTAAAACTTTCCAGTGGTGGATCCAGAGGGAGAGTTCGTGGGGGGCGTTCTTGACCCCCCTTAACCAACCAAAAGCTTTTTTTTTTACCACTCGTACGACTCCAAAGCTCTTACGTCTGAATAATTTTTTTGTGTGAATGTTACCACAATTAAAGCATAAGGGTTGGTAATTTCAGACCGGACTCCCTATCAAAAATTCCTTCATCCGCCCCTACTTGCAAGTACATTTCCTAGCCATCCTATGCAGAACATCAACTTGAAATCATGACAAATAGATCAGAATAGTTGTAACGTTTTTACTTTTCGCCCAGGTATACAGTCTTCTGGAAAAAGCGACTCAGAACAGAGCCGTAGCCGCCACTCAGTGTAATGAGCGATCATCCCGAAGTCATAGCGTCTTTCGACTGAAACTTGTCGGCGAAAATCAACTCACCGGTGAAAAATGCCAAGGTAAAGAACATCAAAATGAAGCATTGCCATCGGCTAATTACATGTAGATGGAAGAAGACCTCCTCGATCCTGGCTGGTTTTTCTATTTCCAACTTTTGTAATCTGTTCAACGTTATCGCCTACTTCTAATAAAAAAAAAATCATGTGACAATCGAAATGTTTTCAAAACATATTTCAACTTTTTCTCTTCAGGGACTCTGAACCTTATTGACTTGGCAGGATCTGAGCGGTTGAGTCAGTCTTGCTCGACTGGAGAACGTCTCCGTGAAACGAAGAACATCAACAAAAGTTTGAGCAACTTGGGAAATGTAATCATGGCGCTCGCCAATAAAGAGCAACATATTCCGTACAGGAACTCCAAACTGACCTTCCTACTACAAAACTCCCTGGGTGGAAACAGCAAAAGGTAGGTGTTGAGGAAGAGATCGAACCGGCGTGACGCCAGCGTGACGCCGGGGAATGTGGCGAGTGTAACGGTTAGTTTTTTTTCAAAGAAAATTGCTCTTTGAGGATTTTAAGGAAACAGGTTAGGAACCAGGTTATCGTTCGGGGGAGTTGTAAGTCTATTGATTTCGAAGATTTACTTTTGTAACCGGTGACGAATAGTAGTAAACTCTGTTTACATTCTTACTTTATTTTGTGATCAGTTCTGCGACTCCAACTAATCATGGATTTTTTTTCCTCACCAGTTTGATGTTTGTAAACATTTCACCTAAGGAGGAATCACTTCAAGAGACTCTTTGCTCTCTTCGCTTTGCTACCAAGGTAAAAAAAAATTTTCTAGACCATCATTTAAGTATTTTTTGTTTGCGGTTCTTGAGATACAAAGTTGAGTTTGAATTTGGAAAAAAATTCAACCCATGCAACTCCCACATCCGGGCTCTACGATGCAGGACGTGAAGAAAACCTCCGTCCGTTCGGGAAAAAATTTTGTCTCCCCGGAGATATACAAACCACATCATGAAAGAATTCTCATTTGCTCCACTCCAGTTTTCTGCTCGAAGCTGCGTAGTTATTTTGAATAGAGTTTCTTCATTAGTTCTGAATTGCATCGGTTCGCCTTATCGAGCCCTGTAATTGGTGAAGAAAACTCGAGCCACTCTCGCCCAGTCAGATACAAAATTAAAACCGAGCGTGTTTGAATTCGGTTTCTCGTTTTTTTTCCACTCATCAGGCATTTAGTGCGTGTTTAACTTCGAGTTATCAGTGGTTCCTTATGACTTAACCTTTGTTCCTATTGGTCATTGTAGGTGAACCAATGTAATATCGGAACTGCACAAAAGAAGGTTCTCAAGTAACTCACAGACCCTGGGGAAAAAAACCATCCTCAAGTAATCCTATCATGGTTTTTTTTTTTTTAACTGTGCAATCATTTTAAATACTGCAGATAAGAGATTTGTAGGAATTTCTGACACGGTGTAAATATCGCGTTTTAGTTTTCAAGCAGATAAAGATTTCCTTTTTATAATTGTAAATTCATTAATGAAAGTCCTAGTTTAAACTTGATTGGGAGGCAGTGTTTCACAGTAACCTCCTCCTGTGACCATCGATGCTATTATTAAGTCTCTTGGACATCGGAATATTGCTTCCTATGCAAGTAATTTTACCCTGATTTTGAATGCCATGAAGTAGTATGAGCAGCAACGCGAAGTTTGCCTCTGGAGAAGGATATAAGCTAAAGATGTATAAACTAAACAATATAAATGGTGTCAAAATGGTTGAAGTAGTTTTTGGTCTATCGAGTTCATCGCTTTAAGCTGTTAGGCGAAATCTTACGACTTCTCCTTGCCCTAGAGGACTGGTGTTATAATTTGCTTGCGTTTTTCTGGGAAGCGGAGGCAAACGCGAATCAATAGCGAAGAATGACCTACCCTTTGTGCAGACCTTGCTCTCGCTTCGCGTTTTCATCCGCTTGCCTTAATATCGTTCCCAGGGCTTTTCCCAATTTTCGAGGGAATAGCCCCAGGAACAAGGTTGCTGCTTTCATGGGAAAAACGCTAAAGAACAGTGACGCCTATTCTCTTGGCTACGAATCCGAAGGCGAGGGGAAATTTTTTTTCATCCTTTTCGGTTACTTTGATCACTCATCTGCAAACTTACCCTCATCTGTAAGTCCTAAGACTTCCAGACTCCTCTGCCATACCAAAACCTTTGGTCAGTAAAAACACTGCTTAGTTAGAGGAGCTGCTTTAGGTTTAGCATCTGGAGACATTATCAAGTTGACCATTAAAATCGTCATAACTTTTCTACATTCTTAGCTATTTGTGTTCTTTCTTGGTTTCTGGTGAATAAACTAAGAAAGATTTGACAGATCTTAGATCGGTCGCCGCCATTTTGAAAATCACTTAGCAACCTGGCCGCTGCGCATTGTGGCTGCGCTTAAACCTTATGGATTCAAATCGGAGTGCGAGCTCAATGGAAAAAGACAGGTTGCTGACTAAAGTAACAATTGTTTGTTAACTGTATGTGTTCAGTTGGATTGTTTTTTATGGGCATATTTCTCCTCTAAGGTTAGGAGGCTAATGGTTTGTCTGTGTTTTCCATCTACCTGCTTGGTTTATTTTTCAATTCACCTGTCCTTCTAAAACAGTTTCTATGTTGTCTTCAGAAAAATCTTTACTGCGCCAATTAAATTATATTAACAGCTGAACATCATTTTTTAAATTTTGGAATGATAAATTTTCTCATTTCAATTTCTCATTCTTCGTTTCCCGTTGTGTGTTTTTTTTCAATGTCTTATTCCCTATTCCCGTTTTTCAGGTTTTTGCTCTCTATTTCTGTTTCAATCTGCAGATCAAACCCTTAAATATTTATTCAATGTCAAAATAGAGATAAATGATTGTTCGTGACATGAATACAGAAATTGAAAAGGCACAGGTTTTTCACCCTTTAGTTTATTCCCCCGACATAAGCTTACAAAATAATTATAAAAAGTGGTTCAGCGCAGTAACCTTAAAGAATAAGCATGAAACCTAACGGATTCACTTTAAAAAGGAAAAAGTAAGAAAGAAAATTGGATTAATTTTACTTAAAACGTATTACTTCAACAAAGGTATTGTTTGATCGATCAAAGAGCGGATTGTTCGACTGAAGAAATGACAGATTTGAATTGTTTATTACACAATTTATGTAAATGTAAAACGGAAGAGTCTAGAGAAGTTTCTGGAAAGTCTTGCTGCGAATTTGTCAATTAACTCAGCACATACAATGGTGTTCCATTGTAGTGCAAATTGCCTTATTGTCAGAGCAAGTGACCCCGTGTGTCCACGAAAAGATCACTCCTTGCTCGACAAACGGAACCAAAATGACCGCAATTCCGCCCCTCGGGTCTTAGAAGTAAATTTGAAAGATGAGATTTGGTTAATCTGAGGGTCGTGACTCTCAGAAACGAAAATGAAAACTTGCGGTGCGAAACGAAATGATCAAAATTTATCAACTGATGCAGACGAGCGACCAGCGAGTTGCATTCCTTTACTGTATGTTATCTCTGCACGATGTATTTTCCTGATTAGACATCGCTTTCAGTATCTTTCATTGATAGCTATATTCAAAAGTCAGTGGATTAAAGAGAAATGTTTATATTGAGTCGAAATCATTTCCCAGATGGTCAAGCTTTTGAGCCATACAGTTTCTTGCCGAGTTTCACGTTGTTTTTCACAGTGGACGCAAATTAGTTAATTCCAATTGGTTGAATCTCGCTTTAAAATGAAGAATATAAATCGACTGATATACGAATGAAGCAGAACTTTTTCAAGTACTTGACTAAACAACGGAGTGACTTCATATGCAGTATCGTTACTAGCAGTTGACTCTGTTCGGTAACTGAGAAATATTTTTGCCACAAACTAGTGTAATTTTTAATGTTTGAAGTGAAAGAAAAATGCTTTATCGACATGATACAAGTGGCGAGTAAAAAAACAATCTCCAAACAAAGTTTCATTCTGTTCTGTGGAAGAACAGGTGTGAATGTGTTTTAATTTTTCTTTCCTGTGACAAAGATTGAACTTTTCCAAAAATATTTCCTCTCAATTTCTCGTTGGCAGTTATGGCTTTCGTTTACTTTTAAATTATAAATAACGGGTAGCTGTTGTTCGGCGCAATTTTCTCTCATGAAAAAACAAAAGAATTTGGACTCTGATCAGAAGGCGTTCACGTTTGAATTATTTTTGCGACGAATGATGACATTCGTTCGGGGACACTATAATGGAATGCTCGGTTTCCTAAAAAAAATTTAGCCACTATGCCTCAAAATTAACGATTTTCTTTCGTCAAAAGTATCCAACAGCTTAAAAAACCAGGCAATTCGCTGAAAAGTTAAATAAAACCAATTTATTTTCCCAGCTGGGGCTTATTTTTTTTATAAACATTGATAAGTCCGCGGTTAAAAATTGTAATTTTTTTTAAATCGAAATTGTCAAATACTGAAAGCGATACCGGTGTAATTTTTTTCATTCGTGAAAGATAAAGAAATGAGGGTCTGTGCCATCGACAATCTTCGAAAATTACACTATTTACTCAGAAACAATGAATGAAAATACATATGTACGAAATAATCATATTGCAGCAATATGTGAAATATTTTCAATTATTATTCTTCGCTCTGTTCTCTTGTTCAAGATTACCACCATTTCAATTCGAACACTATCCACTGAAAAAGCCAGCTTTCGCCGGAACACGGCGCTTAAAAACTTTCCAGAAGAAAACAGAAAATTATTCTATTTTAAATTCGGAGTGACTCGGTTATTCAACGGACAAGAGGTAAACAATTGTAGTTTTAATGAAACCATAAGGCGTTCACGCCAATCACAGAGTAGTATTCCGATTAAATAGTGAGACTCCAAATGTAAAAATATTCATAGGGTCGAAAAAACGTGGTTTTAATGAATTTGAACAAGAACTTTTAAGATGCCTTCGGTGGACGTGTTGAATAACAAAGGCTAAACTGAAATCAGCAAAGTTCAATCTTTCTTTTAATTCAAAACAATACATCACAAAATAGAAATTAGTTCATCACCAAAAACGTGAAAAAAAAAAAACCGTAGAAATCAGCCCATCTTCTATTTCAATTACTTGTCGCCGAAGTGTCGAGTCCAGAGATGTAAACATCAAAAAAAATGTTTGAATCACGTTCTCTAACAATTCCTTAGATTTAAAGAAAATGCATTTGTAGACAAGCTTTCTTCAATAAAATTTTTTAATGTTACAAAGGTGTTCTTAATCATTTCCTAGACGCGTGTCCAGCACATCAATTTTACTTGTATTAAAATGGCTTTTGCCTGTAATATTCGACTGGCTTCCACTCTCTGTGCTTTCAAAATTACACGATACATTTCAAATACGCCAGCCTGTAACTCCGGTTTAGCCAGAGGATCTTTTTTATGTTTATTTTTAATAGAAGTTTTAAATTCTACATTGTTTTGGGTCATACCCGTAACCAACGAGTCTGACAGAATATTGTCACATATCACAACATCATATTTCATGAATTCCCTTTAGCCAATGTTATTCTACAAAGTACTTCTGTCTTTTTCTTTGTTTAGATTTCTCGTTTGTTTTCGATGCTTTCAACAAAAAGTGTCTTTATCGAAAGCCTCGTTAACGGCGGACTTATCTAGCCTTTGGCTAAAATTCTTAACAATCGTCACCACTTCGTTCATACACTTGACCACTAGAATTTCTTTTCAGTTAAATCTAAAAGTTGTGGGTATTTAAGTTTCTCAGTGATAGTTTACAGGTCTCGGAAAGCCCTTACAGTCGCATTTGCTGGGCTCGAAGATGCAAAAATCTGTTACCCTGGAAATAGTTCGAATTTTCGTATTCAATCCGAGGGTTGTAGGCTCGCAAAATTTTCACCACGGGAACCGAAGAATTGAAAAACGAAAAACAAGAATATTCCGCACAACTTTGTTGCCGGACACGGAAAGAATAAAAAATATCTCCTATCTCTCTAACTACATGTAACTCGTTATTTCCTACTAGCTTTTATTCAAATACAAACTAAATTTTTTTGGCTCATCATTCTTGGCCGGTCGGCCGCCGCGTGCTATCTTTGTGCAGCATATCAATTATAAATTAGTGAATTTTACATATATAAAAAAAACGAATCCATCTCTTCACGAAGTCAAAGTGGTTAATCTTGGATGTAGCAAAGACTATGTTGCTGTAATTTTTTTCTTTTTTGTTCTAACAGCATTACACGATACCTGGATTTTCTGTTTCTTTGGTCACACTGCTATAACAAGCAGGTTATTTCCAATTATTTCACAAGCCGCAAGGAAAAATCTCTTGTGCTCGCTATTTCGGAGTTTCGCCCGCATTCATTCCATTGGTGCTACGTGGAAAAGTGGCACTCATCCATGTTCCTCGATCTTGGGCGATTTCTGCTGTGGCGATTCATTCTGCTTGAACGTTCTGACACAGTCCTGTTGTCTGGCAGTTGTACAACTCCGATTTTCCCCCCATACCTCCAAATTATAAAACAATAAAGAGGGAAAATATCTTCGTTACACCCCCGTTTCAAATCGTATAGTAGAATCAGGATAATCCACAAGAGGCATTGAATTTGCCACAACTGCTGTGTTTGCCTTGTTCTTGTGTCCTTTAGAATTCGAAGGAATGCTGTCTAGCGATGTTAATAGTTCCATTTCAATGCCAGTTTCAGGTCCGTTCATTCCATTATGATCAACGGCTCCATATTTTCGTTCTTGCTCCGCTTCTTCCTTCTCTTTCTGAAGTCTTTCGTTTTCCTTGCGCTCCTTCTCCTTCTTGCTCTGTTCGGCTGCTCTCTGCTCGTTCTCGCGGTGGTAGAAGTAGTTGAAATTCGACACTATCACGGGCACCGGAAGAGCGATGGTCAACACGCCGGAAATAGCGCACAACGACCCTACGATCTTTCCCCAGACTGTGATGGGCCTCATATCTCCATATCCGACGGTTGTCATTGTGACTACAGCCCACCAAAAAGCGTCGGGTATGCTTTTAAAATTCGAGTCGTCCTCGCCGCCTTCGGCATAATACACCGCCGAGCTGAACAAGATGACGCCAATAAGAAGAAAGAAAATTAAAAGGCCTAACTCGCGCAAGCTTGCGCGAAGTGTATGTCCTAAAATTTGTAGTCCTCTGGAATGCCGCGACAATTTAAAAATCCGAAACACGCGCACCAACCGAATCACCCTGAGAACACCGAAACTGGACGCTTTGGTGTCTTGCATGGGTAGTGTTATATAGTAAGGCAAAATAGCTACAATGTCGATCAGGTTTAGAAACGATCGCACAAACACCAGCTTCTGGGGCGACGAGATAAGCCTCATCAAGTATTCAAACGTGAACCAAATTATGCAAGCCGTTTCAAGGGTAAACCACGGTTGCCTTCGCTTTGTTCCATCCTCCTCTTTTGGCCTGAATTGCGGTAGAGTCTCGACGCAGAATGTCACAATAGACAGCGTAATCACAACAACCGAAAATATTGCAACAACTCGCGCTCCTAAAGACGTATCAGGAAACTCGAATAACTCCCAGATTTTACGTTGTAATTTATTTTCGGGTAGAATGGGTTTCTCCTCCTCGATGTACCCTTCTTCCTGTTCCACTTTGTGTAAAATGTCCTCTCCGAGTTCGTAGAACCGAATCTCGTCAGCAAACACATCCATGGGTACATTAGCTGGACGTAAAAGTTTTCCCCCGGATTGATAATAGAACAAAATCGCGTCGAATGCGGGACGATTGCGATCGAAGAAATACTCACTCCGAGTGGAATCATAATACTTCGATCGCTTGTTCGCATTTCCTAGCAAGGTCTCGGGGTATTGTTCTAGCGTTTGAACGTGTGTTTCAAATTTCAAGCCACTCACGTTAATAACAAATCTGTCAGCACTCGCTTCAACTGGCGCCACAACTTGAGGCTTGATTCCAGTCAGGGGGATGATTCCAGGCTGTTGGTCGCGATTGCCTGAAGGCTGTAGATTGTTTCTTCCAGGCGTATAGCCTGTCAAAGTCCTGTCAGGATCCGCCGTCACAGAGGGCATTCCTGTTAACGCGTCCATCTCTAGTTTACGATCTGTTAAATACGGCGAACCTAAAGCCCGGATGCGAGGAGAAATACTTGATTAATAACTGACACGAACTGCCGACCAAAGGGGGATCTCCAAGCGCGCGGTATCGTCGAATTCGACCATACCGCGCCATTTTTTCGGTCGAGTAAAATCCTTGAAATAAGCGAGTAAAAATTTAAAAATTTGAGAACATGTCCCGCTTGTGAAGCTGAAAGGGCCCGATTCTCATAAATTATTGATTCCTTTTAGATCTAAACTTGTAATTTATTAATTCACTGAATAAATTATCACGTCTTCAAATAAACAGGAAATGTAAATAAGGGGATGTAAACATACTAAAAACAGAAATGTTTTCCATGCCATTACGACTCACTCGATGCGTTCTGTTCGATTCCGAGCCCACATTCAACCTTCAAACACCGCAAATTAAATTTTTAGAATCCCATTTCTCGCTCGCTTGTGCGAGTAAAATGTAAATTTGTGTTGCTCGCGTAGAAAATATAAGCAGATGTTTTGCGAAGACTTCGCAGCTACTTGCGAGTGGTATTATAGCTGTACTCGCGAATCTCACTCGTAAACCAACACACATTTGCTCTAGTGTCGCATAACTTACTTGTGTTGTTCACGGTAGTAAAGCGAACTTTGATTCCATCGGACAGAAGTTCAATGCGAAGATACAGGGTACAAACGCGGGGACAGATAACAATGTTATACGGCGCGAGTCCAACTGACACCTCAAAACATAGAGTCAAGAAACATGTTGCCATAAATCCCGCTAGGCACCCACAATTTTCATCGAAATTTCTCCAAAGTCATTGTATCGGTGTCCAAAGGCAATTTTTCTTGACACGTGGTCACATTTAGGCAAAAATTAATCTTCAGTGGCCGTTCTTCTGAGTTTGGCGATTCTCCGTGAAATAGCCGACGCGGCACTGGGAAAGCGAATCAATTCCTTCGAAGGCAGGAATTTACAGTTGCGTTATGAATTGCCAAGAGTGCTTTTCACTCGCGCCGAATGATTGCCTCGACAAACGTTTCGATGTTATCTGTCGGGCATTCCTTCGAACCAAGAAAAGCTTTCCCAACGGCGAAACAAATTACAAATTGTCGCTCCCAGGTTTTTGAGCACGCGCGATTGAAAGTTGTAACTACATTCAAGGCAGTGATAAAAATTTGCATAGTAACACCACGAACGGAAACCTGCTGCTAACAGTCTTGGATCCAAAACTTACCCGTCCATCTCCCGGTTAGGTTGTCTTAGTGACGCTTTTTTTTCTTTTTCAGACACAGTCATTTTTACTGCCGAGTACTCACCAGTTCGAAAGCATGAAATGTATATATACTAATTTTATGAAGACTTTGCTGGGAGCAAAAAATTAGAGCAATAAAAATATGCACAAATTCGTGGCGCCTGGACGTAAATGCACAAACATGACATTTATTGCAAACAGCGCCAAACAAAGGTTTTTGAATTGAAATACTTTTTAAAACTCGGGTAAGTAATTTTATAGCTCGGTTTCATTGGAAAACAAAAGCACAATCCTGAGACAGCAGAAAACCCTTGTCTATTCCTTGGAGACGCACGCAGTGCAGAAAGAATATTTACAGTACTTGGCAACGATATTTAACAAGCAGAAAAACCTAAAAGTTATCCGCCAATGTTGGGAATTTTATTAGTAAGCTAACACGATGCTTAACTTACAACTATTGTAGTACCGAATCGGTGAAAATTACCTAAATTTTCAGCATAGATTGAGGGGAAAAGATCTCGCTTTATGTCAATTCTAGTAGAATGTCACTTTGCGAAAGATGGCTGGTGTTTTTCTTTACGCATAAGGGAAAAAAATAGTGTTTTGAGCAATACTCGTTTTGTTTGTTTGTTTGTTTTCGTGTGTACTATTCCTGTTTTCGTTTTATTTGAGCCAGTTTGACAGGGGTCTTTTACACCAACCCACCCCCGAAGGCGGACAAAAGCTTGTGGTTTCCACCGGTTACTAATAAAATTTTTGTACCTGCTAATGTGAGACCACTGGAATTACATTTCATGCAAGAGTTATGAGATGAAAGCGCTCACTTACTGTAAACAACCGTGACGATTGCTGTTTGTCGTTTGTCAGGGATTCTTAGGTGCTATTTCATGGGATTCGCGCCAGTAAATGTGTTTCTGACGTTTAAAAGTAAAGCAATTTTCTTGCTTGAACCAAACAATTTTCGATAATTTTGTGGTTTGCTATCCTGCTTCTTTCGATTATGCCGAAATCACCAAGCCACAGACCCACGAGCTTTTTTTTTTTTCTCTCTCTTTTTTTTTTACTTATTTTCAGCTTGAAATCGATGGAATAATTCGGACCACCCGCCGAACAGAGAGACGAAATCATTCTACTGTTAAAACAAATCTGTGAGAAAAATACCATATGAGGGTCAAATTAACCAAACAAATGCTGCGGTTTCGCAGTCAAAATAGACCCTGTGGGCCTTATGCCAGACCTACGGCTTATCATCGCTCCATCGCTACTGAATGTTTTGAAGGTGATATGAGTCCTACAGCTTATACGCTACGAACAACAGATCAATTAAAACTGGGCAAAATGGTCACGCGACAACAGTATCGTGCTCAGTGAACCATTTCATTAGATATCGTGAAAGGGAATCGTGAATCGACAGAATGTGAAAGCGATGTCGCCAGAACAGGATAATTACATATTTTCAGCCATATGGCAGAATATTCGTGATAATTATCACAGACAAAACCTCATTACAAAGCCGCGGACGGCTTGATCATTGGTTCGTTTTGATGGAAAAGAACTGATGGAATTTTGTCCGCCACGTGGGCGTTCAATTCGTTTGAATCGAAAATTTGACATGGGTTTTAAATCTGAAACCCACGAAAACGTATGCAGCAGTTGCTTAAAAGCCATTTGTTTCTCATACTTCCAAAATCCTACGATTGGCTTGATAAATAAGTGAACATGACAAAGGGAATTTTTTACTCTAATTTAGAGGTGTCATCATAATCTGCCTTTTCGCTCTACGATATCAAATCGTTGTTAAACAAACAGGTAGTCGGAGAGTAAAGATTAGCATTATCCTTTACCACAAAATTCGTCTAACAAAAATATTCAAAAACGTATACGAGGTTCGTATTTGTCGAGTTTGACTTCGAACACATTCAATTGATCCTTACAAAAAATGACAAATATCAAGATTATAAATTCAAATTCAGGGCAGACTCCCGCCCCTTTAATAGTTCAAAACCACAGAAGGAAGCAGACATGTTTTCAACAGGTACGACTGCAGGGCAAAAAAACGAAAAAATGGCATCGATACTTGATCAGTAACCTACCTGGCGCGAGAGAGGAGTTCTCTGTTACTGGGGCCTCTCAAAGCGTTTTTAGATAAACATGGTAAGATCTGATATTCGCTCATCCCTTTTGACGCACGTTGCTGAATCTCAGCTTTAAATGGCATTGAATAAATCGGCGTGATCAATATATGTCCGGCCTCCCTACAGAGTTTCAACTCTCGCCTATGACCTTGAACACATGGAAGAACAAAAAATCGACCTTAAGTTTTATTATTTTACGGAGAAAATTCCACTTTTGCGTATCGGGATATTTTGCACGCTTACTTATTCCTTGATACAACTCTAGTTTGTTTCGTTGTTTTAGCTTGCCTCAGATCACGCTAAGCCGAAGACACTGAGTTTAAATTAGATTTTTATTTCTTTCTTCCTGGTATCATGTTGGGTGCGGAAGATATATGATACTGAAAAACACGAAGAGTCAGCTGAAAATGCGAGTCAGAGCTGGATTTCAATCAATGAAATGCTTTGTTTGCAATGCGACCCCCAACCGGTTTTTGATTTGTTCAACTGATTGTTTGCCGGCCCTATTGGCTAAGATTTACGAATTGAAATAACTGACTTTTGTGAGGTCGCAACTAAGCTTGAAAAGTACTTGTGCTCCACCATTAACAATTTGTGGCTAAGCACCCTTCTAAGCGTAGCGTTTTCGTTGTTTGTGCTATTTCTAATTGTTATGAGAGCTCTATTAATCTCCATCTCTGTTGAGACGGCAACAACGCGTACATCACTGCTGCATCGCGCGAGTTAATTGCATTCGAACCATAGCTTAGGTTGGCTTGACAAAATCACTTTAACTTGGAGGAGGATTATTCACGACATAGTGAGAGCTAAATAAGGCCGCGAAGATCATAAATACAGGCCTCAGTTCAAATACAGAAGATGCTAAAAGGCTTTTTTAATTTACAACGACTCGTTCGCGAATGATATTAAACCACAAAAAGCTTATATGGTCTTAAACCCAATCTTTCACTAATTCAATCTAAGATCTGTCCGAGTATGTTGAAAATTAGATTAACTAATTACTTACAATGAAAATATACCAGCCCCAGAGAAAGTGTCTCTTTCCTCCGTCGGGTTGGAATTAAAAGTGAAACTATGCATCAGATTTTTTAGAAATGATTTGAGATGGTAACTTTGCTGATAATTATCAACAGAAACTTGGTTGGAAAGTAAATTCCTGAGCAAACGAAAAACGAACACATTTGTTGACTTCGGCTTTTCCGGTTTTGTGGTGAGTCTCCCGAATTCTCTAAGTGTGGCGGCGGGCAAATGAAACTTGGGAACCAAATTGAATCATCTTGAAGTAATAAATTGTTCATTAAAATGTTACTACGATAAGTTGAGACGCCTTTTTCGTGGATTTTAGCAGGTTCTAGATCCCGAAATGTAACAGCTAGTTACTTATGTTATCTTAGTCGTAAAAAAGCTTGGTTCCAAGCTAGAACTGTCGATGTGAAGCGTCTGTGTGACTGCCTTCCGAAAGCCTCGCTGTTTCATCACGTTTTTTTGTTCTCTCTTTTTTTTTCCATGGATAACCATTGCAATTATGGCAATGGGGAGGCAGACTCCGTTTTAAAACATAATCTCAGGGAACCGCTGATTTCTACGAGGTCGAACCACAAATAGGATTAAGGTAATTGTCATCAGAGTGGTACTTATAAATATTTTATTTAATTTTTCCGATCGACCTCAAATTCCAGTGTATAATTGGAAAACAAAGGCATGCTTATGAAATTGGTCTGTAATGGAGTAGCTTTCCGATAAGTCCCTTGTTTGACCATGTTCAAAACATACGATTGTAGCAAAACTTCCTAAATTTGCCCTGCAATGAGCACATCAAAAGACTGTCTCCCACAATGTTTTGTTTTGTTTTGTTTATTTGATTTTTCGACACAGATGGAGACTCTGACCTCAAATACTTAGACAGTTTGAGCCTGGATCAAATGACAGTTTAAATTATAAGGCAGCATTCGAGTCAACGTCAGAGATAGGTAGTCAAAGTGCGCGGTTACGTTGCCCATCCAATAAGACAAGGCAATGCAATCGTTCTTCAGAGTCAAGATTGTCTATCGATTCTTAATGATAAAAATCAGCCAACATTTTGGCTGGATTATACTGGATTGCTTTAATTAAAAAGTATTTCTCGCAGTTCTTTACGCGGAAAGATATTTCCAAAGATATATTTATTATCACGCCCTTGAAGTGTGCATCATGCAGTCACGGTGAGGAATAATCTTTGGGTCAACTGCGTCTGCAAAAAACATCGAGCGTTCATTTCGTCCGAGGAACCAAGTCTTTCGTAGATTTGAATAAGACAATTTTAGGGCATATTGATTGACGATTTTTGCCCCCTGATAAGTCATGAAAAATTTTCCCGTTGCGCCCCTTTAAATGAATCTAATTTTCAGACAAAAATAGCTCCAACGCTATTACACATCCAGAAGTTTCAAGAAATATGTTTGAGGTTTGTCCGCCGCTTGGCTATTGACGATCGCGTGAAAGTTGTTTGAAACCGGCCGAACCATAGGTGTTTCCATTCAGTGCTGCCACTATTGTATTTTTTCTTGAATTTTATTCTCCTTTAAAATTACTAAAATGTATGAGAATTTAACGAACAACGAACAGGCGATCTTTTACTGTATAAAAACAATAGCCTCCATTTGGCGCAAATGTTATACGGATATTTGTCCGCGGACATCTGCTCTTATCTGTTCCGAGATGAGAACAGTTTTCCAAAAGCGAAGCTCGAGGAATCTGTGAGCCTTGGGGAACAGATAATGTCCAAGGACAACATTTTCACATCAAATGGGGCTATTGTGTTTCATATCCTTCAAATATTTTTTGCAGCTCGCGAG